TTTGAGATACCAACTCCTAAACCATATTCATTCCTGTTCGTCATTTCAAACAGATTTGAATGACATACAAGGTCAATCTCATAGGCATCACATATGCATATCACTTTACTAGACCTAATCAATGTGTACTAGACTTTGCCCAATGTCAGGCGACCATGGGAATGAATAATTATGGGAGCTTTGTTTGGGAGACTTCGTAACAGCATTCTGTTACAATTATTTCTTGTTTATTATAAAATTTTATTGATGCAAAAAATGAGTAGGTTTAAAGAATTTACCTTAATTATATTTTGAATAATTTCTGGTTCTATAAAAAATTTCATTTTGATATGGCTCATTTTAAAGAAAACATATCTTTCAAGCCCAAGAATGTTTGACCAACTTTATTATAATCACCTGTCATTTTATTCCAAACTTAGACATCATGGACTTGGGGTGAAGGCGGGGGTTATTTACATTTACTATGGGCAGGTCAGTCAGACCTCACCTTTGATCCCTGTAGTAGTAAACATTTGTCTGATTTGTGTCTCATAACTTTTGCACTGTAGAACACAAACTCAGTTTTCTTTCCAGGGAAGCAAGTCCATGCATACTATTACAAGCTCGTACTAAGTCAACTTGAACTACTAACAGTCAACTAATACCAACGTTAACTATCAACTAGAACAACTGCAATCATTTCGAACTTGTACCACTGCAGACACATGACCATTAAAAATATACTTGATATATGCATTGCTTTGGAAAACCTTGATAAAATATGAATTATTTGCCTTAATAATTAATTCATTAAATGAACATAAATGCACAATATATGAATGTTTAATGTTTGTTCTTTTAAATCTTAAAAAAAATGAAGCAACATAGCCACAGTTTTCATAATTATGTTTGCCTTGGTTTTTGGTTAACTGCCTACAGCGCTTACAGTGCTTTGATTTAATTAACTGCCTATAGCACCCTTGGTGCTTTGATTTTTATACGCTCGTTTACGGGACGTATTATGGTATACGTTGACCGTCTGTCCGTCCGTCCTTCGTCAACATGTCGGACATTAATTCAAAAACGCTTTAACCAATATGCAGGAAACTTTGGTGAATTGTTTACATCTATTGACGTGAGCTCTCTTTCGTTTTTTTATAAATTTCAGGTTTGAGTTTTGGGGTTCTATTCATTAAAAAAGGGGGGATTTTACAGTTTTCGGACAATAACTCAAAAACAATTTCACCAATTTGCATGAAACTTTTGTGAATTGTTGATATCTGTTGACGTGAGCTCCCTTTCGTTTTGTTATAAATTTCGGATTTAACGTTTCCGAGTTTTGGGGTTTTATTCAATAAAAAAGGGGGGGTTTTCCAGTTTTCAAACAATAACTCAAAAACAATTTCACCAATTTGCAAGAAACTTTGGTGAATTGTTTATTTCTATCGACATGAGCTCCCTTTTCATTTTTATAAATTTCTGACTATACGCTTCCGATTTATGGGGTTTTATTCATTTCAAAAAGGGGGATTTTCCAGTTTTCGGATAACTCAAAAATGCTTTCAGCATTTTTTTATGAAACTTTGGTAAATTGTACATATCTATTTTTGTAAGCTCCCTTTTGATTTTTAGAAATTTTCGATTTTATGTTTCCGAGTTATAAGATTTTATTTGTTTATAGTCTGACAACAGATTTACTAAGTATTGCGTAACAGCACAGTGTATTGCACAACAGCAAGAAATCTTTCATATAACCAATTTCAAGTTCTTTGACTACATTTATTCAGAAACCTGTAATATATCAAATATTTAGTTACAATCCTAATTCAGACCTGTATCAAGCTTGAATATTGTGTCCATTTTTGCCCTAACTGTTCAGGGTTGGACCTCTGCGGGCGTATCCAGCTGCGCTCAGCGCAGCAGTTTATTAAAAGAGTTATGCCCCTTGGAAACATTAATTATATGGAGAATTGCATTGTTAGAGCTCTCATATGTAAACTTCTTGCCAGAATTTTATTGAACGTAAATCATAAGTTTGTATTAGCAATGTCTAAAACGAGTTTGAAAATCAGTGCAGATCAATAATTTTTAAAAGAGTTATGCCCCTTGGAAATATTAATTATATGGCAAATTGCCTTATGAGCACTCCAATGTGTACCATTCTTGCCAGATTTTTATGAAATTTATATGAAAGGTTTATATCATCAATGTACTTGAAGAGTTCAAAAATCAGTGACGATCAATTATTTTCAAAAGAGTTATGCCCCTTGAAAATATTGGTTATATGGAAAATTGCAATGTTATCGCTCGTGTTCAATTCTTGCCAGAATTTTATGAAACTTATATCATAGGTTGATATCAGCAATGTCTTTGACTCTTTCGATAATAAGTTCTGATCAAATATTTTTAACCAGTTATGCCCCTTGGAAATTTAAATTATAATGGAAATCACATTGTATTTGCTCTGAAGCCTTCATTTCTCTAAAGATATTAATAAAAAGTTTTAAAGAACAAAAAAAGTGCTTTTTTTATACGACCGCAAAAAAATTTTGTCCAGACAATAACTTAAGTTTAAGTGTATGGATCTCTATGAAATTTAAATGAAAGGTTCAATAGCACAAAAGGAAGGTTGGGATTGTTTTTGGGGTGATGGTTCCAACTGTTTAGGAATAAGGGGCCAAAAAGGGCCCAAAACAAATTTTTTTTCCAGTTTCAGGACAATCACTTTTTTGGGGGGGGGGGGGGGTGTCAATTTATTTTTCCTCAAAATTTAAGAAATTGTCAATTTTCGTAAGAAAAATTGGGGTTTACAATTTATTTGCTAATTCTTTGTATATAGCCTGAAAACAGATTTACTAAGTATTGCGCAACAGCACAGTGTATTGCACAACAGCAAGAAATCTTCAATTGAATTTAAAATCAAATCATATAACCAATTTCAAGTTCTTTGAATACATTTATTCTGTGTCAGAAACCTATAATGTGTCAAATATTTAATTACAATCCAAATTCAGACCTGTATCAAGCATGAATATTTTGTCCATTTTTGCCCCAACTATTCAGGGTTGGACCTCTGTGGTCGTATCCAGCTGCGCTCGGCGAAGCAGTTTATTAGTTATTGCCCTTGTACCTTGGATAGATAAAATATGTACAACGTGGGGGATATTGGAACCCTGTGCTTTTATTAACGTGCTAGTTCACAAGGTAACAGTCCGCAGGAAGACATGTCACTTTATCAGGACACATTATTCGGACTCCGAATGACCAGTCTTTGCTCTGATCCTTAATGCTGTGTGCTTAGTGGAGATGCAGTAAATACCAATTTTAAAGTCTTTGGTTTGACCCTGCCGCACCCGAGGGGAACACGCTACCACAAGACCATTGAGGCCATTTTAAACACCAGCAAATTTGGGCACTTCAGTTCTTTTCCATTGATCATCTACAGCAAGTGAAATTAAGGTATATCTGATTTCAAGAAATGTGGTTGTGTGGATCAATTACATCTGCTATGTAAAACTTGAACTATTTTCATATTCATAACCACGATTTAATTAAGGTATAAGAGACTGAAATTCCAAAATACATATATAGCCCACCTAGTCTAAAGAAATAAACTGTTGACACAGAGATATGTCTCGCCTGTCGACATAAACTTCAGAAAAAAACTATCTGATGGACAGCAACATGATTTATTAATTCAGTCGCTGGACCATTATCTAGAAGCAGAGCCTGAAAATAATCTTCAAACTGATATGTACTGATAGTAATGCAACTTTAAGTAGTTCTTATCAAACTGACTTAAACAGAAAACATAACATTGAAAATTGCTAAGTCACTGGAGCATGACCTAGGGGGCAGGGCCTCGAAATAGTCGTCAAACTGATATGAACTGATAGTAATTCAACTTCATATAAAATATCATTGGTCTATCACAAGTAGATCCTATCAAACTAACTTAAGCAGAAAACTTATCATTGAAAATTGCTTATTAATTCAAAGTCTCTGGAGCAGGGCCTCGAAATAGTCGTCAAACTGATATGAACTGATAGTAATGCAACTTTAAACAAAATATCATTGGTCTATCACAAGAAGATCCTATCAAACTAACTTAAACAGAAAACTTAACATTGAAAATTGCTAAGGGAACGACCATTTAATTTCAGGTGGACGGGGAATTATGGTTTTTTCCTAAAAAAAATATTCTGATCCCCAATTTGATGAAAAACAATATTGTGGTCAAGCAGATGACAAAAAAAAAGATTTCTGACTATGACAAAAAAACCATAACCCCCCCGTTGAAGTTAAATGGTTGCTCCCTAATTAATTCAAAATCACTGGACCATTACCTAGGGTGCAGTGCCTCGAAATAGTTGTCAAACTGATATGTACTGATAGTAATGCAACTTTATATTAAATATCATTGATCTATCACAAGTATTTCCTATCAACCTAACATAAGCAGAAAACTTAACTTTAAAATTTGCTAATTAATTCAAAGTTGCTGGACCACGACCTAGGGGTAGGGCCTCGAAATAGTCGTCAAACTGATATGCATCAATTATCAATTACAGCTGTTCTAGTGATTAATTATAATGAATATCAGTTGGTTAGGGCAATCAAACTAGATAATCCATTGTAAAATTTACTAATTGTTTATGATCTGTTGTAAAATAAATACTTTGAAAGATTTGTATAAAAATAAGAAGATGTGGTATGATTTCCAATGGGACAACTCTCAACTAAAGACCATATGAATTACAAGCTGGTCCACTTTAAATTGTTGCAGTATACATGTAGAATCACTGCAAATATATGCACTAATGATGTTTTGCTTTATATTCAGTGAACTTTTAAGAGTTAATTTTCATTTGTAATGTTTTAGCATATTGATAATGTCGTTAATTATGATTACATAAATGATAGTCAGTTGGTTTGGCTTAACCAATTATAACTGATCATCTGTTGCAAGGTTTTGAACACAATAGTCAACACTTTAATCTGGCACTTTACAGGAACTACTATTCTAAGCTGACTTTTTATTTTTATGACAATAAACACACAAATATCAATGTAAAATATGATTCAATAAAGTTTTCTAGAACAATAAAACATTCAACATGTACATAAATTACATTTAGTAGTACATGATGCTTCTTTTTAGTAACCACATATAAATACACAATTTACAATAAAAATTTGCTGTAAAACAAAAATTTTACATTGCTATAAATGCACCTAATTGTCCAATGAAATACATTAAAATAGAGTTTGGATAATCAAACCAAAAGGCCAATCTAAGCCTGTCCCTATTTTTAGTTTCTAGTTTGTAAACCTTTTTGAGATATTTGCAAGCATGAACAATGCAATCTATTATTAAGAAAAATATTAAAACTTTCTGTAAAATTTCTTTTTGAATATAGTATATTTTTATGGAAATGTACATTATATTCCATTTAAATAGATTACTGCGAAAATTCCACATATTTGCATTGGGTTTATACATATCAATCAGAAACCAACCAGTAGAAAAATAAATGTATATTAAGATTGTCAAGTATCCCTCCTGACAGTTTGTTGAGAATAACTAGAACCAGTCCAGTGTCCAAACAACAAAATCATTATGTGAATTACAAAATGTTATTTAAAAGAGAAACAAGAATGTGTCCATAGTACATGGATGCCCCACTCGCACTATCATTTTCTATGTTCAGTGGACCGTGAAATTGGGGTCAAAACTCTAAATTGGCATGCAAATTAGAAAGATCATCATAGGGAACATGTGGACTAAGTTGACTGGACTTCAACTTCATCAAAAACTACCTTGACCAAAAACTTTATCCTGAAGTGGGACAAACGAACGGACTCACAGACCAGAAGACTATAAATACCAGTGTGAAAATATTAGAGCCAACTGCTCTTATTGACAAACTTTCAAAACATCACGCAAATTTCTTTCATCTTGTGTATGCTTTAGATGATTTTTTTTATCTTCCTATGTTTTTGTTTTCAAAAACAAATCACACGTTTTTGGTTTTTTTTTACTTTGAAACTATTATTATCTTTAAATCAATCAAGAATACAATTACGGTATTTTAATCTTCACATTATACAGCAACTGGCCTGGTGGGCCTATAGTGGATCAGAGTGTAGACATTGGTATTTCTTATATTTTGTCATAATATGGGCTTGATGTATCATTGTCTTTGATCATTAACAGACAACTAATTCTGAAATGTTTTTGCTTAATTTCAAAATGCTACTTTTACATTTTAATTCAAATGTTGGAAAATGTGACGACTAATTACAGACTGGGTATGTGTTTTGTTACTGGTGAGTCTAGCAGCCAACTAAATTACCTCATCAGCATCATCATATTTATATAATGCAGTGATTGGGAAGAAATGTTGCTACAGCTATTACCCCTTTCATTTACAAAATGTCCTAGTTAACAAGGGAAAATTTAACCAATAGTGTTATTAATTTTTTCGAGTCAATTATTCTTCAAATACTGGAAAAGACTGATTGGTTGACTGGTGGTTGCCTTAAGCTGCCTCAGCACTAAAAGACTATATCACAGCGTACTGGAAAAGTGTTCAATTCCAAATATTAATGATGAACTATATAGCTCTAGCATACAATGACAACTGTATTATAATATACATGAATAAACAGATAATAAATATTTTTTGTACATTAAGATCATGTTTCCTCTAGTTTAGGTTCAACATGTTCCAACACATCCGGTGACTGACTGTCCATACTTTGAATATCTGGTATCACATTAATATCATCATCTTTAGGAACACCCATGGGTGCCATGGCAACATGTAGATCTGTACCTGAATGTAATGTTGTAACAGGATTGGTCAGTTGTTGATACATTGAAACAGGTATAACTATGCCTGAAATAAAAAAACATAAAATTAGTCTGATGGTGATAAGAACCATATATCACAGACCAGACCTTTTCTATTGTAGGGTTGTGATTTAAAAAAAAAACATTGTCTAGTATATGACCTAATTTCATAACCTTTAACAGAATGACATACTTACTTTAATCTGATTCTGGATATGTAGGTGGATGTGCATACTTTCTCTATTTAATGAGCCACTGACATCAATTGGGAATTTAACGTAAACAAACATCTATAAGTATTTTTCAAAATAACTTGCAAAGCAAAGCTGCCAGTAAAACTTAATTCTATTTGTAAATGTATTGCAAAAACATTACTACGATATATCCAGTATAAATAAATGAAAATTCCACAAAAATATTTTTTATTTTGGCATATGATCATGTCTTCATTTGAATAACTTAGCCTCACTGTGAATTTCAGATAAATATGCTGTTCCATGGCTTTGGGATTTGTCATTCATGTAACAAATTTGTCATGAATTAAGGTTTGTTTTATTCTGAATATTGTTTCCTAGATTCTGCTGGAATTTTTTATTTTTTTATTTTGAACACACAATTTTGTTGACATTTTTATATAATAAGGAGATGTGGTATATCTTCGTTGAAATATGATAAATTGCCAAACATCTTTAAAGGAAATACACAATTCATAGGAATGACAGTCTTCAAACATCAAAGCAGCAATTGCATTGCTTTCCTTTTAATGAATTTGAAAACTTGATAGTTCAATTTTACATGATTTAATATTTATCAAATAAAGACATAAATAAAGCCTTTGATTACTACTGGAAGGGATTCAGAGAACTTTTTTTTAATAAAATGAGAACATTTTTTAGATGAAGATTAAAATCTTCTGTTGTGCAATTCACTGTTTACTTACCATTCAATGCATTATCCCCTGTTAAAATAATTTGTCCATCTTCTGATATTGTAGCTATACTCTGTGCCAATGAGTCTGCGTTCATCTCTACACTAACAGGTGTCATGTGTGTCAGATTATCACCACTAGGGTTGGCCAGGGTTTGCACAGCTTGACTGGCCTCCTGATTAGGTACTCCAGGATGAATCTATATACAGACAAATTGGAGCTATTATATTATAAAATATATGGTCCAAATGGAAAAACAATCTTAAAGCAGGGAGTCATTCATAAAAACAATTTCTTTAAATTACTTTATTTCCTTGATTCTAGTATTTCAGAGTCAAAATAATATTTGCATGTCACATATTTAATACTGAGAGGAGATAACTCTCTAGTAAATTATTTTGTCATTGAGCATTACCTTTTTAAGTCACATCAATCATAATCATAAAAAAAGCTTGATGTAAAATCTTTCAAATAATTGGTTTCAAAAGTTAAGCAGTGGTAAAAGCTAGTTATTTTGGATTTAATTTTACTTTCCATATTTTTATGAGTCTCATTTTGATTTTTATAGGTAATACCAACACAATGTAATGTTTGGGATCTTGAAAAAATGAATGAAGAGGGAATTACTATTTTGTTTATTCTGATTTTGTTTTGTTGGACAAGTTGAAAAGATTGGATAATTTGAATATTCAAATAATTATGCTGTCAAAATAAGGCATGTTTATGCTTATAAAAATGCATACCAAATATCATTGAAGTACCATTAAAGGTTCCCCTTAAACTAACCTAATCACAAACTTAAACATGTAAACTACATAAAAGTTTCAAAGTCAATAGACCATGTTTGAGGTGGAAGGCCCTAAATATTTCTTTTCATGGGTACCACTTTTCGTGTATTAAGGAAAATTGCGCTCCAACTGGAGCAGCTGGATACGACCGCAGAGGTCAAACTCTGAACAATTGGGGCAAGTATGGACACAATATTCAAGCTTGATAAGCTCTGAATTTGGATAGTGATTAAATATTTGATACATTATAGATTTCTAATACAGAATAAATGTGGTCAGATAACTTAAAAATTTGAAATGGGACATTTAATCTACTTAATGGTCCAATATCCAAAATGTATTGTGATAATCAGCATTGTGCATAAATTTCATAACATTTGGTTGAGGCAAACTAAAGTTAGAGAACAGAAACCAATTTTGGGACGTACATACGTACGTACGGACAGACAGACGTACAGACGGACAAGGGTAAATCTTAATGCCCCCGCTACGGTGGGGGCATAAAAAAAAGAATTCAAACAAAGTTAAATTTTTGACCCTTTGGACCTTAATATGGACTAATTTGAAAACAGGGCCCAAAATTAAAAATCTTAATGCACAGTTAGATTCAGCAAATCATAGAACCACAAGAATTCAGTTTTTGATGAAATCAAACAAATTCTAATTTTGGACCCTTTGGACCTCAATGTAGACCTATTTAAAAATGTCCAAATATCCAATATAGTAATTCATGGTAATACCTCCAACAATTCAAAACTTTAAATTAATCCTCATTGAAATTGGTTAAAAGATTTGTATTTATTTTCAATTGAAGATTTCTTGCTGTTGTGCAATACTTTGCTGTTGTGCAATGCTTAGTAAATCTTTTTACAAACTAAATATAATAATTTACACACCCTTTTTGGTGTGTATCTCCTGCCATATCAGTATTTGTTGTTTCTTTATATAGATCAGAAATAATTTATGTTAGAACCAGCTTAGCCAGTATTAGAAAAGTATTATTTTTGGCCCTATTTGGCCTCTAGTTTCTTAATGATTAAAGCCACAACCCACAAAATCGACCCCAACCTTCTGTGTGTGGTATGGAACCTTGTGGTACAATGTCATGAGATCCATTGACTAATACTTAAGTATTTGTCCTGAAACCAGAAAAACCTTGTTCCTCCTCCCCCTCCCCCACCCCCCTTTTCCTGAACAGTTTGAGCCATAACCCCCAAAGTCAAGTCCAACGTTCCCTTTGTGGTATGGAACCTTGTGTTTCAATTTCATAGAGATCCATAGACTAATACTTATGAATTGTCCATTAACCAGAAAAACCTTGTTTTTTCCCCCCTTTTTGTGCCCGTTATTCCTGAACGGTTTGGGCCATAACCCTCAAAGTCAATCCCAACCTTCCCTTTGAGGTATGGAACCTTGTGGTACAATTCAATTTCATAGAGATCCATACACTTATACACAAGTTGTTGTCCGGAAACTAGAAAAATGCCTTTTTTGGCCCCTTTTTTACCTTAATTCCTTACCAGTTGGGACCATAACCCCCCAAAATCAATCACAACCTTCCTTTTGTGCTATTGAACCTTGTGGTTAAATTTCATAGAGATCCATTCACTTATACTAAAGTTATTGTCCGTAAACCAAATGTCCTCGAACGACGATGACATGATAGCAATATACGAATGCAAATTTTTTGCGGTGGTATAAAAATTGTATTTTTGTTGACATTTAATTTTGTGGTTTTACAAAAGTCTACATAAATGCCTATAGAAAATTTCAAACTTTAACCTGATACCTGACGAACTAAGGAACAGATGAATAGATGAAAGGACAGCCTTGAAATATAATGCCCTCTACTAACACAGACGGGGCTTAATAAAAGGACAAACAATAATTAACTTACTGCATGAACAACTGTAGCTTGTGTCCCATCAGGAAGTGTAACGATTTGATTAGGTGATGTATCTATCTGAATAATAGACACTGTACCATCAGGATTGTTTATAGTTTGTAACATAGTTCTTTGATAGCTCGATTCGGTTTCGAATACATGTAACAGATCTTCTCTTCCATGGTGTCTGTAACAGTTCTTCACAATACTTTTAAGAGCATCTGTCCACGATACCTATTTAAACAGAAATGTAAGTGATTGAAGCAATACTATTATATCCCAATCATTTTATATGATTTCATACATATACATATGTAAGCAGAGTATATCACTGTATGCACATGTACGGTTATTAATTCTGATCATTATCATTAAACACAAGTGTTAAAAGATCAGTTCATTAATTCCAGTGTATTCCTGTTTTGCATTTTGTCAACAATATAATAAAGATACATGGAAAGAGTTCATATTTGAATACAAATAAGGAGCTGTCATCTCAACACAATATATGCAGGATTTGTGAAGTAAATGCTTTGTTATGGAAACCACAAAAAATAACTCAGATCAAAAATTAAAATAGCTGGTGCACAATGGAAATCTATCTAGCCATTTTCAAGGAATTGCAAATTTTCAAAGTTGATGTTGAAGACCAAGCAAAAAAACAGACATGACCCTTATGGGTTGTTATAGCCTTGTGCCTAAAATTTAAGGCCAAATAAGGCCTATCTTGCACTATTAACAATTTAAACCTTTTTCATATCAGTACGTACTCAAAAAATGACAAAAAGGGAATAATAAAAAATCTTCGTTCAGTCTAGTTTTCAAAATAAATATAATTCTGAAGATCTATAAATATATGTACAAATCAAGAATTGTGTTTTCGCTTTTTAAACAAATTATCTGACATTATTTCTTTTTATTTATAAGCATTATGTTAATTGGTTGTACTTCCTTATCCTGCATGGTTTTTTTTTACAATCAAGATAATTCCAGAACAGCAGCTTTGGAAGAAATGTAACAGTTCACTATATATATATATCTACACACACTTAAAACACATGTCTTATGTCTATCTCTAGATTCGCCTTACGCGACAAGGTAACACTATGACTATTGAAGTCATATTTTTATATAGCAAATGTGGTCTAGAGCGCTGGACATGAGGCTAAGCGATTGGTGCTGTAGTGTATCAAAGGTATGAGTCCAAATCCTGTTGAGGGACAAACTTTTTGTCAGCATAAAAATCTAATTCTAACACTGTTTATTTTTCAGACTTATATATATCATGTTGATTGGCTGGCATTATGAATTTAAATATCAATATGTGAACCTTTTTCTTCTGCTCTGTTGTTCTAACATCACTTCTAACATTAGCCCATGGAACATCATCAGGCCACCAAACAGGACGACATTCCATTTTACCCCAGCCAGGTTTACTTCTGCCTGTTGAGTATTTTAGCATTTCAGGTATGAACGTCCTTAACTGAGCCTATAGAGTAAAAAAAACTAAAATGACTGAATTTTAAATACACCATATTCAGATAAATACACTTCATACTCTGCAGGTTTTCAACAAGTAAATAAAAAAAAATCAAACATGATCAAGTTTCCACAGAAAAGGAGCTTTCTCATTCGAGTTTATAATATACTGTCTTGTGTTCACTCCTCTTGTTTCTAAAAAAAAATTGTAAACAGGTGTTGCTACCAGTTTTGATGTACATCATTCCCTTTTCATCACATTTGGATGCATTTTTTCTCTTTGTTCCTGATAAAGTTTCATGTAGGCTAAGATTTGATAAAACAGTCGTGTTTTTGAGATGTAATGTAACCAATTGTGACAACCCCAAAAATTCAAAATATCAGTTTTCAGTCTTATTTGATGTTAGTTGTTATCTGTGATATTTTTTGTGGTTTCTGTGTAGAAGAGGCATAATTGGGCCTGAATTTGTACTTTAACATGGTCCATTTTTTTTCTAATTTTAGTCAGATTTTTTTCAGTGAGTTAATTTTGATCAGAATGTGATTTTCTTCCTTATTTTTCTCTTGAGAGCTTTTCATGATTTGTAGGGATTTTGTCTGACTATCTAGGTAACTGAGGTATAGGAATAAAAGATTGAGATACTTCACTATCACGATTTGATTGACAGATACAGTGTGTCTGTGTCTCAACTGACTAGTAATATGTTTTAACTGTGTTAGATCTAAAGCTTCCAGAATATTGGTCTGATCTGTAAACTTACTGATTGTGTGCTATTAATTTCCTATTGTGACATTTGACTGAGAGAGTCTTGCTCCTTTTGGAGTTCATGCAATTCAATGAGTTTTATTTAACCTTGATTTTTATCTTTCAAATGCATTTGTGAGATTTGAACATTGATAAACTTTTGTTGCCTCTGATTTTCATGTACAAGTATAAAAAAAATTATTTTCATTTTTTTGTACTGTAAATACAATTTTCATTGATTCATTTAATTTGGATAATTTTGCAATGTGTTCCTATTGATGTGCACTTTTAATAATATTCCAAAAGCTTTGTCATAACTCTCAAAGTTCCTTATATATGTGAAAGTCCAGTGGGACTATAATTAAGCTACTGTGTCAAACATTTGACAGTTTCAAACTAAATTTTGTGTTCTAACTTTCTTTGAATGTACATTTCTTTCAAAAGATGATGCTGTCATATTATCTATATCTATAAATGAATGGGTAACTTGTTGGCAGTCACGTCCAGAGCTAATATGCAAATAATTTCTACAGCTACAAGAAATCACTTGTTATAAATATCTGGGCCAGATAATGTCTTTAATATGAATTACCTGTGTCATTTTTTCTACTGAAGTAGGGATACCATCAATGGATAATGACGGTAGCTCTTGAGCACCCTGGTGTTCTGCATGAGGTATTGTCTCAGATAAAGATGTCTCTAAATCTTGAAGAATAACTCCTTTACAATTCCTCATCTGAAACACAGGAAACTAACATATCAAAATACACAAAATGTATGGCTACACAACATGTACAGTTTTAAATCACCATTTTTTATAATTTTGCAGATATAATAATTCTTAAGTAATTCATCTAAAACTTGTTTGAGCTGCCATTCCAGTATTATACATTCCTTTTATTCACAGTTTTCATGTTATGCATTATTCAGTTTACATGTTGTACATTTTCATTTTATTTAAAAATAAATGGGGAATGTGTCCCCCGCTTGCATATACATGTAATGTTAAAAAGGGACATAACTCAAGAACGGTAAAAGTGATGCTATCCAAATTCGCACTTGATCTGAGTTATGTGGTAATAAGTATTGTGTATAAGTTTCATAACATTTGGTTGAGGCAAACTTAAGTTAAAGAATGGAAACCAAAAATTCAGCCATTTTTCTATTTGTAAAAGGCATAACTCTATAACAGTAAAAGTGATGCCACCCAAATTCAAACTTGATCTGTGTTTCGTGATAAGAAGCATTGTGTATAAAATTTATAACATTTGGTTGCGGCAAACTAAAGTTAGAGAATGCAAACAAAAAACAAGAATGTGTCCATAGTACACGGATGCCCCACTCGCACTATCATTTCCTATGTTCAGTGGACTGTGAAATTGGGGTCAAAACTCTAATTTGGCATTAAAGTTAGAAAGATCATATCATAGGGAACATGTGTACTAAGTTTTAAGTTGATTGGACTTCAACTTCATCAAAAACTACCTTCACCAAAAACTTAAACCTGAAGCGAGACAGACGGACGAACGGATGCACAGACCCAAAAACATAATGCCCCTAGGTGGGGCATAATTAAGCATTTTTTCCATTTGTAAAAGGGCATAACTCTAGAAAGGTAAAAGTGATGCCACCCAAATTCAAACTTGATCTGTGTTTTGTGGCAATAAGCATTGTGTATAAGTTTCATAACATTTAGTTAAGGCATAAAAAAGTTAGAGAATGAAAACAATTTTGGGATCTGTACTTACCTACCGATGTACGGACAGACAAGGGTAAAACTTAATACCCCCTTTGCTATGGCAGGGGCATAAAAATAACGGTTACAAGAAATAATGTGTTCATGAAAATTTTATGGCAGAGAAATCCATGTAACAACATTAGGGAGAGCTTAAAATAAGGGCTGTGTGGGAAACCCAAAACACGTGCAATTTTTTTTAAAATTTATTATTTTGACGTATCTTAGTAGATATCTACGGCTGACCTTCATTAGAGACTATAAATGTCAAATTTGGTTTAACTTGAGTTGTTAGGACAATTAACAGTCTCATTGAATAAATTTACATCATATTTTGTTCTGAATTTATAGTATAAGCTTTCCTGAATGCAACTTTTTTGGCATTGTTAAAAGATGAGACGAAACAATACTATCAAAGTGCTTGTGAGCACTGAAGGGTAAAGATTGCACTAATTTTGCAGTGGGAACTAAAATTAAACATTGCATTGAAGTGAGCATTTGAAAGCTAAACTACAAAATGGACAAAGGAAGATAACTCTAATTTTTAATATTACTTTTAGAATGACATTGATATTGATAACTAGATTCATAGAGGGGGGTAGGACCTTTATAGGGACTCCGGGATCGGGTGTTTTTAAGCTCAGGATTTCGGGATCCGGGAATTTTTTTTTCGAATTTCGGGATTTAAATTTTTTTAAATTCATGACCTCGAGATTCCATGTTTTTAAGCCCGGGATTTCGGGATCAGGACCCCTCCTACCCCCCTCTTCATACACCATGTACAATTAATGCAATTTTCTGAGAAGTATGGTTCTTCACATACATGTAAACACCATTTTGTAGCTTGAATACCGTGAGTAAATATTTCATTGATACTTTTCTTGAAATGTCATGGAGAGAATGTATAGAATGTTGTGCTCAATGAGCTATATTTTTTTTATCTCAAAAGTAGTGATAATGTTTGGAAAATTGATAACTATTAAGCCAGCCCCATAAGGGTTTTGATTATATGAATGCATTATTTACCTAAATGCTTGCCTCTAAACAAAAATGTTCACTGTTACGCACATTATTTTTGTATTGTAAAATATATGCAGTACAAAATATATTTTTCCAGTATCCACTTAAATGCTGCTTCAATACATGACCTAATACAAAACATAATGTGCAAGTAAACTTCCTTCTTGTATAACATACCACACTTTCTAAAGGTTGTGATCCAAACACTTTATAATTATTGTTTGAATTTGACATTTTTCCAGGCGTACAACATAGCACCACTGCCTGCTGACCAACTCTTGTAGTGTACTCTTCTATTGTCTGCTTCAATTTCCTGAAAATATACGTTAACAATGGTTAATATTTCTTTTATGTGTAAAAAGTTTCAAGTTGATGTGACCGCAAATTCATGGTAATCTACCTCAACTAAAAACTTTGACCTAAGAATGAACTGATGTTCAGTGAACCATGAAATCATGGTAAAAACTGTAATTTGACAAATTAATTCAAAAAGCTATCATAAATTACAAGTGTACAAAGTTTCAAGTTGATGTGACCAGAACTTCATGAAAGACTATCTTCACCAAAAACTTTTACCTGATATGGGACATATAAATGGACAGATTGATTGATTAATTGATTGGTTGTTTAACACCACTAATTTGTGTGTATTAGCACTATTGTGCTATTTCATGGCGGTCAGTTTTTATTGGTGGAGAAAGCCAGAGTGCCCGGAGTGAACTGAATGGACAGACATATATATATATATATATATATATATACAAGTCTAAATTGAAAACAACGTTCAAACCTATGATTGCGTTGGATAAAAACCGCAATTTTTATACGTGTGCATGCAAACAATTTCTTGTTAGAGGGGTCTAAATACAGCACAAACAACATTTTCCAAAAGACCAAAAAAGTGAAAAAGTATATTTTAACAAAACGCATTTGACTAACAGGTCGAACAACAAATGTTCTTAAATCCTGCTGACTGCCATTGGCGATTGCCAAATAAACGGATCACAAGGTGTAATAAATGGATCTTAACTATAAATTTAATACCAAACAGAAAACAATAAACTTGCGGCGAAGATGGTATACCGCAAACAAAGGTGCAAAGATTTTTTGTACACCATATCCGGATTTCGACAATTAATGTCTCTTCAGTGATGTTAGGAATCAAAAAAGGTTATTGGAAGGCTATATAATTTACCTCAATTTAGGATAGACTCTTGAATTTTGAGGAGTCAAAATAGGATGAACGGATCATATAAACCCGAAGGCAAATATAATACAAGCCCAAACGAAAAAATATAAACAAGTCTAAATTGAAAACAACGTTCAAACCTATGATTGCGTTGGATAAAAACCGCAATTTTTATAAGTGTGCATGCATACAATTTCTTGTTAGAGGGGTCTAAATACAGCACAAACAACATTTTCCAAAAGACCAAAAAAGTGAAAAAGTATATTTTAACAAAACGCATTTGACTAACAGGTCGAACAACAAATGTTCTTAAATCCTGCTGACTGCCATTGGCGATTGCCAAATAAACGGATCACAAGGTGTAATAAATGGATCTTAACTATAAATTTAATACCAAACAGAAAACAACAAACTTGCGGCGAAGATGGTATACAGCAAACAAAGGTGCAAAGATTTTTTGTACACCATATCCGGATTTCGACAATTAATGTCTCTTCAGTGATGTTAGGAATAGAAACGGTTATTGGAAGGCTACATAATTTACCTCAATTTAGGATAGACTCTTGAATTTTGAGGAGTCAAAATAGGATGAACGGATCATATAAACCCGAAGGCAAATATAATATAAGCCCAAACGAAAAAATATAAACAAGTCTAAATTGAAAACAACGTTCAAACCTATGATTGCGTTGGATAAAAACCGCAATTTTTATACGTGTGCATGCAAACAATTTCTTGTTAGAGGGGTCTAAATACAGCACAAACAACATTTTCCAAAAGACCAAAAAAGTGAAAAAGTATATTTTAACAAAACGCATTTGACTAACAGGTCGAACAACAAATGTTCTTAAATCCTGCTGACTGCCATTGGCGATTGCCAAATAAACGGATCACAAGGTGTAATAAATGGATCTTAACTATAAATTTAATACCAAACAGAAAACAATAAACTTGCGGCGAAGATGGTATACCGCAAACTAAGGTGCAAAGATTTTTTGAACACCATATCCGGATTTCGACAATTAATGTCTCTTCAGTGATGTTAGGAATCGAAACGGTTATTGGAAGGCTATATAATTTACCTCAATTTAGGATAGACTCTTGAATTTTGAGGAGTCAAAATAGGATGAACGGATCATATAAACCCGAAGGCAAATATAATACAAGCCCAAACGAAAAAATATAAACAAGTCTAAATTGAAAACAACGTTCAAACCTAGGATTGCGTTGGATAAAAACCGCAATTTTTATACGTGTGCATGCAAACAATTTCTTGTTAGAGGGGTCTAAATACAGCACAAACAACATTTTCCAAAAGACCAAAAAAGTGAAAAAGTATATTTTAACAAAACGCATTTGATAACAGGTCGAACAACAAATGTTCTTAAATCCTGCTGACTGCCATTGGCGATTGCCAAATAAACGGATCACAAGGTGTAATAAATGGATCTTAACTATAAATTTAATACCAAACAGAAAACAATAAACTTGCAGCGAAGATGGTATACTGCAAACAAAGGTGCAAAGATTTTTTGTACACCATATCCGGATTTCGACAATTAATGTCTCTTCAGTGATGTTAGGAATCTATATATATATATATATATATATATATACAAGTCTAAATTGAAAACAATATATATATATATATACAGACCAGTACACATAATGCCTGCTACTATTGAAGACAGGGCATTAAAATATTGTTCTCTGTGTGTATGAAATAATTTGATCTTTCTAGTAAAGTCTGTTGAATAAATCAAAATACTGTATGTATAAACTTACATGCAATTCTTTAAGCATGATAATCTCGACATTTTTGTGAAAATTCAACATACTAAATGAACACAAAGAGGGTGGTTTTTTACTTTACTGATTTTGGTTACTTCTAATGTTGATCCCTGTTTTAAACATTTGTTTCGATAAATAAAATTTTCATTCATGTGAAGACATCTACTCAATAAAATATGTTATGTTGTTTATCAGGAATACATACTTACCTAAGCAGCCTTGTTTGTTGTCGTTTACGTATAGATGGATTAGTTTCAAAAGAATGTGGACGTTTCTTTTTTCTACCACCAGCAATTGCTGCAGCTGCAGCTAATCCTACTGTCCCTGTCATAAAACAATACCTCTAAATTATTTTATCCTTTTAATATTAATACAAACAAGTAAAACTGTGAGCTACTGCTCACTAATGATACCCCCGATGAAATATTTCGGTAAACAGGAAGTTGTTCAGTGCTGAATCTGAAAACACATCACACGGTATAGCTGACTTAAATAAACCCTGAAACCAAATTTCAGAAATCCTTGTCAAGTAGTTCCTGAGAAAAATGTGACGAAAATTTTCAACTTGGCTATCATGTGTAAAATAATACAAGTGTTCGTTAAACAGGAAGTTGTTGAGTGATGAATCTGAAAACGCATCACAGGGTGTAACTTACTTATATAAACACTGAAACCAAATTTCAGAAATCCTTGCCAAGTAGTTCCTGAGAAAAATGTGACGAAAATTTTCAACTTGGCTATCATGTGTAAAATAATACAAGTGTTTTCGGTAAACAGGAAGTTGTTGAGTGATGTATCGGAAAACGCATCACAGGGTGTAACTTACTTATATAAACCCTGAAACCAAATTTCAGAAATCCTTGTCAAGTAGTTCCTGAGAAAAATGCGACGAAAATATTCATGGGACGGACGGACTGACGAATGGACTGACGGAAGGACAGACAGAGGTTAAACAGTATACCCCCACTTTTTTAAAGCGGGGGTATAATAAGAAAATTGTTCTTGTATCAAAATATGTCAAAATGTGATAGCTGGGAAAAACAGATCCAACTCTGAAAAATGAAAAACTTATAAACATGCACTTCATTGGAACTTTTAAAAGTTTTTCCAATATACACGTACAATGAAAATATGCAGGAATCCAATTTGTATCAAGGTTTCTCTGTCCACACATATGTTATTAAGTAGGATCTGTTTTTTGAATGTAATGTTCTTTGTCAGTTTACAAACTTTGTCTTTTACACACAGTACTAACATATATAATAGAGGATTAAGGATTCTCCATCATTGTGTGATGACAATTTAAAACTTTCCACTTTTCTTCAGAATGGTAGGTCATAATAATAATAATCAGGTTTTCAAAATGTAAATTGCAAAGAATTACAGTGGTAGATGGTGACATGCTACTGTACAATGTAATATATATATATATATATATATATAGTAGCATGTCATTACATTACTTGACTGTTTATTTGGTCACTACCACCATATTAAGTGGCAAATCAATATATCCTATGTTACATGTATGTCTGTACCTGCAGCTGCTAACTGAACTGAAACTTCATCATCACCCAGTAGATCAGAACTGTCAAACGAACTCTCTGGAGAACTTGGTTCACTTATACCATCACTCATGATATCTGAAGAACTGTTTAATGTGTAAGTCTGGATCCCTGTTCCATGACCTGTTGATGATACAATGCTTGCACTTATCATCATGCGTCCTGTCTGTAAATGTCATCTGCAATAGACAAATTAAATCACCACAATTTTTTTAATATGTCATGAACAAGACATCTGCCTTGGTATTCTTACAAATTGACTTAGTCGACTGAAAAAAGTATGGAGTGTAAAAGTCAAAATGTTGTAAATAGATAACACTGTAACAACAAAATAACTTAAGACAGGATAAACATATGACCCTCACATATGATATGACAACACTTTCACATGGACTTCACAGGTTAATATTTATTTTAAACTTATCATGGATGGTCCCCAACTCCCTACAACATACCAAACAAGGGTGTAAAATCAAAGGATCCTTATTAGAACATAATGCTTACTGCCCAATAAAGGCTTGACTGTAACATTGTAAATTAGATATGACTGGCTAGTGTAATTTTAAAATCAAGCTAGCATATCTTTTTGTCATTATTTGTGCATTGTTCAAAATTTCAACAACAAAAATAAATAAGAAACAAGTTTGTTTTTCACATTCCTCAGGATAAGGTTAAAGAAATAGTTTTTGATGCCAATTATTTGAAAATCATTCAGTTCACAACATTATCAATTTATTCAACTTTTCAAAAAGACAATTTTAAGATTTTTTTTCTCATAAAAATGCTAATTAAAAAAATTAACACCTGAGAATATTGAAAAGGTGTCCTATTATTATCAATGTAAAGTTTGTATTATACTGTATAACACGTATAATATCAGAATGTGTAAATAATAAATAATTTTCTTATTTCATGTATTTTTTTCAACTACATGTATTTGTGGTTTCCCACCTTTTTCCAGTTAATTATAACTATAAAACTTGGCAATAACGATTGAAAATCCAACTGATGGGTAGGAGTGTTTACAGAAATTAGAGACCCATTGCATTCATTTTGCAGACTGTTTGTTGCTCTCTTGGTCTCTTTTGGTTATTGTTTCTGTTGGGTTGCTGTGTCATTGAAGTACACCCCACATCTATCTTATTCATGTTGAATAAGTATTTACAATCAGGGAGTGTCTTCCCTGAATTCTAAAAACTGCAGACAATTTTATATAGTAAAGGACAGGGTTTGAATCACTAGCGATTCGTTTTGTATTAAGACAAATGTAACTTTTTGACAGAAAAGTCGTCAACAAACACAAAAATCCTGAAGTAGAACAGTTGGAAGGTTTTATGACGATCCACTGGTTGTTTAAAACAGCTTCCAAAAGAAACGCAGCTGCTTACTTAATGAAGTTTAGTAAACACCAACATTCAAATTATATTGTGACGTGATTGCTTCCCTTAGTTGAAGTTACTAAATGTCATGCAGAAATTATTTTGAAATTATTGTATTTAATTTGTTTGTTAGCATTTGAATCGGAAACAACTTTTAATTGGAATTTGGACTGTCACGAAATAAAAGTTCCTTCATAATATAAGTTCCAAGTGGAAGAAATATTCTGTATGGAATAAAGGGTATAGAATATTTGTTCCAACAGGAACAGATGTCATGACATTGTTTTATAACAAAGTTTCCAGGGGAACTTCTGTTAGGCGGAACCAATATACGTTGACAGGACCATAGAACTAAAACAAGATTTCAGCATACTGGTTGGATGTTGATTATACCATTCAGTATTACATGTATTACTGTGTCCTGGAGATAAGTATTTTTGTAAAATGGATATAATACACCTTATCTTGTTTTTTGCCATAACTGGAATTTACAGACATTAATTCCCATAAAAAAATGTCATATCATATAATAAGAGAAATTGTGTGAAGCCCAAACAGGATAAGGTTCTAACAGTGTAAGCTGTACTTAGGAAGATAACCTAAAGAACAATTGTCTGTCCTCCATCCATACATTATTCAAGCAGGACTATTTCTTTAAGAACATTGAATTACTAATTTACTTTCAATGTCTGTTTACTTTCATTTCAGGTTTGACAATATGGCAAGCTTGCCAGAGTGATCTGCACTGCACTCCCATGGCATTATAATAGTTGAATAATTTCTTTTCAGATCCTGATAGGTTGAATCTTGTCCTGATGAAGAAATGTCATGCATTCTCTCATAATCTAACTAAAAGGGAGACAATGCAATATTAGCATTTTACCAGCCATTTTGAATTCTCATTTTCAATAACCCTGCTTTTTAAACATATTTCCATTTTATCGGTTAAAATTTTGCGGGTCTTTTTGTCAAAGTATACTGTGACACTGCGTGCGCAGTGTGGCTGACAGGTGTTTGATAAAAACCTTGCGTCTGCGCGACATTCTGACAGGCTTGCGCGAAGGCTGTGAGGATGAATGTAGAATATGCAGGACCACTAGAGTCTCTGCTTCGGACTGTAGCTAACTTTTTGAGAGACAATGCAAGTCTTTTAATGTTGCGTTTCGAATCTTTGAATTGGCATATTAGATAAGTAATGCAACTTATTTCGACCGTGAGTTCTGTTAAACTTTCGTGTAATTCGTAGGGTCTATGCGACTGCGCATTTTACGACAAATAAAGTTTGGTGGCCTTATTTCACATATGATTTCTCGTTTCCTATTTAAAATTCAGACTTTTCAAATATTCAGTGATTTCAATTTAATTCTCAGTTGTATTCTTAGTTTATGGTTTTGTTTATATCTTACCAAAATCGCAGGGAAAATTATAGTAAATATCGACATTCCAGACATTCATTATGCGCGAAATCGTCCATTTTGGAAATAGTCTGAGCAGATAAACAATGTTGTCCGAGGGGGTGGTCTCGCAATTGAAATTGGATCGAGCAATTGTAGCGCCACCTATGACTAATCTTTTTAGAAAGGCGAAACCCCAGTGACAAATATTTCAAGCAAAGTGTGTTTAAAAAATGATTTCTATGGCGAAAACTTCAGTAAACCGTAAAAAATTCTATTGCAACTTTGAAAGAATAATATAAAACGAAGGGTTAATAGAAGAAAAGGTCAAACTATATCAAAATTATATCTCTAGATGAGAAAAATACACAGATAACATTTAGACTTTTTTTTGTTAAAAAACAGCAAAACTCACAGCAATTTAAAAAAAATACTTATAGATTACAATATTTTATAATGCAGTCTCTATTTGGCTGCCTGTGTTGATTTTTTTGAAGATTTGACTATTCCTTCTCAGCAATCAAGACGCTAAGGGAGCAACCATTTAACTTCAAAAAAAGGGGGGGTATGATTTTTTTGTCCTGAGTCAGAATTTTTTTTTTAGTTTTTCAACGCTATCAATAAAATTATTTTTTTCAAAACTTATCACTATAATTTAAGGTATGGGAAAATCTGGACTCAGAATATTTTTTTTTGTCATCTGCTTGACCACAATTATTTTTTTTCATCAAATTGGGGATCAGAATATTCTTTTAAGAAAAAACCATAACCCCCCCCCCCCCCCCCCCTTTTTGAAGTTTGGTAATTATGGCATTTTGACTTTATAGGGGTATGCATAATAATGACATTGAATTGCTTACAGATATTTTCTCTAATTATAGACAACCGATACAGGGGATGAATTGAGTAGAAGTATTTTATCTTTAAAAAATGGTAAAATTGAATTTTAGAAATGTGGCTGTTCCAAAAATGGTGAAAACCCTAAAAATGACACTAAGTAACTCTTACCAGCGTATTACAATTACTCGAGCTACAGGAAAGGTTAAAGAAGAGCTGTACGTATCTGTCAAAAAATAAATCTCCAATATAAATGTACAAGATCAAGTGTTTAAGAGATTACTGTTTACTGATAATCTCAAAACTGTCTACTTATCATATTCAATTGCTGAAACAAATTCAGCATTTACCTACTCGTACTGCAAATTCTGCTGTTTTATTATCAGCCAGTCAGCTACCCACTGAAGCTGAAATTCACAAGATAATGCTTTCTTTATTTAAGAACATTGTTGACTGTAACATAAAGGCTCAGTTGAACGCGATATTGAAGTAAGGCAACTGGCTTTTGAGTCCACAGAGACCCAAAAACTTTTGAGTCCACAGAGACCCAAAAAGTTAATTAGGGCCCCATGAGGGCATATAACAGACCAACAATGTCATTATAAACAATAATATAACTAACTAACTAACTAACTAACTAACTTTATACAGTATAAAATCCAGTACAAAAGGATCATCGCTGAAATACATGAAAACATAGATAAACAAACAAAACATAAAGAGACAGCAACTGTGACACTTATAACAATATAATATATGCAATGCAATCTAGACAATAGACATGTAATAAAAAACAACAAAAAGAAACACACACAAACACCAAAATAACAACAACATATTTTAATTCAATTAATATTACGTTAACATTGACTCAAGTGCATCATGTAAATGCGCTTTGACTAGTAAATAAACAGAAGACTTAAGTAGTGTGTACCTTATGGAGAAATCTCTACAAAAAACACTAAGAAAACACCCACACATTTAACTATGAGGTAAATGCAAATAACATTGAATAATGGATATTATGACTAATCTGCAGTAAGCAGCAAGAGTTGATGCTTAAAGGGAAATCCTTCTTTGTATGCAGATGAGTCAAACTCGTTCAAAGAAAAAAAAAGAATAAAAAATCATTATTTATAAGATAATTGATTCTATATGTCAAGCCAGCAATAATTATCAATGGACGCATTCGGTTAATCCAAATTATTTTGTTGTTAGTATCTAAATATCGGAAGTTTGGACATGATTTTAATATACTTTGCATCAATTCCTCTCTTTTTAATATATGGGTGTCATATTTAAATAAAAAATGAACTTTTCATTCATCTTCAACCTCACCTAAGGTGCACCTGAGACAAATTCGACTTTGTCGAAGAGTACCCTGGTATCTATCAGATTCAATTTGAGATTTGTTAGCAGATGTTTTTCATTTAGCAATACATCTATCTCCTTTGCTCAAATGTCGTATTGCTGACAAATATAGCAGAGAATGAATATTAGATAAACAATTTAATTCTTGAAGCTAGGTTAAAAAAGTAACGTTAACACTGCTTTATATAGTAAAGATCTTTTAAATCAAATATGTCAATAAAGGTTTTGATTTTATAAATATTGCCGGCATTCTTAATGACCATTTTGTAAAAGAACAAATTCCTGGTTATTTTGATAATACTGAGCTCCCTCTTATTTGTTATGAAGTTTACAAAAAATCTTCCCGGAAATATGTTTTTTTTAAATTATAGCGAGGTGTGTAAAGATGTTAATATCAGTGTAAATACACCTACGTATGAAATAACAATCATTCCAAATACATTTATGGCCCCAGTTCCCATGTTATAACAGGAGACCTTAACATAGCCCAGGACCGAGAGTTGAAATCATTCATTAGACAGGGACCTAAATATCGTCCCCCGTCATTTATTAATTGGAATGTGTATCGTGACATCATACACGACTCATTCCATACTTACTGTATAAAATGAAAAAACTGACAAAAAATCCTTAGATTCATTTTTCCATTCAGTAATGAAAATAGTTGATACTCGTATTAACCATTTAAAAGAACATTTTACTCCTAACAACAACCATAATAGCCCTATTTCTCGTATCAAACATAAGCTAACAGAACTCTTCCATGAATTTGTTTTTGTCCCGGTGTCCGGGTAAGGTGACATGTCTTCCTGCGGACTGTTACCTTGTGAACTAGCAAAACAATCCGGATCAGCATGTCGGTCTAGTAAAAAAAGGGCTAAATTTCATATTACATTAACATGTTCTCGTCCTGAATATGTATATTAATTTGCCGCTGGACGTTAAGCAGCTATCCATCATCATCATCATCATCATTATGTACTGGCTTCCAATGAATATAATAGATTTATTTCGTTTCAAGCCACTGTTCAACCACTAAACTGTATATTCTTTTTACTAGTACACTTGGTTTTTCAAAAACCAGGTAATATTTTTTGGTCGTTTTTAAAGGGGCATTAGCTACGAGATATAAAAAAATTAAAATATGATTTTTTTTTTGTTCAAACAATAATGAAAGTGAAATAGTGAAATAATAATTCGCTTTTAGCAGCCAGTTTAGTTCAATTTTGTCAAAATAAGCTAAGAAACATCGCTGATGAATTATTCACTTGGAAGTGATTAATTCCACCTCATTGTATCCGTATTCATGTGACCTTCAATTTAACCCATTAGCTAGAGATTGGTTACGCAGGTATAAGTTGTGTTCAGCCATTAAAAGGAAAAAAAAATGTCAACATTGAAAGTGAAACAAAGGTGCCATTTCGTTGACTGATTCGATCATTTACGATAAAAGAGAAGATTTTTTTCATTACCTATTGTTAATTGTCAATTTTTAGACTTCCCTTGCCACCATCATATGGTGTTTATGTACCTCAACTTGTTCGATTCGCTGGTGTATGTAACAACGTATTTGATTTTAACGAAAGAATTCTTTATTACTGAAAAATTATTACACAAGGGTCTTCGATATCACAAACTTTTCAAAACTTTTACTAAATTTTATCATCGCTACAAGGACATCATTCGTAAATATAAATCAACGTGCAGACAGACCTTATACGTCCAGGTATTTCACATCCCATCTTTTATGGTAACATTCTATAAGATATTATAGAATATTATAATTTCACTATTATACAAAACACAAAAATGTCGTCTTTCACTTCAAAAGCTAACCAAACCTTTAAACAGACTTATTCACAAGGGATATAGTTACGAAATAATGTTGTCAAGTCATTAAAGATGGCATTTTTAGGAATATTGATTCACTCACAGGGTCTTTGCATCGGAAATAAACACATTTATTTTGAAATCAGTTGTTAGCATGATACGGGTTAAGTTCTTCTCATATAATTTACGATGGCATGATACTAAAGCCCTAACGAGATGGATTGCGGTTGATTTTCATATGATGGAGACATTATCTTTCAATCAGTTTGGACTCGGACTTCTTTTGAACTGAGTTTTACTAAGCGTTTTGCTGTGTTTGTTTATTCCACATTGGGTAGAGGTATAAGGGGAGGGTTGAGGTCTCATGAAACATGTTTTTGTGCCTGTTCCAAGTCAGGATCATCTAGTCATTGTCAGTCTTGTGTTGTTTTATTTTTTTTTATTTTTTGTTCATTTGTATGTTTCGGATTTTTTAGTATGGCGTTCAATTTTCATCTGATTATTATAGTTTGTTCTTATGTTGTACTGTTACACCATTGTCCTAGGTTAGGGGAAGGTTTGGCACCAGCAAACTAGTTTAACACCGCCACATTCTATATGTAACTGTTCCAAGTCAGGAGACTGTAGTTTTCACGTCTGTCATATTCGTTTTTCGTGAATTGTTTTGTTATAAATTAGGCCGTTAGTTTTCTCACTTGAATTGTTTCATATTTTTCATGCCTTTTATAGCCAACTATACAGTATGGGCTTTCTTCATTGTTGAAGCCTGTACAGTTTTCTATAATTGCTTACATCCACTTCATTTGAACTTTGGTAGATAGATGTCTCTTTGGCAATCATACCACATCTCCTCCGGGTGCGGGATTTTCTCGCTGCGTTGAAGACCCATTGGTGGCCTTAGGCTGTTTTCTGCTTTTTGGTCGGGTTGTTGTCTCTTTGACACATTCCCCGTTTTCATTCTCTATTCTTTTTAATGTTTGATTTGTTCAGAATATTTCGAAAAGTAGCGGCAGAACTATATGCAGTTAAATGAGCATGTGTCAAGTCAAAAAACGTGTGTGGAACATATGCACTTCAAACTTAATGGGCATATACTGTTAAAGTACTTTTATTCGTGGGGTACCAATTTTCGTGGTTTTCGTGGATGGCTTTATCCACGAATTTAACTGTCCAACAAAATATAATAACTGTTGTCCAATTCCAGACATGGAAAGATCCCCATGTAGGTTTGATTACATGGATACGGTCATATAAATAAACGTACTATGATCTAAATATACATTTTTTTTTGTACAACTTCAGACCGAATTTTACCCATTTAATCTTTAAAAAATCTAAAATGTTCGACTGTTAACATTTTATTTCTCATGAGAAATAATTTTTGATCGATGAAAGTCAGATTTCCGGTGATGATATGCGATGTTGAAATGTTCCTTTTTTCATAATTCTCATACGAAAAAAAAATACTGATTTCATTTTGGGCTTGCTTTTTTATGTCATAATAATAGATTCTACAATTCAAAATATTATGAATTTGTTAGTAATGAAGGCGAACAAGTGAGTGAAAATGAACACCTTATTTAACAATGCCCCACAAATCATTATAAAACAACATATGATTAATATCACGAATATTCGATTATGAAGTCTTCAAATTCGTCATTCGTTTTTTTTCTTCAGAAAACTAAAATCCACGAATTCAAGAACCCACGAACATGTAACTTTTGCTGAAACCACGAAAATTGATACCCACGAATAAAAATACTTTCACAGTAATCTGTTTATTGTCTCCTCTGTGATTTAAACAACGTAGAGTTCTCATGCACTTAGTCCATATAAGTCATTCAAATTAAAGAAAAACGTTCTTAATTTTTTGTAATGAAACTGCCAAGTTGATTGGTATAATATATTATATATTTTGACATTCAGTCAAAAGCTTTAGAACTAGTGTTGTATATGTTACTTAATATATTGAATCAAAATAAGATTTGTTAACTATCTTTGTTAATTGTGAGGTAGTATATGTAGAATGAAGAAAAAAAAACTGATGAACTGTGCGCCTGACACAACCAGTGCTGCTGCTTGTGCGTTATTAGTCCACTAGAGTAACCATTCGCCCAGAAGACAGACTGTTGGTACTGATATGATTTAAATGATACATTTTATTTTATCAATTTCCAGCTCATAGAATCGTGCATTTATACACAAAATAAGGTTGCAACTCCCATAGAAAAGTTGACTTGAGACATATAGCTCATTACATCCTCGTCCTATGATTGCATACTTTCTGAAGGTTTTTCGAGAATGCATGTGTGTACGATAACGAGTAACGATACAAGTATAACCTTTTAAAAAAAAACTTGTCTTGCCTCAACTATTAATAGTTATATTATGGAAAGCATGTATTGTTTTTGTTTTGGTTCTTTCATTTATTTAACAATTTGACATATTTCCATATAATCAAAATATAATCCAGTACTACCAGTTTCTGTTCAAGGTATTTTGGTACAAAAGTGCTAATTTTACAAGTGTATTAAAATTTTGTATAGAAGGACATGTCTAGCCAACATTAATTAATTTATATCCTAAAGACAAAATATAGTTTAATTTTTACCGTTATTATGGTTTTGGTTAAAATTTCCATTTTATGCATTATTTGGAAAAATACTAAAAACTTGGAAAACATTGTCAAAAGTGCGGCTAAACTGACTGATACAAACTAAAGTCAACAGCTTCTACCAATCATTGGTATTTAAAATGCTGCTTTTTACATATTTAACATATATATAATGCTTTATCGCTATTTTGTGCATTTTTCCTTTGATCTTTGATCATCTTTTTCGGTGATAATTTTTTCATATCATGCTACTCAGTCGCATGAGATGAAAAATTATCGTAAGAAGAAACTAAGGGCGCACGTGACGTTGTCAATGTAAACATGAACAACTTCATTGGCAAAATAGCGATAAACAGCTCTTTTTTCTCAGCCACATCTCATCTCAGTGCTGTCGCCCTTCGATATCATGAGATTGTAGCTGAGATAACCTCGTTTGAAAACCCATCAATAATCTATAAATATAGGCATATACCCAAAAATCCAATTTGCTCTCGCGATTTTGTTTCATTATATAAATCTCTTACAATCCTTGATTTGGTTTTTCCTATTACTTACCATTGCGATTTAAGAATTCCGCTAAAACTGGTACTTGGCAGTACCGTCTTAGACTTAAGGTGCTGCGAGAGCTTTTGCTCCTGGATGAAGACCTTATTGTAACTTTTAGATGAATAGCAACATTTAGATTTCGCTTGTGCGTGTAGGGATTTTACACCATATTCTTTCTTGTCAACTCTTTTGCTTAATAACACTTTTCTACATATACTCATTTCTATATTCATTTATTTATAGTGCATATTGGTATTTCTGCTGTATGAAATGTTTAATTTACGGTAAAAGTTTGTAAATATGTATCAAACTATTTGAATATGCAGGAACGAATATCTCAAGATACCCATCTCCATCTATATCATGTGACGTGATTCCACCAACAGTACCGCCTTTTGTATCTAGTATCTTATTTGACTGATATGACCAATCAGATACACTTTCAGAAACTGCATTTAAGATGTAAGCATGGCTGTCATCGTCACCGGACAATAAAATCAGGGGCTTCCTGAAAGAAATTGGAATAAACAAAATTTCAAGCAATATATATGAGGGGCCTGATGGGTTATTTTCGTTCTTCGTGATCGGCGCATTTTCGCTATCGTGATCCGTTTTTCTACAGATTTATTTTATTTATATATTAATTTTTCGTGATCCGTGATCATGGAAATTTATTTTCTGTGAATCGTGATTGACAAAACTGTGAATCGTGATTGACAAAAAAATCAACTCGTGAATCGTGATGAGACCCCCCCATCAGGCCCCTCATATATCTCAAAATAATGAAGAATCAGCTATCCGCTATCCCAAAGCTGACAAACTTTTAAATTTTCTGTTAAAAGACACTTCTGCAAAACCTTTTTTTTTAATATCGAAGAAATACAATTTTTGCCTGAAAATATGATAATATTATATTAACATGCAATAAATATTCTAAAACTTTGAAATTGATAACAATTGTCTTAAATATTGGAGGAATATATCTTCTTTGTAAGTTTATCTTGCGTCTAAAATATTCATGTGACCTATAGTTGTTAACTTCTATATATATGTCATTTTGTCTCTGATGTAGTATTGTCTCATTGGTAATTGTACCACATCTTCTTATTTTTATACGATATATCATAAGAAATAAAAACTTAATATCAAAATTTCCTCTTTTGTCCAAACGATATGAAAAGGGAAATTTATGGTGCACGCCTTAGTGACAAAACCTAGCAACACAGTACATCTATTAACATATATTTTTATACATTGTGATTTTTACCCATTGTTTGTAGATGGATTCCTAATAGTTCTAGCTGATCCTGGTGCACCACCACCGGGAAGTAGATTGTGAGATTTGAAACCTGTCATGATTGTGTGTCGAGTAAAAGTTTGCGTTCTGAAATCAAATCATATAATTATTATGATATTGGTATATTCAACAGGACAGATTACAGATCCACTAAAAAGGATTAGATATGAAACATCATTATTCTTATTAGTGCAATAAAGCACTTGTAAAAACTTGTAAAATTCTCGGTGCAAGAAAATCAGACATAGTAATGTGGACATTTTAAGTAACAATGTCCTGCGATGCAATTATTTTATTTTATTTTACCATTCTTTGATTAATTTATAATGCACCTGATGTCAATAAAGTCATAACTAAAAGTCGTAACAACACACTTGGTCATAATATGAATTGTTACGCAGCGGCACTGTCAGTAAATGTTAAGGTCTATTATTTTCATTGTTGAGTTATTATATATACTGTAAAAAACAATCAAAGCAATGCATGTGTTGTTACGATTCTATCAGTAACTTCAGTACTAGAACACTACCAGTAAAAAGATAAAAAAATGTATAATTCATAGAACACTGTCAGTTAAGCCTAAGATCAATAAGTTCAACACTAGAACACTATCATGAAATGGAATCATAAAGCCATTTTGTTCACCGCTAAAGCATTGTCAGTTACCACAAGGCTAATATGTCCTCCAGAAAACTGTCAATAAAATCTTGCGTCAATGTTCACTCATATAAAACCCATAAAATATCAATCGACCCTAATGCTATTGTGTTCATTGAAAGAACATTGTCAGTAAACCCTAAAGTCGACATTTTCAATGAGTTTAATATGTTAACTGGAGTAATGTCATTATGTCCATTGCTAGAACATTGTCAGTACATTCTTATAAAACTGCCAATATTCCATAACAAGTTATGACCCAGTGTCTGTAGTACCATGGAAGTATTATATTTCATTTTACTTCCATGGTAGTACTCAATTAAGCGAAAAAAGAATCAATTATATCCAAGTCCACTGTCATGGTTTTTAGGAAAACTGATTTATCATGCTCATGATAAAATAATTTAATTGTGGATGAAACACGTCTTCTGATTGGCTGAAAGTTTTTTGTCTATCAGCTCATAGACATAATTTTGTCATGTGACCGTGACGTCATCAACGTTTTTTCATGAAAAATGGAATTTAGAATTAAATTATAAGGAAAGACTGTAATATTTTTTCTGCCTATTCGAAATAATCTCAAAAATGTGGTGCACAACATTTTTGATGTTATTTCTTCATAGACAGAAAAAATATTACAGTAATTTCTTAAATAACATCTATTATATGACATATCCGAATTGGATTATGTTTGGACATTATAATGTGTGCAATAGATTGCAGATATGGGATTCTGTATGAAGCATATGGTCACATTTTCATGAGACTGTCCAAAGCAAGGAACAATAAATCCAACGATTGTCGTTGGTTGCTGTTCGACATATTTGTTTTTTGTTCCTTGTTGTAGTATAGATCACGCCGTTTGTTTTCCCTTGTGCATTGTTTCACATTTTCTCATTAAGGGGTCTTTTGTCGCTTACTTTACAGTAATTAAGGGTTTTGCTCATGGTTGAAGTTCGCATCTGTGTACTTTGAACTATGGATAGTTATCTCATATTTTTTGTTACAATTAAACATTAATTCGCCAATGAAACAAGGAAGACAAAAAAAATTAAAAAAAGATATAAAGGTGTTGATATAAATATGTTGATGGGCTTTGTTATGAGATCATATTTTAATCGATAGTATCAATGATCTTATATTCAACTATTAACGCTTAATGTTGATAATTCTATGACATATTCTGTTACAAATACCTGAAATCCGCTGGTATTTCGTAAACATAGACGGCGGTATTACTAAGGCCATTTGAGGTGACTAATAAATCTGATTTCCCATCATTATTTACGTCAACAATCTGTACATCAAACACGTGACCAATATGCTCCTCAATCACTTTTGATTTAATCTAGCAGAAAAAAAAACATAGAGATCAGAATTATGTGAACACTACCGAATGAAATGTATTACAGTATCATGCTCTACATAGCAGTTCGTGGTTTAGCGTTAGCCTAACGTCCATGCATATTCAGGACGAGAATGAAAAACATATTAATTAGGTAGATTCTTGAGAGTGGGTTGGCGGAGGTATGCACTGCTATTGAAAATGGGTGCCTGTAGCATGTAGAATATGGACAGAAAGTTTGCTCTGAAAAAAGCATAACTACGGATCTCTTAAAGTTTACAGTACTACAGCAAGGGTTCTTTTAGGCTCATATGTCATGACATTGATTATACCAACATCGACATGGGGCAGCAAATTTAACGTCCTCGTTTTGACCGGACATGGCCGAGTGTTTATACACCCCGTACAGTGTAGACAAAAAGAACCCTTTGTATAACGATAATGCTATATTCAAATCTGGAAGCAAAAAAGTAATTATATTCAGTATTTTTTTTTAATTTTTGGACCCATACAGTTGAGTTGAATTGTTTAATAATTGTATAACTAATTAATTTACGAATTGGTGATCTCAGAAAATTCATATGATATATAGTCATTCAGATTTCCTATAATATGTAGGAAGACCAAATAAAAAAAAAATATCGGAACAACCTTGAGAGTGTCCGTCCATTTTCCTGCAGGATCTGTTGTCCAGTAGATTTTCAGTTGATTTGAAAAGAATCCAGTTGTTACTATGACAGTATTGGTCCCTGCAGGTGTGGTCAATGTTGATATATCAAGGAACGTGTCCGAATGGTCAGCAATGATAAAATGGTGCCACGGATTACTGATGCTATCACTCTGTGGATGTTCATACCAAACTAACTGTCCACTACCGCCACCTGATAATTCATTTATAATTAGCATTTTTATTTTATTTGGTGAAAACCTGAAGACTTCTAATTTCATAGAACCTGGATTATACTTTATAGTTCAGAAATACAAAGGAAACGTCAAGCATTTTTCAACATCGTTCCCTCGCGTTGTAACTCATGCCTTTAAAGATTGCTGTTCGGTGTGAGCCAAGGCTCCGTGTTGAAGGCCGTACTTTGATACTTTGACCTAAAATTATTTACTTTTTATACATTGTGACTTGGATGGGGAGTTGTATCTTTGGCACTCATACCACATCTTCTTATTTATATGATATAGGGAAGTACATGGTAGTAGGTGTTCAATTCATAGAAATAATTATTTTTTATTTAGTGAATGACGAATTGTATGAAAACAACCCATGCCATTTGAAAGCAACACAAGATTATCTTACTTTTAGCTCCACCAACTTATTAATCAAAACTATTTGTTCGTGTACTTCGTTCAAACGAGTATGCTTTAAAAAAATCGAAAATTTTATTTATTTTAATAAAGTAGTTGACAATATATCTTGTAAATAGGAATAATTGATATAAAGATATAGCTATAAATTATTACCCTATGACATGAATTTAAATGTTGCAAGCAAAATACCAGATAAAGTGTTTGTTTAACTTAACTAATGCTTTCAATAGATCAAACGTGTTATTATTTGGTATTCTTTTTCTGGTCAAATATTGCGGCAATTTGCTTTCCATCTGTATAGAACAGAGTAAAAACGACTGACTACAACAAAGGTGATAAAATAAAGTTCACCGACCATACATTCTTTCTAGGGACAAACATTTTACTAATATGATAAAAAAAAATTATAACATACAGGACACAAAAATAAAAATAAATCAACATTGATTTTTAATAAATTATTTTCAATGGAAATACTGAAATACTTTTTTAAATCCCTTTTGATTTTTTCTCCAGATATCAAGATTCAAACAATTGATTAAAGAAATAAAATATGCCATAAAAACGCAACCCATAAAAACCCAATTCATAAAAACGGTCAGTGCCGAAGTGACCTTACCCAGAAGTGATTTTTTGGCCCGACACGTAACCGCGTCTTTCTTTCCATCTCCATTCATATCGAGCCATAATACTCGGTGGTAAAACCAGTGGTGATCGTCCGATCCAGTTGTAATTTCCATTGGTCGTTGTGGGGTACCGTTGGACAAGTCTACTAATCGAAGACTTCCTTTAGTTTTGAATGGAACCAGAAAGCCACCGGCAATCGACATCATTTTCTTACCAAATACGTCATCTACAACAGTGATCCAATTTTGTGAATTTCGCGTATTAAAAACAAATCATTTTGTTAATTGTGCCTATTTAAAATAAAAAAAACTTGGGCTATATTTGCTTGGTAACTATTATGGATTATTATTTGCTTTGTGTCCAGTGACACATATTTCATGCCAATTCAGGACGATGATAATTATGCGCGTTTTAAGGTCTATTCGTACACCAGAAGACTTTTTCCTGTCAAATTTATTCATGAGATTTTTTTTCTTTTTTTCTTTCATTGCCCATATTATGTTATGGAGCAACCGTTCAATTGTTTAAAAAGAGGAGAGGAGCTACTTGTTATAATCCGCCGTCTTTTGGTTTTATGATCTATAGCACCACAATCCTTGATAACATGTCACCCTAAATAAAATATCCCTACCTGGAACTTGATTGACCTCGTTAGGCCAGACAATATTAGAACTCAATGTAGTCGGTTTCACTGTATGGTGACCATTACTTTGTAATGTTTGTACAACAGTTCCAATTGAAGGTATGAAGTACACGTGATCTGTAGTAAAAGGTGCTCCATTAAAACTGGACACAAATAGGGAATAATCATCGTTTAATCTCCCGGTATCCTGTGTTCGAATTAAACTCAAGAATCCTGGATGACTGGTGGTGAAATTGCCAATGTATTGTAAATTGTATGTTGAAATGAGTTGCATTGAGGAAATTAATGCCATGGTAGCAATGCCAAATTTGTTCGATTCCATGTTTGGTATCCGATGGTGGTTGTGTTTTACGTATTAATTATAAATGAGTGGTATCTGTATATCTATAATCACGTTTACATATATATATAATTATCCAATCAAACTTTCTTATCTCACACTGCTTTGGTTAGAAGTTTTCATACTTGTGAATCATGCAACTTTACTTTATATACGACAATCTGTTAGACTAGAAGATTAATGAAATTTACTTCATGTGGCGTTTACACAGTGCCGATTATGGCTCCCGTTTGAGATCAGACAGCGCTAAGACACGAAAAGTGAAAAAGTCTAATTACTATCCTGAATTATCTGAAATGTCCTATCATTGTCTGAACGCAGTCGTATACGTTCGTAACAGATTCCTATGGATCGGAAATTGTCCGGAGAGGTCGACAAGCACCACCGATAGTTAGGTGCGTCCCGTAACATTCGGGGAAACTCGGGCGATTTTGTCTAGTCGGATTACAATCGTGACTATGTCGTGACAGATTCTGCTGTATCGGATCAAAATCGTTACAATGTTCTGTGTTTTCTGGACGGTGTCCTGTGGAAGGGGCATGATCTGGAGAAATTTGTCATTGCTGCTTTTTTGCTGATTGAGTCCAGATTGCATCCAGATCTTGCCGAATGTAAACCGTCTTTGCCGAAACCATTCCGGAACAGTCCCGTTATTAATACGAAATTCGGCAATAATACCCACGTCAGAGTCTCGACAATTACAGAACACGATACGACTGAGTCCAGACAAATCCACTTGCAGGGGGTCTCATTTGGGGGGGGGGGGAGATCTAATCCCGGATCCCGCTTATTGTTTTGTCAGATTCCCGTATCCCGCTTATCATTTTTTTGTTTCCCGTTTCCCGCTTATATTTTTTTTCTATAAGAAGTCGCCTTGCAAGAGCCCTCCTATCAGTATATCACACTTGTATTACCTTTGGCAAGATATCAGGGAACCGATAAATGGCTTACTGTTGTCACAAATTTAGGAATGATACAAAAAGTTTGTCAGTGACTCGCCAAAGGTGGGTGGTACTCTGGGCGCCAAGACTGTGAGAAGCGTAACTACATGTCCAATAAACTGTGGGTAAAAATTGCGGCAGGGGATCTGGGGCCGCTGAATGCACCCAGCAGGTCTAGGGTAGATTTGAGAGTACTCGAAGTTGCTGAAAGCTAGTTGATTGATTGATTGATTGATTAATTGCTAAAAATGGCAAATAGTTCATGATTGTTCAGGACAAAAACAAATTTACAATAAATACAACAGGTAGTTAGGTCCTGATCGTCGAGGATGAAGGTCTGGAATTTTAGAAATGCAATGCATAGAAAATGTGGTTTTCTTGGATAGGAACATAGATTTTTCCTTTCAGTAGACCACCTACGAACCCCTCAAAGAGTTGTTGCAAGTTGCTTAACGTGTAGAGAGCGTGGCATTCTCTCTACACTAGCGGCATCGGATTTAACGTCCCCATTCTGACCAGACGTGACTGCGTATTTATACATTACGCACAACCAAACGAACGCCTAACTTCGGCAAGGATTTTATTGTAGGTCGGATAAGGACCAAGTGGAAAGCTAGTTGAAAGTCAACAACAATTAATAGAAAATAAATCATGTATATAAAAAAGGCAGGGTTTTGAGCATGATGAGGGTAATTCAAGTATTTGTTGATAGAAATGAAATGATCTGAACTAAAGATCTAGTTTTTAGTTTATATAAGGTGGAATATAATGACATTCTATCCAATACTCAATTCACTAAGGATGATAGACTAGTGTACAAATGACATTTGATAATTAAAGAGTTTTACCGAGTTCACATGTATCTACAGATAATGTTGTTTTTATTTTTTGTGTATAAAAAAAATATTTGTGAAAAAAATATGTGTATAGGTACGTGCCTAAAGTGCCTAACGGCAGCTACGCTCCTGACTGTCAAAAGATTATATTGAGGAAAAAACGGAATACATTTGATATGATAAACAAACAAAAATCACTTATATCCCCATCACACTAGGACCACGATCCCACTACGATCTCAGAAATTATAAAATTTTGAAAGTCATAGTAAGATCGTGGTAAGGTCGTAACAAGGACATGCCAAGTCTTCGTGATCGTGGAGCTTTGAATATGCTCAAAACATTCGTAGTGTAGTCATGGCCAAAACTAGTTGAAGTAGAACCGTATGAACTCAGTCGTAGTAAGGACGTAGTTAGATCGGGATGGGCGTAGAAGCATCTTATTGGAAACGTGGTGCAATCGGGGTCGCCAATGGAAAATATTTCGCTGCAACCTTAGGTAGGCCTATAAGAGTTCACTGCAACTATCCCGATTTCACTATACGTCTTAATTACGCTTCTACAATATTGATTCGATTATTCTACGATGAGGAAGACAATAATGCGGAGCTACTTTGCCCTTGTCGTCCTCGTCCACATCACTACGATTCTACTACGTCCTAGCCACGAGAATTGTGTTATATTTCCTAATTTGCAAATTGGAAATTTCAAAATTGCATACCTTTTTTGAGACCTCTGCTTTTTATTTAGTACCCCGATCTCTAAGTATTTTTAATACCTTTAGTGGAAAGTTATCTCCAGGAAACTGATGTGTACGATGGGAAAGTCAAGATATTTATAGGGACGAAGAGCGTAGTGACAACGAAGTTGAGTCGTTTTTCGATCGTAGTAGACACGTATTGAAATCGCAATGCGATCGGGAAGGTTTTGGAAGAAGCGTTCAGAGATCGTGTAAGTCGTGGAAAGGTCTTATTAGACGCAGCAAGAGCGTGACAAGATAGGAACTATAGAACGTGATACTGTCGTAGCGAAATCGTAGCAGGATCTTATCAGGATCATAGCAAGATCGCAGTATCAACGTGAAAACTATGAAATAAATTAATGAATATTCAAGCCAACCATACCACGATCTCACTGCAATCTTATCTATTTTAGTTAGTGAATCACTCAAGTATGAGGTCAACTCTTTATTCATGGTCTTGGTCTAGTGTGATGGGGGCTTAACATCTACTTCATTTGAACTTTGGTGGACATCTGTCTCATTGACAGTCAATCCACATCCCTTTTTTTCATTTTTTGACAACAAATTTTGATTCACGCTTAATAAAATGATGATTTTCCCGGATTCCCGGCTCATTTTTTGGTAATTTCACGTGTCCCGCCAGACTTTATTTCCCGTTTTCACGCACAATAATTTGACTTTCACGTGTCACGCTTACAAAAATCGGTCAATCCCGCGTCACGCTTAGACCCCAATGAGACCCACATTGCAATGCGGTACAGCAGACTGTGATAGGATTGCGTTCCGACAGTACCTGATCATCCCGAATATGACGACAGTTTTCTAGCGGATATTTTCCGTCAGCGTCGGTTCACTGTCTGGTCACTGTCTGATCTCTGTCGGATCGCATTCGGCAGAATCGGGACGCTGTCGGGACAGATTCGGTCGTTTTTTACCATGCGAAAGATACAAATCGAATTAGAATCGGATTGAGAACGGGATAATTCGGATCGAAACGGCTGAATTTGGACGCTTCCTGAACAATATCTGATTATTGTGGTGATTGAATAAATGTTTTTACAAATTTTAATTAAAGTTTGAATTTCCAACAACGATTCACAGGATCTTGATCAGACTTTTAACAAATTTTAATCGGGAATGGTCCTATCAAGGACGGCAGTAAAAATCGTGTGTGTGAACCCGGCTTTACATACGACAAGCTCTTAGACTAAAAGATTAGGACATAGTATAATTCATCCGACACCTGATAAAAATGCCTACTTGTGTGTTCTCATAATATGAATAGATAGATATTGGAATTCGTCAATGTGAAGGAACACAATAAAAACTGAGACAAAAATATGCAGACTAGAGACGAATTAGAGCCTGTGATGATTTGTGGATGTTTGTTTTTATAACTTTGAAGAATTTATGGTCTTCTAGATGCTGCATATTTCCGTTAACCCATGTTGTTATTGGTACTTTCTCGTCGACGTTTACTATGAATCTCCTTTAATTGATATCTAAGATAATACTATATAAGGTAGATATGCTTGACCATGAACCTTGAAGTATTGTCTTTGCTATCATATGTTCCAGACATTTCCCCCTTGTAACACCTTCCAATGGATACTCTTGTACTGGTCTAATCATTGAACTAAAATAAAGATAGAAAAAGGTTATATCGTTGATAGCATTCTCATTTTCTTAAACATAGATATAATCAAGTAGATAATACTACTAATAACCTTTGTTCACGTTTCTCTGTCACCCGAACACTTTAATCTCTTTCATCGTCACCTTGACACACACATTTTATTTCCCGACATTTAACTGTAGAAAAAAAAAGTACTATGCAATTTGTTGCAATTGTCCCTTTATATCCCTGTAAGTTTTGTTACAGTGTGTACAATGAACATAGACCGACTTTTTCAGACATATCTTTTACACCAGTCAGTCATAAACTATATGCTAAACCTAGCTAAGGTTGCCATTCACTCTGGCAAAGTTGACTCAAGGCGGGTTTGGCTTTTCAGTTCAAGCATTTTTATATTTCTTTAGGTTTTCTTTTATTTTTGGCTTCACACGCTTTTGTCTCTTCCAGAAGCACGTTTTTACTGGCTCATGTTAAACATATACTTTTTTACTGGGTCGATACCTCTGCTGGTGGACTATATTAGTCCCCGAATGTATCATCAGCTCAGTAGTCAGTACTTTGTATACTGACATGATTTATAACAAACCTTTCTAAAATTTTCCGTTTACAATTTTTTAAAATTATAAAGAAACCGATATTCAGCTCCCTCAGGCAAAGACGGTTGACCTAAGATGGTTGGGCTATTTTTTAGGCCCTCTTTGGTCATATAACTCCTTCATTGTTTCGGTTCTTATACATCCTTGGCTTTTATATATTATCTTTGCGTGTTCCTGATGAAGGTTATAACACTCGTTATAAATTTCATGCGTCCAAAGCGCTTTTCTGATCTTTTCTGGACGCATGGCATTTATAACGTGTTGATTTCATTTTTTATAAGTTTACAGGAATAAATCAATAACTTTGTCTATTATTTAAGTGCAAAATCTTGAAGATTTCATGACATAATATCAGTAGTGCATTACTAGTTAATACTATAAGTTCAAAGAGTGCCAGCATTCCTGTCTTTTATCATGTACGCCTAAATGGAAATGGCCACGGTGTTCAAAAGGCATTTAAACACAATAAATAAAAAAGGACTTTTTCCACAGAGAAAAATGCAGAAGCTCAGTTAAGCCAAGATGAATAATATAAAGGATCTCTTTGCCAATAATGTGCAACGATCTCAGAAAATTTAGTTATTCAACGTGACTAATCCCGTTCCATGATTTCTATATGTAAATGTCTATCAAATAGTGTAACTTAGTTTAAGATTTGAGCGTCACTGAAGATTGAGGAGTTTTATGAAGACGAAGATCGCGTCTGGCGTGACAACTTATAAGCCTGGCATCTTTGATAAGTTTTTAAAATATCTTAATAGTAAAATAATTCTCTTTCTTTAGACGTCGGACTCCGCATGTTTAATATAAGTGAAGAACATTATTTATAACAAAATCTATTCTCGGATTTGTGTTGGTCATTTAAACCATAGCAAATACGCTAAAGTCACTTTAAAGAGAAAATGTCTTTTTTAAATCTCATTTAAAAAGGAAAATCCGACAACCCTTATTTTGTTATAATTACGCCACTATTCTCCGGAATGTGCAAGGTGCGCTACGCAATTGACTTGAATATTAGAATCAATATCCGGGATATTTCGTTGCTACACAAACAACATGGATTCCAAAAACACGATTATTTGATTATTTCCAGTTAACCCTGCTTGTTTTATAAAGTTCCAAAAATGGCAGCATCTATGAAATCCTCTAACCCTGAACTAAAGACTTATCTGCGGTCAAATAAATTACCAGATGTTTATGAGGTATGCACATAAAGATGCAATCAGTTTGGCTATAACATGAATTTTTATATTCATGCTGTCTTTATTTGTATATTATACAATTATAGCCTTGGTATGAGGTCGATACAAGGATATATTGACCTGAAAGAAGTATATGGACTGAGGACGAAGTCCGAGGTCGATATACTTCTTTGGGTCGATATATCCTGTATTGACTTCATACATAGGCTATAACTGTTATATTATTAATTTCCGACCATATTTGTATGAAAATAGTCGTTTGATTTTGTTGGAAATTTATAGATATCATATTTTCTCCTAGACAATAACAACATATTAGTTTTATTTCATTTATTTTTTATGTTTGTTTTTTAAAGTCTTATGTATTTGAAGATTTTTTTTCTTCAAATAATCGATCAAAGATATTTCTTAATAACACTTTTAACAATATCATGAAATTCATTACATGACGTCACAAAGTATATCGGTTTTTAGATATTCTAAAAATAACCGTGCAATATGCTTATTGCTATGCAATATGCATTTTGGGATCTGCCATTTTCTGTCTACCTTCGAAAATATAGTTTAACATGTGACTTACTTGAACGAATCAAATTAGTTAAAATATATGAACTAATAATATGTGTAAATATAACCAATACTTGGATTTTATGGTGTTCCTTACAGCTTATACTGAGAGAAGAAGAATTGTTTTACGAAATGACATGTAACATGTAACTGTAATATATGTTACAGGTCCGGATTCTTAAGTCAAATTTGACACAACTTGACTCAGGTACTTCTATCTTTGTTTCCTCAGGTATCAGGTCCGTTCGCACCCCACACGTTCGCGCCCTTGGTCCGTTTGCACCGTACACGTTCGCTCCCTTTTTTTTTATTCAAAAACCTGATAAATTTTTAGATGTTTTGTAGATGTTTATATCAAAATCTTTTTATTTTCATAAATAAAAATTCAGGAATTTGTATGATTACTGCTAATTGGTATTTATTCACAGCCTAATTTGGTGTTATTGTTGAGTGTTTAAATCATGATTGTTGTTTTAACTTGCTTTGATGTAAATACTGCATGTATTTAGCTTTGTATGAGTAAAACTTTGAAGATTTTAAATAAAAAACATGAAAGATAATTGTTTTTAACAGCTTGGCTCTTTTGATCTCATGTGTGTTTGGACAAGTATGATATATATGATGGCTGAATATCACTATGAAGCATTTGTCAGAATCCCAATTCCTTTTGAAACAATAAAAAAGAAATAATCATAGCAATACACTAACCAAAGCATGATTAAGATTTTATCAACACATAAAAAAACGTCGTCAGAATCTCACTTTATTTAGAAACAATGAAATTTTTTTTTATATATATATATAAACGCCTAAAAAGTGTACACAACAACACCAATAACAAAAAAAGGAACTATAAATGTAATTTATTTAGAAATATTTCGGATAGCAGATATCCTTCATCAGTAAATATGATTGTGATGTTGAATGAATCATATATCAGTCTACTTAGATTAAACTATAACAATCTTGAAATTTATACAATAAAAAAGTCAAACCGAACATCAGGTAAGACGCTTGCACAATTCTAAATATGTGTTAAACAGGACATAGGTTATATGACTAGTTACAACAGAGAGTTCAAATATATGCTTTAAATAAAAATAATAATGTGCGATATGAACTAGCACAATTCTAAAACTGACCGTTCGTATCGACTACCAATGCAAGCCAGACCTCATTTTACATCTTACTGATGAAGGATATTAGTTATCCGAAATATCTAAAATTTGTTCATGATTTAGTTATTTTTTGGTGATGTTGTACCCTTTTAGACTTGTTATATATATATATATATAGATATATATATATAGAACAATACACTTACCTAAACATGATTAAGATTTATTCAACACATTAAAAAACGTCAGAATCTCACTATATTTAGAAACAATGAAAAAAATATATTTATAGCGATACACTTACCATTTATGCAGCACCAAAATAACGTTGTCAGATTCACACTTTATTTACAAGAAACAATGAAAAAAAATATTTATAACAATACACTAAACCAAAACATGATTAAAAATTATTCAACACAAAACCAATAAAAATTGGGTGCGAACGGACTTTGGGTGCGAAAGTGAAAGGGGCGAACATGATTGGGCGTGAACGGACCCGGATTCGTTTCCTCATGGTACACCTTTGCTTTTCTAAGTAATTTCTCACAGTACTTTAGTTAATTGTTTAGGTCAGAATAGGGATAAAGTGCTTGCCAGTTCTTGAAATCACCCTGTTCTTCCTATATATATTCTCCTACATTTTGAGATGCTACTTCATAAGTTTCTTTCTTTGGTGATGACAATATTTATTTTATGTCTTAGGGGATGTTAAAACAACATGACAGGACCCATTATCAGGGTTACTGTGCATATGAGAAACAGAGAAGATAGAAAGCTAAAAGATTTTTTATTTTACTATTGTGAAAATACATGGATGTACCAGTGAGATTTGAAACCTCAATATTGGGATCTAAAGGCAGGGGTCTAAAGAATGAGCCAAGGAAGATCTTCCCTACCTAGACCAGTTAAATGTACATTGTAGATTCCCTTTATATCTCCAATTATACAACACTCTTTCCCCTTTCTTTTTCCGTGCCACATAAATGTAACATCAATGTGAGCAGCTCACAGGTCCCCTACTGGACAACACCCAAGTCTTTCACGCAGAAACCATTTGGTTAATTGCTAACATGTCACCCAGACATGTCACAGTCATCCCTATTGACCCTACATGTATCTATTTAACTGCCATGTACATACAGACATTTTAATGTACCAGTAGAAATGCTTTCATGTCGATCTGGCCCCAAGTCGATCAGGCCCCATATTTATAGTCGATACGGCCCCAATTTAAAAAATATTTATAAAGCATAAATATATTAATATATGAATTGTAATACATAAATGTTTATGAATTTTATAATAATTTAAAAGGTGGAAGGTAAAAAAGTGTGCCTTTGATGAATATTTATATCTTTAATTTTCATTAGATGAGATATTTATTTGAATGTTTTTTTGTTAAATATATGTCTAATTTGTATATTAAGATTTCATGTAGAAATATGATATTATTTTCATATAAACTATTTGAATTTAAATTCATGTATCACCTAAAGGGCATATGATACAGTTACAGGGGAGGTAATGACGTTAAAATGTTATTTTTCGTGACGTCAAACTGATATATCAGGAAAAGTTGCATTTTTCAACTGATTTTTATCATTAGCTTTAAAACCAGTTCATGGAACCCTCATTCTTAAAATGACATTTGATTTGGTTATAAATGAATATTATTTGTACCAATTTTTATGAAAAAATCAGCGATGATTTTTTTAAAAATTAGATAAATATACAGCAAAAATGCCAGTTTTTGTCTAAAATCATGAAACTTTCATAAAATTGAATTATTTCTACAGAATTGTTACTTCAATTTATAGTATACTTATGTAAGGGATATTTTCCAATTTTTTTTACAAATCTGTTCGTGTTTATCTTTTAAAACAAAAAAGTTAGGTACATGTATGTCTATCCAAAGGATAGAAATGTCCAAGAAACCGAAATTTTGAGTAAATGTCTAAAATTCCGATCCATCTATCTCTAAAAGAAGCACATGAAGGTAAATTTTTGATTACATATTTGAATTGACTAGGTGAAAACTAGCTTGTATACAAATTTTCGTTATAAAAAATCACTGTGGGATCAAAACTGTGTTGTATGCCTTAAATGAGTACAGATGATTATGCAGTATAAAACAATTATGTTGATTATGTTTTTATTACAAGTTTTCAAGACTATTGTGTATATTTTGATGACGCAAAAAAACAATACAAAGAAGACAGTAATGAAAAGAAATAATTGTACATTTCTTCTTCATGTTACCTAAAAAAGAAATTTATAACAAATATTAGAACTTCCAAAAAATAGATCAAACTATAAAGACCTTGTTGATTAAATAAATTTTATCAATCATGATTTTGATTGAAAAAAGTGATTACAACTGGTGTTACTTTGGTTCATGATCCTCAGACAATTGTTGAATAAACAAACCAATTATAGACATTGATTTGATTTATACAAGTCATTATGATGATAACATAATTATATGTTCAATTGGATTGTAAATATCTATTAATTTTATCTCTTATATGTGTGAATTAAGTAAAAACTATTTTTTTCCCCCATGATATTCCAAGTTATCATGGAAAATAACTTACAAAATTTACATGCTGATGCTACTTTAAAAACAGTAACTATCATACTCCTTTTTGTATTGATTTAAAGTAAACCATCCGAATGTTCCTCCAATATTAGGCATACTTCACTTACCTGCTGTCATTAATCATCGATACTTTGAGCAAATTCCATTTAATTACCCCAAATCAAATTTATATGTCACCAAATCCTCAAATGATTATATAAATATTATTATGGGGCCATTTCGACATGGGACGAAACGACTTTGGTCAAATCCACTTGGGACCAGATCGACTTGGGGCCTGAACAACCTGATAACGTAGAAGTGAGGACTTCATTTTATAATACAGAGTGCGGGATCTGATAGCAGATACATTTATGCAATTGATGTAGGAAAACATGTTGTTAAATTTTGGGGCTTCATTACTGGTAAATGCCCGATGGCAACATTTTTCAGAAAATGTCCAATTGCTGTGCACCTGGTTTTCTCTTCGAACCTGGTTGTACAATCAAGTACAACTGGTTTCCCCCATTATTAACTTCAAGAAAACAAATATCACACATGGCTCTTATTAGATACTATTATAGAAAAGAAAAGGCTTTGAAATTTACTTCATCTTTAACATGTCTAAGTCATAAGCCTTCGGCTGTTGTCTGCTCTATGGTCGGGTTGTTGTCTCTTTGACACATTCCCCATTTCCATTCTCAATTTTATTACTTATTCATTTGAATAAACTTTGAATATATTTAATTTTTACAGAAAAAAATTCAATGGAGTGGTAACTATGGAGAGTGCAAATAAATTTCTCCTTTCTTTATTCTTAACAAATCATATGAAATATATTTGCTGCACACCCTTTTGGTGTTGATGGCAGATCTAAGATTGTTTCTATATAAAAATAAGGAGATGAGGTATGATTGCCAATTAGACAACTATCCACCAATGTTCGAATAAAGTGGATGTAAGCAATTATAGGCAACCGTACGGCCTTCAACAATGAGAAAAACCCATACCCTATTGTCGGCTATAAAAGGCACCGACATGAATAATATGAAACAATTCAGTTGAGAAAACTAACGGCCTTATCTGTAACAAAACAATTAACGAAAAACAAATATGACAGACATGAACCAACGACAACCACTGAACTACAGGCTACTGACTTGGGACAGGCACATATAGAATGTGGCGGGGTTAAACATGTTTGTGAGTGCTGGGACAGTGGTGTAACAGCACAACATAAGAACAAACTATAAAAATCAGTTGAAAAAGGCTTAACTCATCAGATCGATACAAAGCAGAAAAACATCAAACATAAACACAGACCGAACTTGGCAGGGTATTTATCCATCCCTTATCCCTAACAACCAAACAGACACTAAGTACAGATCTGAGAGTACTCTCAGTTACTGACAGCTAGTTCAAAGACGATAACAACTAATAAAAAATCATGTATCTAAGACTAAAATATCAATCAGTACACATCCAACATCCTATGGATTTAGTGTAAAGACGTCATTAACAGTCAGAGAAAAAAAACATGACCTTGTGCAATGCCAAAATAAAGGATCAACAGATTGTAGTACAGTTAAAGTGCATATTTGTATAACAAAACTATTAGTATGATTTTAATTTACTGATAACAAAATCTATATTTATACCAATAATAACAATATTCAAAGATCTAATTACAGTGTTGAATTGGTAACCTTTTACTAGTAAAATAAGTTTATTTAAAGGATTGATAAGTACCCGGATCGTATATAAATTTCTTGGCTCGGTAAGCAACATCACTATAAAATTTAGGATGTGCTATATCTAAACTTTGATGTTTCACAGTCTCATGTCAAAGGAGCATTATTTTCTATACTGACGTCTGATGTAACTGACATATAATTAAAAATTAAACTTCTACTGGGATTTTTTATACGAATAAGAAATTATAGATGGCTCTATGTTATCATAATATGGAGGTATAAAGTTTTTAAAGGTAGAGTCATGAAAAATACTAGACAAATTAATAAAATCAATACCTCTATTAATGTATTTTATTTTTATGAAATACTTTTTATGATATCATGTTTGTCAATGTTTATTCACAACTTATATAGACTCTTGTCTTGACAATTTATAGCTTGGCTTATTATATAAAAACAAATATATTATACTGTAAGTTGTCCTCTAGATGTTGTTTGCTTATTTTTTTTTGTTGAGTTTATATATTGATTATCATGCTTCTATTTTTACCATTTATCAACTTTATTTGTAGGCACTACTCACTGGACTTGCAATTATGTGTCCTGATGATCCCTTACAGTTTTTACTGGATAAACTCAAGTTTCTGGTTGAAGGTGGTCTGGAAGAACTTAATTGGTATGTATATCATGTTACAATAATGGACAATTTACGACAGATTTTGATTGTACATTTTGTCCGTCAATCAATTTATCTTTTGTTGCATATAAGTCTCATGATAAGTAATCCTAACTGATCTTTACAAAAACAAATTGTGTAATGCTTGGTGCAATGCAGATGAGCTGTCTTTTTAAATTGTTTTTTTTTTTATTTAAAATATACAAATTTGTTGTTTTGGAGGTGTTAGACTGTAATTGCCAAATAGGAAAAGACTTTTTATTCTAGAAAAAAAGTTTTTATACTTTAATACATGAAATATGGTTTTGTATGATAATGAAAATAAGGTGTAAAATAAATAAGCTTTAAGATTGTAAGATTGTATTGGTATTTATATTTTTAGGGATATGTTTGTTGATGAAGGCATGAGACCTGTAGCTAAAATAATAACAGAAAGTAACCTGGATTTTATATTCAACCTCGATGATGAGAGTATGATTGTATGTATCCAAAATTTTATGAATAATAATCACATATAATCATTAATTGTCGTAAAAAATAATGTTTGATAGAATTTAATATATTATGTTAATAAATGACTTCTTTTTTCATTTTTAGGTTATATTCTTTTACATTTTATTTTTGTTTTGATCATGTGATTTTAACTAAAAAATTCTGATGAAATTTCATCTCTAAGCTAAAGAGAAATATTTTTTTTTTAATAATTGGATACAACTACATGTATCTGAAAGATATAGGTAGGGATATTGTTTTTATTGGAAATATTTGCTGAGTATAATAAATAAAACAGTAAGTTCAAATGTTGAACTACCTCCCTTTTTTGTGATATCAGTTTTTACATGTTATGCTATGGCAGTTTTAACTTTTAACATTTCATTTTTTATTGTTTCTACAAAGTTCAGTTATATAAATCACAATCAAATTTCAAATTACCATTATAAATGATTTTGAATAAATTTTTTTAAACAATTTCCCCTGATATATATATACTCGTGACTCGTGAAAACATTTCTGAATGTTATGAATAAAGTTCTATCTTTTTAATCGAAATTGATTAAAAGTTATATCAAATATGACGAAAATACATTCATTTGACGAAACTACGACAAGCGAACTGCAAATTGTGATCGTTTGAGAAATATTGAAATTAAAATGCGAACTGTGCGAGGCAAAACTCAAATGACGAAACTACGACAAACGAATAGCAAATTGTGCTCGTTTTATAAAATTAAAATTGAAATGCCGACTGACTGATTTTACAGGGGAAAATAATTATGATGTTCAATTATGAGGTTGATAAATAATTAACGGATTAGTGACCCATCCGATGGCGATAAGCGGATTATCTGTAATCACAACTTATAACACCTGTTGTAAATGTTAATTAGCTGAGGGTCATAAACTTGTCAGAAACAATAAGACAGGTAGAATTATAGTATTTTCATGCGAAAATATTTTTACTTTCCAAATTTAAGTGACGAAATTGATTTGGAATACTTTCGTCATTTTGAAAACCGTTTAGTAAATGACGAAAATGACGAGCGCTAGCAAAATCACTGTACATATGTATCTGCTAAACATTCTTACTGACCAGTTAAAAAGAAACATTAATTAACTAATTGAGTATGAAGACCATTATTTCCTTAAGTTAACAAAATAGCATTACCTCAAGTTTACATTTATTTACTTTAGGTTTGGTAATGTTATTGTTAAGCAAGTGAATTATTATAAGTAACTGTATTTTTGGTAATGGATCATTAAACTTTCAGGGCGCACATGATAGAGTAAGTCATCGGAACATTTTCATAATAAAAAAAGTAGTTTTATATATCTATCTATAGAATTAAAAATACTGACCATTAATGCTAGGGAATATATATCTTAAAATTACAAAAGTACTGACCATGTAGTAATGCTAGGGAACATTAATCTATAGAATTACAAACTTACTTACAATTAATGCTTCATCTTCGTTAGTCAAGGGTAACAATCTGACCCTGTCCTCTCCTCGCCAGATTGCAACACTTAACTAGCAAAGATGTTAAAGCTAGGGTATATATATATATTCTTAAGGATTATTGCACAAATGTTTGTAGGTTTATATATGGAATATTATATTGCACAAGTTTTGAGTGCAACTAAAATTCTGCAAGGGGAAATATTTATGCAATAACCCATTTTGTATGGCAAAGCTTTGAAAATACATAAGTATTGAAAACTGTCCTTTCAAATAACATATTATTGTTGCCATACAGTTTCACTTTTTTTTAATTATTAACTTAAACATTCAAATACTAATTTCAACATATATTTGTGTGTAAATAACAAAAGATGTACTATCTTTGTATCAATATAAATTGCTTTTATGTAATAATGCTGGGAGTTATTACGAAAGCAAGTTTTGTTATTGATATTGATAAAGTGTAGTGATGAGATTTTAAACATCTTCAGATAAATTTTACATATAATTACATTCAGTTTCTAGTCCTTCATATGCAATATTTTTTTGCAAATTAAAGCTTATTTCTTTAAAATGTTTCGTAAATAACTTCCCTCACGTCTATATACACAAACTTTATATTTCAGTGCACACCACTATATTCCACGACCTTGCTTATCAATAATAGATCTATGCTAACCAACTTAACCTTTAATACTTTTAGGATTTTATAGATATACCAATCAACATTCAGAAAGGTGTTGGATATTTCGGTGGTCGCTTCGATGGATTGATGAAAAACAAGATAATTTGGGTAGAAAAATGTGCATGTGCTTTATACATGTGCTACACACTATGGTGTGATTTCACTCTAATGTTCAGCTGGGTTTTCTTGTTTCTAACTCTCGTATATTTTATGTAGTCTTTCCAGCTCTTTCATATTTCTTATTTCATTTTCAGCATCTAAAAAAATACAAGAATATTTAAAAGCTGATCATTGTAGAGCCGAATGACTCAATATCTTAATGTATTTGTTTAAATCCAGCTTGGGGTAAAAAATTATCCATATTAGTCACATTTGTGTCAAAATAAAGAAAATGTTTTCAGGAAAGGGGGAGAGATAAAACTTTTAGATTATTTATATCACATATTGACTTTTTGTACTGAAATACCAAAGTAAAGTATTTCATTAAAATGTAAGAGTTGACATGAATATCAATTATATGGTATTTTTTTTTATAAATTAACTGTGTGCAAAAGTAAAAATTATTCGAAATACTAAGGATTTTCTTATCCCAGGCATAGATTACCTTAGCCGTATTTGGCACAACTTTTTGGAATTTTGGGTCCTCAATGCTCTTCAACTTTATACTTGTTTGGCTTTTCAACTATTTTGATCTGAGCGTCACTGATGAGTCTTATGTAGACGAAACGCGCATCAACGCAAGTCTGACATATAAAAATAATAAGCTTGGTACCTTTGATAACTAAGAACATTTCAACCAACCACTTCTAAGGAAAGCTGGAAAATTGTGTAATTTGCTGTTCACTTCAAAATAATACCCAAGAGTCCAGTTTTTTCAAAATACTTGTTATCTGTTCATCAAATGTTGATCTAAAATTTCCCTTTTGCCACCAAGTCATGGAGAACATTTTACCTGAACCCTGTAAAGATTACTTTTTATACGTTCATTCTTTTATTTTTTATATGCCCATTTACGAGACGTATTATGGTATACCGTTGTCAGTCCGTCTGTCTGTCCGTCCGCTGCAACATGTCGGACAATAACTCAAAAATGCTTAATCCAGTTTGCATGAAACTTTGGTGAATTGTTTATATCTATTGACGTGAGCTCCCTTTTGATTTTTATAAATTTTAGATTTTATGTTTTCAAGTTATGGTTTTTTTTTCATTAAAAAAGGGGGATTTTCCCGTCCTCTGACAATAACTCAAAAACGCTTTGAGCAGTTTTCATGAAACTTTGGTGAATTTTTTATATCTATTGACTTAAGCTCCTTTTCGATTTTTATAAATTTTAGATTTTACTTTTCCAAGTTATGGGATTTTATTCATAAAAAAGGGGTGATTTTCCAGTTTTCGGACAATAACTCAAAAGTGCTTTGAGCAGTTTTCATGAAACTTTGGTGACTGGTTTATATCTATTAAAACAACCTCCCTTTTGTTTTGTATAAATTTCTGATATGACATTGAGGAGTTATTGAACTTTATTCTTTGAAAAAGCGACGGCCGTATCATGGGCTCATGACGCAGCTGTTAATTGATTATTTTGCAATGCAATATTTCACATCCCCAATATTTTTTCTCATTTGTAATGTGATAAAAGTCTAACTTTAATAAAGTTTTTAATTTTTGTTGCAAATCAATGCTATGGTAATGGTGCCTGCCACATGATCTTCATACATCTCTTAAGAGTATGAGCTATAATTATGTCCTTGTCTCTCATTTTTAACAATTTGTATGTGCGATATCTGTTTTTAATTTGATTTCAACATTGATTGTGTATCAATTGTACTGTGAAGACAAAATTGTATAACAAAACATAGAATGCCATTGTTTTAATTTCAGCAAATAGTAGAATGGCCAATTTTTACAAAATCTAAAGATCAGGTAGTAAGGCAAAGGGGGAATGTATTCTTTAAATCTGTTCCAAGTTCCTCTTGTTGTTTTGTTTTGTTTTGTGTTTTATTTTTACTTTTGTTTGATATTTTGAAGTTGATGGTGTTTTTTTTTTATATGTTTTGTTTATATAATGTATTTTACAATTTTTATTGTAATTCATGTTATCCGAAATTAATTTACTGGATAATTTCAATATTTGTACGAATGTTTAAAGAAAAAGGTTTCACAATTGGTTGAGTTTACATTGTTTTATACAATGCATTCTCAGTAATATTGAAATATTTGTAAGTATTCCCTAAAATACTTTATATCTTGGAAAGCTTTAGGTTTGTTATGAAGGAGAATGTTAAGACTGAATGTAGTGTCTGTTTTTAGCCCTTGATATGAATAGGAAAAAGACTTTAAAGTTTTAACATAAGAGATAAATGGTGCATCCCATAAAATCAGTGCTGCCAATGGATGGTCAAACCAGTAACGATCAACCATTCAAATCACTTAACAAAATGTACATCATTAAGATAAGATCTCTTACTCTGCTTTATTAAAATCATGGAGGAAAGTCAAAGGTTTATAAAGAAACAGAGAAAAAATGGAAAACCAATAACATATGGAGGTATTACAAAAATAAAGGTTACAAATAATGAGTCGTGGTGTGATCCTTTATTTGTGGTGTGATAAAGGATCACTATAGTAAGGAAATACTAATTATTTTACAGCAGTATGATGATCCAGCCTACAAAGCAGTATTGGCCTGGGTAAAGAGTGTAGGCCTGGTAATATTTAGAGCTATGTTGTTTTTGATGGTGGTTTTCTGTTGGTAGAATTTGATTAAGTAGAGCTATGTTTCTTTGAAAGGTGTTTTTTTTCTGTTGTTAGCTTTGGATTTTTCATTTTAGAGAGTTATCTTGGATCGTATTGATTTTCTATCTATTTAGAAGTTAGGAAGCTTTCTTCAATTAGAGGTATTTTAAATCAAACCTGTTCATTGATCCATATTAGTAAACTTTAATGGTATTCAAAGTTTTTAGCATACAGGAAAAATTAACTTTACCAGGTTTTTTGTGGAAAATATTTTTTGCCTTCTTGAGTTGGAAACTTTTTGACCATTAGTAAGATGATAAAATGTGCAAAACAGATAATTAGTCAAAATATTTATAATAAAACATATCAGTGTTTACTTTAGATTGATATTGAAATGTTACAGTCAAGTATAACCAGTATAAGATCCGAGTGAATTATCTCCCCTGGCAGCTTACATTAGTGTACTATCTAGATTTGCTTCAAAATCTCCCCCATGGTAACCTGTAGAATGTAAAATTAAACAGACTGTGTATACTACAATAAAGTAATTACAAATGTTTAAATTATTTTTCTAGGTATGATTGTGTTTTCTTTGTATAACTTTCATTACCCATGTTGCAAAGGTGTTTTTTTTCCTTACCCATAACTATAATCATAGAATTTTACTTTAAGCTTGTGCATATACTCTGCACAGGGAATCATTGAAATGTAAAAAATAGCTGAAATGATAAACACATAGTTGCATCACTAGTTTCGAAAACAGGCTTATAGTACAACTATCAGATTGACCCCAAAGAACCCCTTCATTAATTCTGTCTTTTTAGTGGATATTTTTGTTTTGTGTTTGATTGCTTTTCTTCAGAGTTGTCTAGTTTGATGAAATGCTGCTTGTTTTATACAGTGTTACAGTTTAGTTTTGATGTGAGCAGGCAAGACAATTTTTGTGCTGACTTATTGAAATTACTAAGATATGATCAAGTTCCTTAGAGTTAGAGAAATAAATTTATATTTCTGTATGAAATTTACATCATTATTGGAAAAAAACTGCTCTTTTATAATATATAAACTGGAAATTATTAAAATCTATACAATAGTTTACAATGTTAATTATATTAAGTCAGGCTTGTTAAGCTTGAATAATTGTCAGGTGCAAAGTACAAAATATATTCTGTTTTGGAGACATTGTACAGATAGTGGTTGTATACTGTAAACCTTACATAAACCTAGATAATAGAAGAGACAGAGGAAATGGATATTTTGACCGTTAGTAAGGTAGTTAAATGACCCCCTCATTATAATATTACGCTCACAAACAAGCAGATAAGATTCCAAGGGAAAAGGGACATTGTGCTATGATTAATGTCTAGTATTAAAATATGATATATTTATATCTTTTGGTTTCTGGTATGAAATAGAATGGCTGATTGCAGAATAAATAGGGTATATAAAATATGCATGTTTATTCATGATGTCCATTGTTTTAATGTATGAAATCAGTATATATGCTTTGCACAACAATATATAAGCATGATATGATATTCTCAGATATATACAAGTTAAATACTCTACATCTTTTTTCATTGAACCAAGTGTCCAAAAACTTTGTTTATCTATGTTTGAAAGAGTTGATGGGCATGGGAGTTGGTAAGAACTATAGTATAGAATTGAATGTTTCCATAACAGTAGCGATGAACCAGTTAAATTTGTTTGAGGGCTTTAATTTTTCAGGAAGACCTGAAAACAAATATACAACAAAGGGAGATAACTTAGGCTACATCAGTGCACTGTTTCTCTGAATACTTTTCTCCAGCTGAACATTTTTTTTTGTGTGCATGGAGGAGGTTACATTATAAAAGAGATGACACAGATTGCACGTCACTCAGATTAGTATATGGTTACAATGCATGGACCTATTCACATGTTATAGATGCTGCAGATCACTGAGCATCAATTAAAATAAGCAAAATTGTGAAAAGAATTGTAAATTTCAGTACAAATTTACAGTTGCATAATATCAAATGAAATCTTTAGGATATTTGCTACTGTGGATTCATTATTATTCATGGGATTTTGTGGGTTATGGTAAACCATGAATTTATAAGTTCAACGCAGTATAAATTTTCTACAGGCTTGTATGCAGACTTTGGCAAAACCATGAAAATCAATATCTACGAAATCATGATTTTACCTCAAATCACAAAAATTAGTATCCATGAAAATGAATGAATCAACTGTATGCAAATTAGTAAATTCATCTTTTAGCTCATAATATAACACACTGTTGTATATATAAAAAGAATTACCATATTGATCATAATCGTATTTATATGTTTTTTCATATTGGCAAAAAAATATTTTAACTGATGTGGGAATTAGAGGGGAAATTTTAGAAATGAAAAAAAACAAGCAATTGATTTGCATCACCTGGAGCCCATTTCATATATATTAACTTATGAATAGCCCAAAGTAATTAATTAAATAAAAACAGCTATTAAACCAAGAATATATCATTGATACTCACTTGGGACTTCCTTTACTTGTCCAGGGATTACATCCACTTCAATGTTACATTGAAAAATTTAAAAATAAACATCCTCTTGGTAGCAACCACATTCTAAGTTGTTTTTGTAAATATTGAGAAGTTCTTATATCATTGTACAGATTTAGAAAATCTTGAAAAAGAATCCATAGTTTCTAGAAAGCGTCCATCAGATGAAGGGTTTTTTTTTCATTAAGAAATAAACAAAAACATCTATTTGATATTACCCACCTGTGTTATTGATGTTCGGTAACAAATTCTGATTACCATGTCAATCTGTCAGGACATTTTTTTAAATTTTATTATTGACAGTGTGATAAAATCCATTTGTTTTATTCAAAAAACAGAAACTTCTACCCAACATATCATTTAGGGATTACTTCAGTTCATTTATCAATATCAGACCAGAAATGTGAAGTGCATTGTCAACAAATAAAGAAAATAAGAATGTTTGAACCCATTTCTTGATGGTATTTATCACATGGCTAGTAGTGGAGACAGTGTGATATCTTAGTAATGATTGAAAACTACTCAATTTTGTAGGGAAGAAAAGTCTTTTATTTAATTTTCATCTCAATATATTATTTTCTTTTATTGACTGTTGGTAATGTATATAAATAAGAGATGCACAATGATTTTTTAATTTTCAAACATCATTGAATATGTATCAAATAGTATGTATTAGAATATGTTTTCCTACTTTAATTTCATGCTGAATGAATGCAAAACATTTGTAGATTGCTTTTGATGATTTTTTTAATTTGTAAGTTATTTCTGCTTTGTATTTTGCCTTAACTTTCATCAATGTAAACATAAAGAGCATAATACTTCAGAATAAGGTACCGGTAAAGAAATTATTGTACTTCCATATTTCATTTTCATCATTTTTCATACATCATATTTTATTTGTGGTTATTTGAAATTATTTGAAAAATTATTTGGTTTTTTTTAGCCTTCGCCAGAAATGTACCATATGGCCTACCAGCATTACAACACTTTTCTGAAAAATATGTGCTACAGGTAAGAAACTATACATTCTTTTTTGCTTTATAAGGATTTTGTGCATTACTGTGTACCTTGACACCATGGAACAAAAACAGAATGCTGTATATATCAAGGGAAACCTAATTAAAAAAATTGTCAGTGTTGCCATTGTCTTTTTTTGATAGATCATTCAATTGCAGAAATTTATGAGGATATCCATATTCTGTTTTGAATTCAATCATAACTTGATACCAGTTAGGAAAATTTAGAGACATGTGAGTATCAATCTCTTGTTGAAGGTCATGCTGCAACATGTTTATTTTTATTTTCCTTATGTTTTTTGTTTGCTGTCTCGTGGATACTACCCCATATTTCTCTTTATTTATGTATAACTTCAACTACTGTGAAATCTATGAAAATAATATGAAAAAACATAAAATACATCAGTAATGAAAAGGCAAAGCAACATTTACTATCCATAACTGGTTATAATGTGTTGTGTCCTTGTGATAATTTATGTTGATTTTCACGAAATGTGTGATATCATTTTCAGAGCCTGGTTACAGTACTATCTAAACAAAAGGTTGAAGAAGACAAATGTATCTGGAAAAATGTTGAAGGCATCAAATCATCATTCACAAAGACTGATGAAGGAACATTTTGTCGTTTGGAAGGTAATGTAGATTAGAGATGTTCAATATGTAAAATTAGTTTTATCATGTCTAGATGTAATGTAAACATCAACATCTGTATTACAAGATTTTTCCATTTAGGTTAAGTGGTTACCCATAAACTGACCTAAATCACACACTAATACAGTGTTGATGCCGCCGGTAGACACATCATGCCTGAGTCTTGCTTTTTCAACATTGTCGAAATGATGACTAGATTAAAGCATGCTGTTTTTGGCGGCATCTGTGGCTTCGTCAACAATATATTAGTTTGTGATTAGGTCAGTTAGATGGGAACCAGTAGTGGTAGGTCAATGATATTTGGTATGCAGATGTATTAGCATTGGCACATCTCATTTCCATGGAGATAATTTGGCTCAGTTCCACAGTCATGGTCCACTGAATCTGACTGAATGTCATAGCTTACATGTTAAAGTTTGTGATTAGATCAGTTAAAGATAAACCACTAATGTTAATCAATTATATTTGGAATGCATTTGTAAAAGCATTTGCAAGTCTCATTTCCATGGAGGTTATATGGCCCCACCCCCTCATCATGGTTCATTGACTTCGAAAGTTTTGCATAGTTTACAAGTTAAAGTTTGAGTTTAGGCTAGTTTAAAGGGAACCACTTATGATAATTCAATGGTATTTAGTATTCAGTTTTATAAGCATTATCAGTTCTCATTTCCATGGAGGTTATTTTGCCCTGTATCTTCAGTCATGGTTCATTGACTTTGAATGTTTTGTATAGTTTACATGTTTAAATATTGTCATTTTAATTTCAACATATGCATTTTCTTATCAAAATTACAAAAACGCAAGACATATCTTTGTGTCAAGAGTTTATTGATGTCAAATTATTATTTTCTTATTTTATATATGCACGATGTTGACTGATTTTCACTTGATTATTTTTCTTTTTTTTTTATACAGGAATGGTTGAGATATAGAAAAGGGTGTCAAGCTAGTAAGTTTTTTGTTGAAATGTTTAATTTTTTTCAGGAATCTCAATAACTAATGGATACATTTATTCTATAAAACTACATATAATGGATATGGATTTATTAATCTTGCATTGATGTCCAATGAAAATTGTTGAATTTTGAAAATTTATTTCTTAAATAATTTACAAAACAGTCACATTTTTCACCTGAAAATGTTGTTCTTGTCAAAGTTTATTATATTCTGAAGCATACAAAAAGTTTTGAAATGTCTGATGTTAAAGTTTGATGCTGGAACAGGAGATATGACATCATACTGATATGTACAAATGACTAGATCAAGGAGTCATAGAATTTTCTACTGTGCATCTCCACATTGTTTTTGGTTGTCCTCTTTTCTTTTTTCTTCTGGTGTCCATCTAAGGGCTACCTTTGTCATGTCTTCACCTTGTTTGCATAGAACATGACCAAGCCACCTCCATCTCTTTTGTATCAACAAAGTCTCCATGTCCTTAGTGTTTGTGATCTCTTGTAGGTCTTAGTTGGAAATTTTGTTTGGCCAGAATATTTTCATTATCTTCCTCAGACAGGTGTTATGGAAGCTGGAGAGTCTGTTGATGTCTTTCTCAGTCATTCTCCAGCACTCTGTGCCGTATAGGAGCACTGATAGTACACAGCTGTTATAAAGTCTACGCTTGGTCTTCTTTGAAAAGGCTGTTGTTTTCCAGATGTTGTCTAATCTAATGAATGCTGATCTAGTTTTTCCTATTCTGACCTTTATATCTCTTTCAGCACCACCTTCTGTTGTTATACAACTTCCTAGGTAATTAAATGAGTCTACTACGCCAGTTGTTTCCCTTCTACAAATATGACACTCAGTCTCTCTGTGTTGAGGTCATTAACTTTGTCTTCTTGGCATTGATCTTAAGTCCAATCATTCAAGCATTTTCTTCTAGCTTTTTGGTCTTCAGTATTCCATAAAAGTGCTAAATCATCAGCATACTCTGTATCCTCAAGCATGGTACATAGTGTCCATCTCAGTTGGTGCTACTTTCTGATAGGGTCAGCATTGCCTGAGCAGGTCTGATTACAAAACTTGAAAAAAGTTCCCTATCCCTGAAAGAATAGAAATATAATTGACCACTTGAAAGAAAATTGGTTGACATGAATATTTGATTGGATCTAGATAATTGGTTATGATATGATGATTGTTCTAGGATTTGAGATGGTTACACACTAGTCACTAATTTTTTATTCTAACTATTACAGTGTTTTTCCAAGTAATCCAAAAAGTTTGGCATTTAGCTATAGCTCGAGTTATATTTAATGAATGGAGAATCACAACTGAACAAGCTAAGAACCAAAGAGAATATTTTGAGGTAAATTAGATGACATCATTTGTATTTTTTTTTTAGATGTGTTTCACAGAGCTTTAGACAGACAATATAGAATTTTTGTTTACCTCACTAAAATGATATGTACAGGAATTATACAATTCAATTTTATTTATTTTTGGTTTATATATTTTTATTTCAGTTTTAAATGGAATTAGTTCATGGTTTGATGATTAAAAAGATCAAACAGAAAGCTATGTTCTAATACCATTGCTTCAAAACAAAGAGAAAATGCATAGAAAAAGTTATAGATGATTATATTTTCTACTTTAGTTACATAAAGAATCAATGTAAAAAAAGAAATAACTAATTGTAAAATTCAAATATGGAAAAAATATTCTACTCATGACCGAACAACACTGCTAATTCACTCACACTCTACACTCATTTCTGAATTAATGTGTTGATCAATCAACCGTTAAGTATTTTAAGACATTTGAATTCTTTGATTAGTTATTCTATAAATGATTTTTGTTGAGCCTGCGACTTTTGTTGCAAAAGCAAGACATAGCGATCCTACATTCTGTCGTTGGCGGCTTCCACAAATATTCACTCTGTGGTTAAAGTTTTTGAAATTTTAATAACTTTCTTAAACTATCCTGGATTTCTACCAAACTTGGACAGAAGCTTGTTTATGATCATAAGATAGTATCCAGAAGTAAATTTTGTAAAAAAAAAATCATGTTTATCTGTATTTTATTTATAAATGGACTTAGTTTTTCTGCCAGTTAACATTACATTCAATCTGTGGTTAATGTTTTAAAAATTTTAATAACTTTCTTAAACTATCCTGGATTTGTACCAAACTTGGACAGAAGCTTGTTAATGATCATAAGATAGTATCCAGAAGTAAATTTTGTAGAAAAAAAAATCCTGTTTATCCGTATTTTACTTATAAATGGACTTAGTTTTTCTGCCAGTTAACATTACATTCACTCTGTGGTTAAAGTTTTAAAAATTCTAATAACTTTCTTAAACTATCCTGGATTTGTACCAAACTTGGACAGAAGCTTGTTTATGATCAAAAGCTAGTATCTAGAAGGAAATTTTGTAAAAATTTATTTCCTGTTTTTCTGTATATTACTTATAAATGGACTTAGTTTTTCTTCCAGTTAACATTACATACAGTCTGCAGTTAAAGTTTTTAAAACATTTATTAGATTCATAAACCATCCTGGATTTTTATTTCATTAACTGTAAATCTATTATGTGCATTCCCCTATCACACTGAAAACATAGACAACAGCAAAAGTAGGCGAGACACTGGGTTCCGCGGAACCCCTTAAGAATTTTTATATTACTGATAGTTTGCCTATGTAAAATTAAATATTCTCAAAGATTTTATGATTTAGAAGGCAATATTACAGTTTACATGGATTGAAGCTCTTTCTATGTTTTTCTATGCATGCGCTCTTTAACTTTGCCTCAAGAAACTATTCAGAGATAGGTCATGGGTAATGGAATTACAAAACGTCAAGTTTAACTTAGTTAGATAGTTTTGATTTTGTTTGCATATGAAAAATTCACATGAATTTTCTATATAAGCTTGCTATGAAAGGAATTTACAGTATTGGTAAATTAAAAATAAAGAAAAATTTCCAGTTTAATGGCAGTGACCAACATTGTAAATTTAGATATCAACTAAAATTAGTTTTGTTATTTATAGTGGAAATAAAATCTGATTTTGAGTAACTCTTCATTGTTGTTTTCTTTGCTAAATTATTTTTATTTATTTCACAGAATAAACTGGTTAGTACCACACATCTTGTGGCATTTGGGATTCTTTTTATAACGTTTCTGTAGTGATTTTTAATGGTGGTTATAACACAAATTTTACAATGGGTTTTGTAGTGTGTAACACAATATTAAATTGATTTCATTTCTATTTGTTCATCTGTTCATCATAATTAATTGTCAGCTTTTTTCTACTGTTAGTGACTTTATACAACATAGATCTAAAGTTCTTTAAATATTACTGAATGACTAAAGATAAGAACAAAATTATTTCCAGAACATAATGAAGGTAAAATTAAATGAGAGAATGAAAGGATCATCAGTGAAGTTGTCTCCCCTTTTGAAAAAACAGATCTATATAAGAAATGTATTTTTCATCTTCAAATCTTTTCAAGTTATTTTTACATTTTAGATATATCATCTTTAGGAAATTATTGTTTTTAAACAACCTGGCATTCAAAATGTGTGGACATATACTTTCTTATTAGGACTCAGATCTTAAGGGATGGAATACCAGGGTAACTTAATTTTTCATAACAGTTATTTTACCACCAATTTGTTTTAGAGTATGGTAAAAGAACTGTTCAGAATTTAAAAATAAATATTGTGAAATTAGTTTTTATGCCCCACCTACGATAGTAGAGGGGCATTATGTTTTTCGGTCTGTGCGTCCGTTCGTCCGTCGGTCCCGCTTCAGGTTAAAGTTATTGGTCAAGGTAGTTTTTGATGAAGTTGAAGTCCAATCAACTTGAAACTTAGTACACATGTTCCCTATGATATGATCTTTCTAATTTTAATGCCAAATTAGAGTTTTTACCCAATTTCACGGTCCACTGAACATAGAAAATGATAGTGCGAGTGGGGCATCCGTGTACTATGGACACATTCTTGTTACATCATACTTCAGGTATTACAAGTTCAAAGCTTCCAACTCATTGCCTAGGTGTTGTTTTTTTTTAGTGAGATGATTAGAAAATTGATGGAATTATGACACTTTCAATGTGAAAAACTATACAAGCTCAACTGACTTACTCTAGGTTTAGACTTAGTAAGAGAAGCACTTCAGTGCAGGCATAATCATTTAAACAAATGTAGGTCAATTTGACGTCTTTTCATGCATAACTTACTTTTGTTTTCATCCTGGATCTTTGAGATGTAGGCCTGAAATGATTAAAATGTACCAAGAAGTACTGTAGTATACAAGTCCTTATGAAATAGTCATTATGCTTCTTTGGAAATAGTGCTTTTACTTACATGAAATAAGGACTTATGCTTTTTTAACCATTTCAAAAGATGACCATATGCTGTGAATTAAATTCATTGGGGGTTTGAAATCACTAATTATAAATGTTCTTCATAAAGTAATACAATAAACAATACGAATTTCAAAAGATCCATAAAACTGTCTAGAAAACTGACATCCCCTCCAAATATAGCTTTTTTAAGTAGAGTTGATGATGTCTTTCATTCTCTTAGCAGTTTAAAAATTAGTGTTTTTTACTACAGTTATTATTTTTCAATTCTTGTTAATATGTTATTACACAATGATTTCATTCAGGAACTAACTTTTTGTAACTATGTTGATATTGAAGATAAAACAATATTTAATTTAGAATTAACCCTAATTATTCACTTATTTCTTTTATTCTTTTTCTTATAAATGTTGCAAACTTTTGTCTCTTGTATGTAAAATTGTCTGATTTCAGTACTAATTAACTGTTATTACAAAGTGTTCACTTTTTTAATTTGAGCGTCACTGAAAGTCTTATGTAGACGAAATGTGTGTCTGGCGTACAAAATTTTAAGCCTAGTATCTATGATGAGTTTATTTGAACATGATTTTACATTGCTTTTTCAATTGTTCAACAGCAGTGCAGAAAATTTTATCAATGCAGCAGAAAATCACCACAAAGTTTACATGTGTAAAAGTTGCAAACATCTGTACAGAAGTTATGTGCCCAAAAGTCTTATGTGTGCTTTGTTAGATGGTCCTCCAGGGTTACTTGACAGAAATATTTAATCCAAATTCCTATTCTTGCAATGAAAAAAAATCTCATTACTATATTTTCTTAACCTGATATTTATGTTTTTTTAGGGTTTGGTTTTTTTTGGAGGGCGGGGGCAACATTTTTTGAATATAAAATTAGGGATGTTACCTTATTAGATAAAATAAAATTTAAAGTAACATAATTTTAGATACAGAAATAGTCTAGACATAGAATGATATACCATTTATTGCAGATTTATAATTGACATTTTTTAAACCAATTTCTTAGTCCTAAACAGCAGATTGATGTCAGTTGATGATGAATTTTTACATTTAAGAGTTAAGGCCCTTTCTGATCTAAACAAATTAGGTGTATAACAATGATTGTCAGATCTCCCAAGCTTTTTCCTTTTTGGTTGCAACAAGACCTTGATGTGTACCAAGAATGTGCTTACAGAATTTGTAAGAAAAAAAGTTATAGCAGTACAACCTTTGAAATTTAAATTAATTGTTTAATATATTAATATATTATTTGTTTGATTTTATAGTTATACATATTTTTAAGAAAACACACAAATTGGTAATGTTTTTCTCATTTGTTTCAGAAGTAATTTGCAGAAATAAATTTGAATGATTTTGCATCCTGTATGATTTTAAAGATAAAAAAAAAAATGTTGAAAACCTAAGCCTAAATTATGTTGTGTTTTAGTGAGTTAATTATTTTGTAAAATTGTTATTCCAAATTTATATTTCAGTATTAAATTTTCAGAAATATTGAAGACATTTAAATCAATTCAAAATATAGATTATTTTTAATTATATAATTTCTTATTATTAAAGTAATTGTATAAAGGTATTTGAATTTAAATGATAATTAACAGCCACAAAATCATGATGGGATATTCAAAAGCAAGGGTCATTATTGCATCTGTTTGTTCCAATGACACTTTATTTACAAGACATTCATTGAAACAGCCCTGATGGAAGAAATAACCAGATAATTCTAAGATCGGAATGACCATAAGAACACTATGAGTAGCTACTAAGGGACCAAAAAGAAATCATAAGTCTTAATATGCAATTCTTGATAGACTTCTAGAGCATGAACGTGCTTTAATTATTGTGGTTATCATTTTGTTGGTACATGATATATAAATTTCACCTTACTGGGTTTAGCATGATTGGCTACAAAACAAAGGCACATTTTGTGTTTTGAAGGCTTGACTGTCTTCAAAACTAAGAAAACGTATTGTGTAAGAAAAAAAGCATTATCATTTTAAAATGAGTCAATAATTTATAGTCATTTAAGCCAGACCTGATCAGGTGAAGTTTATGGAGCGATATGTTCAGTTGAATTTTGCACTGCAGTATGAGTTTTTATGTTTATACTAACTTTTCACCTGCTGTATGTCTTAGTTTATTTTGCTTTATTTTTATTATTGTTTTCTGTTTAAAGATCAGATTATGGGTAAATATTGATACTCCCCTTGCACATATGCACATATGTCTTGAGTAGTGTGGATTTGAATTTGGTTTTTTAACTTTATTAGAACTGCTATCTGATTTCAATTTTTGTGGCAATATTTCCCAAAATAACCATTGTAATAATGTTACAAATACTAAAACAAAATCGAAGACATAAAACACTTTCTATCTAAATTCCACTTTTTTCAAATAGTCATATGTATGATATATTGTATATCATCTGTCTCTGAATTCCCCATTTCATTATTTGAGGTTATCAGAATATACTTGTTTCCTTTTATTTCTCTATAGTATGCAGTTTGGTTTGAAAAAAACTTATGATGGACATTAAATAAGTATTCTGGTAAGGTCAAGAGGGAGAAAAGACAGAAGATTCTAAGTGGGTGGGTTGGAGGAGGGGTTATTAGGTGACATCAATAACTTTTTAAAATGCAGGAATAATAAGTTTTAAAATATTAAAATTTTAACCAAAGAAATCCCATAAATCATAGCAAAGTAGGATTTTGCCTTGACCTAATAAAGAATGGTAGGGTGTCTGTATAACAATTTGTTTAAATATAAAGTTGTGATAGGATCACTATATTCTCACATTGGATTATTTTAAGGGAGTGGAGAAAAATTACTTGAAATTATTTTGTAAAGTAAAGTTGTAGAAAATACACACTTCAAGGAAATTAGACTATTAAAAATAAAATTATGAGTTCCAAAATGTTTCCATTTTCATACAGCATGTTTTGTCCTTCTTGCTATATAGCTTGATATAGCATGACACTTTACTAATAATATTCCCTACACAATCTTGCATGATATTTGGCACAGCTTGTTTTTGCCAGAAATAAAGCATTGCTTTAAAGTATCATTTTCACAGCAAAGTTAAGTATAGCCACTCATTTCACAAAATTTCTTATGAGAAAAATACTCATAAGTCATGAACATTTCAGTATTTCTTACGATCACTTTTTGTTGTAAGATTTTTTGTGAAAAGAACCCCAGGTATTTCACATTTAAAACTTTTACAGAGAGGTATGGCCAATGTCTGAGGGAAGATGTAACTACTAAAATGCACTAAACTTAAGGGTACCTCTAAATTATTTTAAGCATGTATCTGCTTGACTTTTTCGGCATTGATGGAATGGCTCTGATCAATCAATGATTATTTATAGCAGTAGATAGGGTGTTCATGATGATATGTTTTGTATAATAACTTTTATATTCTTAGTAGCAGAAATGGAATATTTTTTGCAGATTTTAGTTTGAATATTGGGGTAAAGGGATTTTTTTTCCCTCTGAGTTTCTATAATGGTACAGGTGTGTTTCAATATAGTTTCTTAATTGGTAAACTTTTCAAACACAAGGTAAAAATTTTTTAATTAATTTTAGCCCATTATACTTTTTATACATGTTATATGGAGTTTATGGTTCTAAAATGTTGGTCAATGAACTTATCATTTGTATATTGAGTAATAATAATGATCTTAAAACAGAAGATCGGATAATTTTCTGTGTATTTTAAAATTCAAACTCATGTATAATACTGATATTTTAAGAACATTGACTAAAACAGCTGTTAAATTTAATAGAGGCTAGAACGTGGAGAGAACCTGAATGATGAAGATGGATTTGGATCAACTGGTGATGCCAGAGACAGTATTTCATGGCTGGACAGAAGTGTTGCAGTTAGGGTAGGTAATGAAGGTTATTTTGAAGAAATTTGTTGATTTGTAAACATGACACAAACTGCAAAAAGAACCTCAAATTTTATTTAGTTTCTGGGTGAGAGTGATGTTAGTGTTTTTACACATCAACAGTGGAAAATAAGTTAACTTTATTCAAGTATTTAAGATTAGTTTGAAGGATTAATTGATCAGTGAGCTTGTTCATCTCACTCACAAACTGAAAAAAATTAAAAGGATTTTTGTTGCAGCTTTTATACTGTTTGCAAGAGAAAGTTCTATATTTTATTTAGCTGTGTGTAAACTCTGATGACTCTGAAGTATTGATGCTGAGAGTGAAAGGGAAATTTTGCTCATCAATAAATTTCATAAGAATAACTTTTTACAGATGCATGTAATTCAAATAAAATGCTCTTAAACATATATTTCCAACAATAAAGGTATATCTACTGAACTATTTTGTCTCCATAAGAATTCATGTTCGCAATGTCACAAATTTGAATTTATTAGTGTGTAATTTTATATGTGTTCTTGAAGTTGACCAGTACATTATTATAGAATACAAAATTCAATCAGCTTGAGAATGAGTCAAGCTTTCATACACATTTGCAATCATACTATTACTATATTATCTTCAGATATTTAAGAATGTGGATATAGCTGATCTGTCAAGATGTTCCAGAGTTTGTAGATCTTGGAAAGTTATCATTACCAACAGCAGTGCCATTTGGAACAGAGTAAGTACATTGTTTATACCAACAGTAATCTTATAAGACCTTATAAAATAATCATAACAGTTTTAAACAAAAATGGGAAATTCCAAAATTGCTAAACCATATACAACAAATTGCATATATTTGGCCTAAGCCTTTATTGTTGAGCATTTAACTTGCTCAATTCAATCTTCTTGACAGCTTGCAAATTGAATAATTTATCATACACACTGCAGAGATAAAAAAAATTTTTTAGAAAAATTAAAATATAGTCTCAGAACAATTTTAATCCAAAGCAAAAGTTCTTGCAATTTCATTTTTGTCTCGCCTGTGACGAAAGTCGCAGTATGCTAGACATAGGTATTACTATCGGGCGGCAGCGTAAACTATTTGTATAAAGCTTTATATTTCAGAAGGTAGAAGACCTGGGTGCTTCATATCTTGTATGCAGATACTTTATGTTATGAAGTTTCTGAGTTTCTGTCTGTCATATGTCCAATGTCCTTGAACTCATTTTCATGGTTCAACAACTGCTTTAGAAAAAAATTGAGTTTTATTGTCATGTGAATTTCTCACTTATTATGAGTAATAGGATAACCATATGGGTTCCTTGCAACGTCTACATGTCCTTCAGATAGGGTTCACCTGAACTTGTCCTCAATTCATGGATCAGTGATCAAGGTTAAAGTTACGTGATTAGGTTCGTTTCTCAAATACTATAAGCAGCAGGTCAACTACATGGATCTCCATGACCTGTTTTATGATGGCGCACCGCCATCGTTAAAATGTCTTCCGACACCGTCAAATGATCCCCGCCATTGTCAAATTTTGTTTTCGTTTCTTTAGCCGAGTACAAAATAAGACGTAAACAGAACATAATTTCATGCCAAATAACACTAGTACAGCAATTATCGATAATGTTGAATCACTTTACAAGTTTAAAAGTAAATACATGAATATTAATTGCAACTTGATAATCTGAAGAAATTTCGTATCGTAATTCGGAATTCATTTCGTAGTTTACAATCAAATTGATACATCCGGTTTTCTGGTTTACATTCAGAATCGAAAGATGCATGTTGCATAGTATATTACTATGACATTTGCTGTTTAAAGTCATTAAAACCTTTTAAGTTGTTAACATTTGCCCTCCAAATCATTCTTCAGCATTTAACAAAACTGGTACGAAAATTCTTCTTGTTGTTGATGCTGCAAATCGTCGCAAAAAAAAGAAGATACCCCCGATTTTTAAGCCCTATTTATTACCAAAATAGCAAGAAAACAATGTGGGAACCTTAAGGACAGCTTGTGGTCATTCTTTACTAAGGGGGAGCCATGCAGGCTTGGCATTGGAATTGTTACAAATGACAATTAATGAAAATATTGGTTATTCTATAATGAAATGAATATAATAAGCAATATATCAGCCTGTTCACCATTCCTTACATGTAAATGAAGGAATGAAATACTTTCGATGACGCCAAACGTAGACGCTGGGTTTTTTCATGGTGAAAGTTATTCCATCGTTAAATTTTCATCCATGGAGATCCCTGAACTATATGTGGTGTATGGAATGACTGTAATGGGTACATGTCAGTCTGGCAGGTTTCATCTGACCTTGACCACATTTTCATGGTTCATTGGTCAATGTAAAGTTTTTGTGTTTTTGTCTGTTTTTTAAGTACTATAAGCAATAGGTCAACTATATATGGTGTATGGAATGACTAATTGGTACATGTCAGTCTGGCAGGTTTCATCTGACCTTGACCTCATTTTCATGGTTCATTGGTCAATGCTAAGTTTTTGTGTTTTGGTCTTTTTTTCAAGTACAATAAACAATAGGTCACCTATATTTGGTGTATGAAAGGATTGTGAAGTGTACAGTACATGTCTGTCTGGTAGGTATCATCTGAACTTGACCTCATTTCATGGTTCATTGGTCAATGTTAAGTATTTGTGGTTTGGTCTGTTTTTCAAGTACTATAAGCAATAGGTCAACTATATTTGGTGTATGGAATTATTGTAAGGTGTATAAGTCCGTCTGGCAGATATCATCTCACCTTGAGATCATTTTCATGGTTCATAGGTCAATGTTAAGTTGGTTTTTTTTTTGGTCTGTTTTTCAATTATCATAAGCAATAGGTCAAATATATATATTTTGTGTATAAAAAAAATGTAAGGTGTATATGTCTGTCTGACAGCATTTATCTGACCTGAGTTTCTGTGATGCTTTTAGTTAAACCTTTATCTTTAAGACTTTCAACATAAAATCAGTGGTCACTAAAGCAGGCGAGACATTTCAGCATGTGCACTCAAGTAAATGATGACAACTATGATGTGGTTTATGCAGAATTAGATCGATTTACCGAACCAGAAATAGATATTTTTTATATGCGTGAAAAAGCACCAGGATATGACAATATTTTAACGAATCTTTTGGAATGTATCTAATATGGATCAACCCATTATTCCTTTTTTCTCAATTTTCAGAAAATTAATTTGGTAATATGAATAGCCTTTTATAAAGAAAAAACAGCTTACATGACCAAGTTCACTGTTATTGGTATACAAATTTTTATATAGGAAATTTTAAAACAACATTTTTATTGTTTCGTTTTTATTTGTATTACAGATTGACTTTTCCCAAGTAAAGAACAAGTGAGTAAAATATGTGTCCCACACCAATAGCCAAAGTAGGGTTTCATGGATTTGTCTGAACCCCATCCCATAAAACAAAAAATACTATTTAAGACTAAGATGAGGTTCAGATTAAAGTTTGATTATTAAATTCAGAGAATCATGACCCCAAATAACCCCTTCAGTGACATCCTAGCTTTAGACTTGTGTCATTTCTGTACTATTGATATTCAATATCATTCATAATGTAATTTATAGGTAATATCTTTATGAAAATTTCAAAAAAGATTCAAATGCAAACCATCCATCACCCATGCGAATAAATTTTTTTAACATGGACTCTTCTGAACAAGTTAATATGAACAGCAACTAATATGAGTTTCTAATAAAGATTCCAGATAATGTAATTCTTCCAAAATGACTGTTAAGAATACAGAACAAAGCATATTATAGGACTTTTAATCAATATACTTTGAGAAGGGCACAAAGACATAATTAAACACAAGGCATGCAAAATATTTTTGAAGATCACTGTGGCAGGAAAAATACCAGAAATTAGCAAATAAAATTGAGAATGGAAATTGGGAATGTGTCAAAGAGACAACAACCCGACCAAAGAGCAGAAAACAGCCGAAGGCCACCAATGGGTCTTCAACACAGCGAGAAAAATCCTGCACTCGGCAGATATGCATTTATTTTACTTTTTAATTTGTTGTTTATTTTATTATTATTTCAACACAAATATCAGAAAAGTTGCATATAACCTGTAAGTACATGTAAGTATAAATGTTGGAACAGTCTAAACTCTGTGTAAAAAAATTGACAAGTCATTTATAGACATGCATTGCGTTAAGTATCTAACATTTAAAAGTTTTTATAATATTTCGATTCCAGAGTAACAGATAAAGTAGCAACAAAGCATTTGATGAAATGGCGGCCTTATTTGATACACATAAACCTGAGAGGATGTACAAAATTAGGAGAACCAACTTTTAGAGGAATTAGTGAATGTAGAAATCTACAAGATCTTAATTTGTCACAATGCACAGGTGTTAATGTAAGTTAGGTAAAAATAAGTCACAGTACACAGGTTCTAATATAAGTTAGGCATAATTGGTCACAATGAATGTGTGTTAATGAAATGAGACAGGATTTGTCACAATTCACAAGTGGTATTGTAAGTTAGACAAATTTGTCAAATTTTGCACAGAAATTGTTGTAACATAGACACAATTTTTCAAAATATGCACAGGAATTATTGTTAGACAGCATTTGTCAAATTAGGCAAAGGATTTATTGTAGGTTAGACTAAATATGTCAAATTATGGGTAGGAATTCTTGTAGGCTAGACAGAATAAGGTACAAAGCACCTGATAGAAGGCTGCTTAAAATTATACAAAACTACTTATATTTTCCAACTTATTTGGAATAAACTAAAAAAAAAGTTATACTGAAATGATTTTTCAGATACATTATAAATGTACTTGATTTTTACTCTACAAATTGCTAATTTTTACTCTTTTGCTCAATTAAGAAATTGAAAAAAAATTAGAAGCATCTACATCAAACATATAACATTTTACGTTTTCACTTGAAATATGCCATTGTATTTTATGTTATTATATTATTACTTTTTTCTTTTTTAAGGATGATTCAATGAAGATAGCCCTGCAAGGATGTAAAATTTTGTTATATCTAAATGTCTCCCTCACAAACATTACAGATGCTACCTTGAGAAATATTTCAAAGTAAGTTTATACCAGTTATTCATGGCTATCATCTTTTTAGATATTAGTAGAAGCCTTTCACTATTTTTTTCAATTTAGAAATCTGTCACTTCAAAGGGAAAAAATCACAATACATGTATCTTTCCTCTTTTACTTTGATCCTGATCTTCAAGATTGATTGATTTTTGGTATTTAACACCACTTTCAGCACTATTGGCTATATAGTGGCAGTCCATTTTTTTTTTAGGGAGGAAGCCTGTGAGAACAACAACCTTTGGCAGGAAAACTGGAAATCCTAGTAAATTAAGGTTGGAGTCAAACGCACCTGCCACTTGCAGGGTTCGAACTCACAACCTCAGTGTTAATAGGCTAGTGATACAGTAGTTAAACTACTTAAACCATTTGGCCACCAAGGCCCTCTGATCCTCAAGAGACAACTTTCATGTTACTGATGATGTCATTAAAATAGATGAATCTTCCAGTAATATGGGATTGGTAGATGTTCCTTGTATGAATTTATTAAACTTCAAAATCGCAAAAAGTTTTAAAGATATGATCAAATAGATTAATCAGCATAAATGACTTCATTGAACAATTGACTTTTACTGTGACATAATAACATACTGTAAGCCCTGTGATATCAGAAATATATGGGAAAATGCACCAATTTAAAAGTTGTCTTTAAAGAATATTCAAGAATTCATAATAATTGAATCTTTTCTGATTCATTGCCTGTGGGGAAATTTATTTCATAGATTGAAAAGACAATAAATTATTTACAATTTTCAAGATTGTTATTAGATTTATTTTTGACACTCTGATAACTGATTTTTTTTATTGGTTTGTTTAAGGTTTAGCCAGCATTTGCAGTTTTTGAGTTTAGCCTACTGTAAGAACTTTACAGACAGAGGTTTAATGTATTTAGCAAGTGCCAAATGTAGCAAGAAGTTAGAATATTTAGACATATCTGGTTGTCTGCAGGTAAATAATCAAATACAGTAATATAAGTTTACAAGGAAATAATTGAAATATGTAAATTTGTTTATTTTAAACATATTGTATTTGGCAAAAGAAACCAAAATGTTCCAGATGCTAGTACATGCAAAACCCATATTGTAAGGCATCAGGACTTGGGATAAAAAAATGTGAAACAGTGCAAAGGAGAAAACCCAAAGGCCTTTTTAAAGCTTATAACACTATAAGAAAAACAATTACGACAAACAGTAACCAACAACAACCACTGCTGTACAACAGACTCCTGGTTTAGGAAAGGTATATACACAATGTGGCAGGGTAAAATATGTTTATGAGTGCTTATATCTATTAAAAAACACTGTTTAAACAGAGAACAGTTGCAATATTGTAGTAGAAATAAAAGTTTTGGCTTAATTATTGAAAACTTTCATAGTACACAGAGTGTACCCATTAGTCAGAAGATTGTCCTGATTATTATATAAATACCAATTATTTTGATGTTTAACTTTTCATTTTAGATAACCCCTGATGGTTTCAAAGGTCTAGCCAATGGATGCATCAATCTACAGACCCTGATTATAAATGATTTCCCAACTTTGACAGATGAATGTGTTATTGTAAGTCTTATAAGAAATTCAAAATGAAAGTTTCAGTATTTAAACATTAGAAAGATATAATATCAAAGACAGCTTTGAGTTTTTTTTTGCAACTTATATACAAATGTCAGATGATAAAATTTTTGAAACACACACATCTAAAGACAAATCTAAGTGGCAATATTTTGATAAAGATTATAGTTATTGAATACTAATATACCAATACATGTACAACAGACATATACATATTTCAAAAAACAACTTTTTGCATTTAGATTACAAACATACTATAGTGAATAAGTTTTCAGGTGATAAAATTAAACATTTATTATGGTGCTTTTTAATGTAATGTTATTTGTGGAAGCCAATATTTGTGTATAAAAGGCAGATTCTTGAGGTATAATATTGAATTTTGGGTTTTGAAATTTGATATAAGTACAAATGATGTACAATTAATTGGATAATATTTGTATTTATTGGCAGTTAAAAAGCAGAGTGATATATGTAAGCATTATTTTCTATTTTGTTTGTAGGCTCTTGCCAACAAATGTACAAAGATCCACACAGTCTCTGTGTTAGGATCACCACTTCTTACAGATGAATCATTTAAAAAGTTAGCACAGCATAAGAGACTCAAGAAACTTAAAACAGAGGGTATGTAACATTATTTTAACACATTTTAGTATAATTAGTACAATAATATTAGTCACCAAGAACATTGTTGCTTTTTTGCGAATTGTGAAATTTTTTTACCCCCTGTTCAATGTCTTTGAAGTTGATTGCTTCATGAATTTAGAATAATATTTTAGAAATGAAATCTTTTAGTACATCTGTACAATACATCAAAAGTGTGAAAAGTTTAAAAGGTCTTTAAGATACAAGTGATTGAAAACTAGAATTTTTTTGTTGGAAAATGATGTCTCTAGATTGTTCATTGGAAATAAATGAATGTTAAATGTTTATGAAAAATTTAGGAATAACAGAATTTTGAAAATATTCTATCAGATGTGTATTCATTTTTTGTAGGTAACCAGAGAATATCTGATGTAGCAATGAAGTCCATTGGTCAGTGTCAAGGTCTTACCCATTTGTATATAACAGACTGCCAACGACTGACTGATGCTTCATTAAAACAGCTGACATCATGTAAAGAATTGAGAGTAGCTAACTTTGCAGATTGTGTTAGGTAGGAAACTCAATCCTGGAAAACTTCTAAATTTTAGGTGGGAGTTGGTTTTGCTGAAAACTGTTAACATCGTGCAAATATTTTAGGATTCATGAAAAGAATTTATGGTGAATGTGTTATGTAGGAACTTCATGGAAATATGTGATTCAAATGGTTAGGGTGTCACTTAAACCATGTAAAGAATTGAGGATAACTAACTTTGATTTGAAGTGTGTTGACATAAAACAATGATAAACCTCTGCTTTGTAGTGAAATTTGCCTGTACAAAATCATGAAGAAGACAGTCATTTCTGTGTGTTCTATCAGTTCATACTTTGAGTGTATTTTTGGGTTGTGTGGGGTCAGTTTTCAGTTTTTAAAAGCATGAATTAGTTTAGTATATTTGTTATTTTCTATTATTTCATGAAATTGTGTGTTTTATTGAAAACTAAATAAGGAGGAGCATGAGGTGTAAGCCAGCTAAGAATAAGAGAAATAAAAATTACATTGATGTTTTTGATGGAAATAGATCATGCTTATACTAAATACTGAAGATAGATAGAATTATGTATTGTAATCAAAATTTAAAATGTTTAATGAATATTTCAGAATAAGTGATGGAGGTGTTCGACCGTTGACAGATGGAGATTCAGCTGATAAGATACGAGAATTAAACCTGACCAACTGTATAAGAGTTAGTGAACTCTCAGTCATTAATATGCTTAAAAAGTAAGTACGAATAATATGATCTGATCTATTCCATACACTAAAATATAGTTAATGCACTTGCATTGTAATAAAACAAAACATGGCTTATATTTTGCAAGTCCATTTGCATATCTCAATTTTTGTTTTTACTGACAACTAATAACTAATTATCTATTTTATTATTGTGTCACATATTGATTGACATACATATTATACAATAACATTAAAACATACATAGAACAATCAATACCCAGCCATATCAATTTGGCTTATGAGACACATTGCACAAAATATATACAAATATAAAAATCCAACAATACTTTGAAATACTATAAATATTTAAAACTAATAACTATGATTTAAGAGTATTTTCAACATGATGAATAAAACGAAAGAAAAATATATAAAAAAAATTCGTAAAAAATATTTACTTTACATTTATCTAAAACTTCATACATATGTGAAAATATTTACGTAAAGATATCTAGAAAAAAAACTAATATGCATAATGTAAATAAACAGAATAAATTAAAATGATTATTCACGGTTAAATATTTAAGTAAACAATATTAACGTCGCATAAAAACGGATAAAAATTTATGTAAACAATTTACGTCGCATAAAAAACTTATAAATACTTTTACATAAAAATGGCTGAATCTCGGAGCAATTCATGATTTGTATAAATTTTAAATCATCATTCAAATTTTCGAAACTATTAATATTTTGTGAACATTCTGAGTAAAGGTCAAATCTTAAATCATTATATAGACAACAGTTCAATAAAAAATGTTTCTCAGTTTCAACACTATTGTCAGAACAATAAATACATAAACGATCTTCAACAGGTATTGGCGGCTTGGTGTATCTTCCAGTCTCGATGGCTAACGGGAGTGAGCCTGCACAAAACAGGGCCATTACACGTCGGTACGACCGTGGAATAATTTTTGAAACATACGGTTCCACGGAACAGTTACTTTTGTATTGCCTGTATGTTCTAAGTTTATTTCCATTATCTTTTCCGCGATCGTTAAAGAGTTCTCTTTGCCATTCTGTATTATTTATGGTGTAAACTTGTTCAATGATTTTTTTTTTCATGGCTACTTTTGTCACATCACTAACAATGTTCCTAATTTGCAATAAGTTGACCGTCTTCTTCACCTCCGTATTCCAGCCTTTCCGTCGACGTGATATCCAACTCCAAATATTGTATACAGTTCTACTCTGATCCATTCGTGTTGGTTTACACAGAAGCCGTACGCAAGAAACACGTTGTTTATTCAAACAGGATGTCCATCCTAGGTCGCCCATTGTAGAAATATTAGACGTATTTCTACCCACAGATAAAAAGTACTTACAAGCTTTGTTTTGAACAGAATTTATTACGCTAAACGATTTGGTTCCCCAAATTCCACTTCCGTACATTAAAATAGGCTCCACCATTGAGTTGTACAATTTTGTATAAACTTTATATGACATACCACCGGATGAAATAAAACGTCCAAAAACAGCCCCCAAAGCTCGGCTTGCTGATTTTGCTAGCTCCTTGGTATTTTTTGTAAATGTAAGATGTTCGTCAAGCCAAATCCCAAGGTATTTGTAAGAATCCGTTATGGTTAAATCATAATTACTACATGTAAAACTAAAGTCCAAAATATCAAACGATTGCGGTCTAAAGTGAACAACTTTGGTCTTTTCTTGGTTTATGGACAACTTCCAAGATGAACACCAGTCTGTAAGGACATTAAGCATACGCTGTAAACTCTGTTCGTCCGGCGCGATTAATGCAATGTCATCAGCATAAAGCAAAATGCTTAATGTTCTTTCACTTAAAGACACTCCACAGTCAAGGCTGTTAATACGGTCGGCTAAGTCATTTATATATACAGAGAATAACGTAGGCGAGAGAATACATCCCTGTTTAACTCCAGATGACACATCAAACCACGGTGTTAACATATTATTCACTCGAACCGTGCACTGAACATCTTCATATAATGATTTGATTGCATTTAAAAATTGACCACGAATTCCCATAACTTGAAGCTTGTACCATAGTAAATCTCGCCTTACAGTATCGAACGCTTTTTTTATATCCACGAAACATACGTATGTTGATTTCCGGCTGATTTTTCTATCATTTAAAACTGAATACAATGCGAAAATGTGTTCTTCACAGCTGCGGCCATGCCGAAATCCGTTTTGCTCATCGCAGAGAGAGTCATTTTCTTCAAGCCATTTGCTAAGACGATTATTTAGTACCGAACAGTATATTTTACACGGTACGGATATTAAAGTTATGCCACGATAATTCAGGGGACATCTGTCGTCGCTTGCTCCAGGTTTTAAAATTGGATTTATAATCCCAGTTGTCCACTCATTTGGTACCTGGCCGAGTTCAAAACACCCCTGGATAATTTTGTACAGCAATTCAATAGCGGCATCGCTCTTTAAAACTTCGGCTGGTATATTATCAATCCCCACAGCTTTCCTGTTTTTCGCATGCGCAACGGCTAGGAAAACCTCTTCTCGTGTAATTACCTCATTTAACTTTGTAACATCTAAATGGGAATCAAAAGTTTCATTTGCTCGTTCGTTGTCTGTAGATTCACTTGTAAATAATGTCTGAAAATCGTTTTTCCACTTGTTCAGAACGCCTTCCTTGTCCGTTTTCACGTTTCCATTTTCATCAACGACTGCCCATGGCACGCATGTTTTCCGTTCATTTACTATTCCGGTTTTGCCGATGGACCTCCAAAATTCATCTTTATTAAACGAGTCTAGTTTCTGTTCAAGTTTGTATTGTTCATCTTTCACATATTTCCGTTTATATTTTCGATTTATTCTATCAAAATGTTTTCGAGCATCACAAAATTCTGTTTTGTACTTCTTTTTAACACTATTTGATCCTTGCCATTTTAACCATCTTTTTTCAGCTTCACAAACCTTGTTCCAATGATTCGTTAAGTCAGCATTCCAATATGGTTTATATAATGTCTTTTTACGTTTACTTATTCCGTTATTGAAAATTTTTTTTTTTTAATTTGTTTTCCATTTCCCCGTGTATCAACATTTGAAATTCATCATACGCAGTTTGAACATTTTCAGTAATTCGAATTGAATTTTCAATATTCATGATTATTTCATTGACTTTTGTAACTATTTCATCTCTATTCATAAAATTGTTTGGTAGATTTGTCACTTTAAATTTCTTGTTTTGAGCATTAGAGTTAATATCATCATTTGTCGTGTTAGAGTTATATTTACATCCGATAATTAGATCACAAAGTAACAGTGAATGATCTGGGATTTTTTCAGGCATGTAATTGATTTCATTTGTACTATTGGACATCGTTAAAACACTAAAATTATGTACAAATTCTATATCCTCGTATGGTACACACATATAATCCACGACAGAACGACCCGCGGGAGCAATATATGTGAAATCGTGGTCGTTGAAGCGGCCATTCAACATTGCAAAATTAATATCACACAGAAAATTGATAAATTTATCACCCTGTTGGTGTTCACAAAAATCTACTACATTTCGTGGTCGTTTTATATCGACGCCTTCAACATAATCACTGTTTTTACCAACTCGTGAATTCAAATCTCCACAGATTATTATTCGGCCTAAATTTTGATATTCGTGAACTTGTTGTAACAGATTTTGAAAATACATTTCCGAATCTAGCGCTCTATTTGATTCTGCTGGCGGCAAATAACATACAACCACAATAATCGATAAATCACAGAATTTTGATTGAAATTTTATCCACATAATTCCCTCTATTTCCGTATCTAAAAGTAGTACATTAAATGAATATAAAACATCTTTTTTCACAAGAACTCCAATTCCCGCAGATCCCCGGGTAGCATTTCTATGTAATTTCTTTCTATTTTGACCAAAGAAGGTATAGCCAGGAATATTCAATCTTTCATCAGCACGTAAAAACGTTTCAGTTAATGCCAAAACATCACACTCAGAATATTCAAGCACACACTTTCTAAATTTTGCATTGTCATTGTCCTTGAGAGACCACCCCCTACAATTCCAAACACCAAGCCGCAAAATGTCCTATTGTTTTTTCACCAGGCGAATACCGGCAAACATATAATTATTTTGACTTCCGATTTCTTTAAGAACAGTTCTAACTGTGGCTTGGAAATTACGTGTTTCCATTGGTAGATCATGTTCTATATACACCTTCTTATATTGTGCACTGTTTTTTTTGTTTTTCTTATGTTTCATAATTTGTTGTTTGTGTTCAAAGTTTTCAACCTCCACTATGACCAGTCCTGTCGATTTACCATAAGTTTCTTTTCTTTCTACAGATTTAAGAGTGATATTTGATAGGGCGAGACCATCTTTCAAAAGGGCTTGGACTTTGTTTGTGGTCACTTCTTTGTTTTCATTTTCTTCAGATTGTAAGTTTTTTATAACAAATCTATTCTTACGGTTTATATCTGACTTTTCACCTTTTGAGCTGTTTGCCTCTGCCAATGACTTCTCTAAATCCCCGATTCTAGCTTGCATTATTTCAATATCTGATTTTACCTCTAACTTCACCTCATCTATCTTGTCTTTTAGTTTATTATCAATGATTACAGATATTTTTTCTGATAACTGTTTAGAAACCCTTTCCTCAAAATTCGTCTCAAGTTCATCAATTCTTCTTTCAAGTTTTTGACTAACATTATTTAAATTCGATGATAATTGAAGTAACAGTGTTTCTATTCTGTTTGAATGGGTGTTATCATAAGGTGCACTCGACATGTTGTTACTATCGCATTGTTTTGATTTCTTATGTTCATTGTTTTGTGATTGTGTTCCCCTTGAACTGTGATTGTTTTCATCAGATAATTGTCTCTTTCTTACTGATTGAGGTCTCAAATGTTCATTACTTACATTATGTTCATACAACAGCTGATCATTAGTGTGTCCTACATATTGACGTCCGCCATTTACATCACACATTGAATAGTGAACATATTGTGCCATATTATCCTGCATTTTATAATTTTGTCCACACTGATATCTGTATATATCTAACCGATACTTTTAAAGTTCTAGTTCACACAAATTTAGTTTACCTTGCTCTGATTTTCAATATAAACAAACTTATTTTCTATGAGCTGAAATTAAGGCGACCATATACAATGTCACGTGTCACGTTAGTTTAATCATCAAGCATACAGCTATCACTATTGACATGTAGGGATCTCTTTTGTTGTCTTGTGTCATCTGTACCGTTGTCATCGTCACACTTTATGATTGGATCGTTATAGAAGTGTGATGATAATGACAAATTTACTATTTTGATAAAGAATATGTTGGTAATCTTTTGTGCCCCTTTGCTGAAAACATTATTTATTTATACCATTCTATATTTATTTGCATGCTCATGTTACAGTTTTTCTAAAAAAAGATTCCCATTAAAGAAGGATATAGAAAAAATTTCTATTTTTTATTACAGACTAAAACATTTGACTTATGTCAGTTTATGCTTTTGTGATCATATAAGTGAGAATGGTATAGAAATTCTTGGACAACTGCACAGTTTGACTTCTCTAGATATATCTGGATGTAAAGTAACGGACAAAGTAAGTATTTTGAAGTTTCTTAAAATTAAACATACTAATCATATAGTGCTGTGTTTTGCATGCATTTTGTAGATATACCTCATTTAATGTTCAGATTTGAAGGTCTGGAAAGCCTAATTTGTATAAATACCCCAGGAGCTACAAAACTAAATGGCGTTATGGAGTTTGATAAGTTGAATTTATGTTGTTAATTGTAGATCATATAGATAAGAAATTTTATAATTCAAAATAATTCTGACAGAATGTTGCATCTTTATTCAATAACAACTTTAAATATTATTTATTGTCTTGTTATCACTCTTTGAAATTCTGTGATTCAATGATAAAGATGTCTTTTGATATTTTTTTTTTCAACTTTTTCAGTCTCTGTCATTGCTTGGAAACAATTACAGACTAAGGGATGTAACTCTGTCTGAATGTATTGACATCACAGATTTAGGGTTGGAGAAATTTACACAGCAATGTAAAGAAATTGAAAGATTAGATCTGTCTCACTGTTGGGTAAGTTTTAAATGAACATAATTCTGTCGCAGACCTCACATTTATTTGTAGTCACAAATATCAGTTAAATATTGAATTAAAATGTGTCTGCTTTATTCAGTTTTTTTCAATTAAACATGATATGATAATTTAAGAATAATCTTAATATGACATAAATAACATAAAACAGAACTCAAAATTCTGTATAAAATATACACATAACAGAATGAATTTTAATTTTAACACTACTGACTCAATAGGGTACTAAATGTGTGTAATTACAGGCTAATTATGCTTACTGTTTTAGTTCTATTTTGTGTATTATATAATATTTATGATGATCAAAGATTTAATTGGGAATGCAGTAAACTGAACCAACAATCAAAACTTTCTAGAAATAAAACAAATAGATAGGTGGATAGCCTAATTTGATACAAGCACAGAATGTGGCAGTGTTTTGCAGGAACCAAAACCTTCAGTTACCTTTCTATACCATGAATCATTTATAAATAGAATAAGTATGTAATTAATTTAATACGATATATCTAACAGAATTCTCATTTCACAATACCATAGTTGTTAAATTAATGCTGAAACAATTTTTCTATCCAAAAATGGTGAGACCGGGGATTGAAAACTGTGATTCTTAGGGACATCACATACACTTTTCTGTGTTAAAGATTTTATTGAGTCATTCATGAAAATTGTTTGTATTCTGAAATAGTTGATAGCTAAAAATCAATATATAATGTATTTATTTTATTTCAGCAAATTACAGATGGTGCCATAAAGAATTTAGCTTTCTGTTGTCAGAATCTGAATGCTTTAAATTTATGTGGATGCAAAAATGTAAGTTCACTCGAAAGAAGGTTGTGATGACATCCTTGGCCTTGGGGACATTAGTGGAAAAAATTTAGGGAAGAAAATTAAAAAGTTTTAAAGTAAAAAAAAGCATTTATTAAGATTCATTAATCAGAGACCAGTAGCTTCTAGAAATTCCTGTGAATTTTGTGGATGAGTCCATTATTAATCTTTGATGAGTTTTTATTGACTCAAATTTTCCACTGGCAAGTTAGAAAGCCTCAGACCAGATGGGTCAAATTAATCTTGAAGTGATTTCAATTGATTTTTATGTATTGGGAAAGCAGATGTTTTGTGTTTTATTTCTTAGTTACTGTAAGTAATTGAAATGGTTAATTTGTCATGATTAATAGCATATAAGATTTGTACAAAATAGCTACTAAGGTCTTAAATTTACTATAAGGTTTTTACAGTAATAATTATTCTTTATTTGTAGATAACCAACATGAGTATACAGTATTTATCAGGAGTTTGTAAATACCTAAACACATTAGATATTAGTGGTTGTCTTCATATCACGTAAGTGTTTATCAGGAGTTTGTAAATACCTAAAAACATTAGATATTAGTGGTTGTCTTCATATCATGTAAGTATTTATCGGGGATGTGTAAAACAACCAAAAGCAATTTTGAAAAATCTGGTCGCTAATGCTCCAAAGCTTGGTACAAGACTTAAATTTACTCCTTGTTGTGTAATGGGATATCAGTCTGTACTTGAACTGTCAATCCTGACAACTTTGTCACCAACATGGAAGTTGGCTGTAAAAATGATGTCAAGATGGATTTATATATACCAATACTTTCCTATTCTTGTCTATAATATCTGAAAATTTTAATAATTAGAACATTTAACTGCAAAAAGTGATCAACAAGACAAGATCTACAAAGAAGTGGTCAAGTGACTCCTTTTAGGGAATTTTTGCCCTTAGTTGATGATTTTTTATTACCAATTTTGAAAATTTGAATAACAATGAAAATTAGCAACACAGCTAGAATCTACATAAAAAGTCAATATGATTAAAATTATCAATCAACTCTTTACCTGCATTACAGTGCTTGTTGCCCCTAAATCACAATTTTCTACTATTTTTTATGTTTTTTAGTAACCTTCTGGTACTTTTCTAAACTATAAAGAAAAAAAAAACTCTGTTCATCAAATTCTATCAGCAAGACAAACAGTTAAAATTGTATCAATTATATGCCAAAAGTCCCAGGAAAGCTTTACAGATTAATGTACTCTGGGTTAACTTTATTTGTTAATTCCTATTCTTATCAGACTCATTTGTTCTTCATACTGATCAGTTATGACCACTTTATTTTTCAGAGATAAATCTTTGAAGTATCTACGCAAGGGTTGTAAAAAACTTAAATCACTTACAATGCTGTACTGCAAAGAAATTTCCAAGTAAGTAAATTCTAAATCTTCAGTAAACTATTTGCCAATCAGAATCTAAAGGATTATGGGTAATTTCATTGTCAGGACACCAAATTCAAAATAATGATACACAATTTATCAGATATTCATTATTTATGACCCTGTTAAGCAATCATAACAATTTGGTGTACACTTTTAAAATTTTTACCCAGAATGCACTACATTCTGAAACCTTGACTTTAACAATATTTAGATGTAAGAATTGGCATTTGTATGAAATAGATTTAGATTTTTGATTACTGCAAATTACTGCAATTAATTGTAAGACTGCATGAAAATCTGAGGAAACCTTGTTAGGGGTCATGTAGGGATGACCTTACATGTAATTTATTATTGCTAAACCGTTCTTGAAGTTGACAGTTCTTCATATTTAATTGATTTTTTTAGAATTATTAATGTAAGTTATAAGGTTATGTCATTACAAATATGAAGTTATTGCATGAACCTAGATTTGACCCTTAAGTGTGTACTAAACAGACATTATATAAGGGTATTCAGGATTTAGAATTACTTCAGAACCATTCTTTCAAAAATGTAAGAAACCAAAATAAAAGGGAGGGTTGTCATATAAAGTTATATAATTAATAATATATAGAGGGTAATGGGGGTATTAACAATAGGCAAATTTACAATGCAAGAAAATGTGCTTTGCAACCAAACCATGCATTTTGTTATTGTGATAACCCTAAGCAAAATGCCACCACTTTAAACTCCTGACAACTTTATATCAATTAAATAAATTGAATTTTTTATGCAAATTCTCATTTGCCTTTTTTTCAGATCAAAAGTACAGAAAAGACTAGCATACATCCAGACAGTTGTTTACAGTGATGAACCAGTACCTAACTGGTTTAGAAACCATGCATTGAAGGACTGAACTATTTAATGATTTAACTGGTTTCTAATTAAAATTCATAGGCCCATCACTTACTGGTGTTATTGAGAGTAACCACCATGTCTTAACTGGTTCTGATATCCTTCAAACCAATAGCCTACTGTAAACTGGTAAATAGAGGGAACTCAGTGTATAAACCAGCTGAATATCAATGTTACAATCCTATGACCTGACCTGGTGGTTTGTTTCTCAATCATGAATTTAAGAAATTTCTTGATTAATAACTTTTGAAACATTGAAAATCAGGGAAATGTATGTTCTCTACATGATTACAGTTTGATTTAATCAAAAGAAACATGTTTTGGGTTATAGTAACAATCAGCTCTACAGAAATTATTACACTTAACATTTTTAAATTTAACAAAGTTGGTGTTTTTTAATTTTTAATAGATAAATACTGTCTTACTTAATAATCTACAAGCAAATTATCACATGCATGTTGTTTCCAGATGTATGCTTCTTTAAAATATGAAAACACCTGAAGTTCGTTCATTAAAATATTTATGTACTATGAATTATATGGCATGAAATAAGTATTTATTATACCACATTATCATGATTATCATGTAAACTGAATAATTTATCTAGTAACGTAAAAGTATTAAAATGTTGGATGCAATGGAACAAAACATTTTTATGCTAATAATTAGCTTTTTCAATTACATCATAATATTGTTTTCCTTTTAATGGCATGCAAGTATAAGGAATTGAGTATAATTTGGAGCAAATTATGTTGTGGTCCAAATGTATCATTAAAACCTAATTAGAAAATTCTGCATGTAATTTCACATTTGTCCATTGTTATTTTTACAATGCAATATGTTTGAAGTATCAAAACATTAATAGTCTCAAGATAAAGGAGTAGGTCCGGTAAGGGCCGATTTTGGCCTCAAAATTCAAGTTCATCTGATGAAAGATTTTGGACAATTTTTAAACACTTAAGTGTCTACTTCAGTCGATTCAATCAGTTTATGTGAAAGATTTGAACTGATTTAGTCATTAAAGACGCTCAAATTCAAGCTTAAATATGAAAAATCTATAAAATATGCCATAATATGTCACTTTTCAGATGGTTTTTGTCAAAAATGAAAGTGGCCGCATCCGTGTTCATTCTCAACCTTTATATATTTTATGTAGTATCATCAAATACAACTTACATTTAAATATTAAGAATGAACACAAATGCGGCCACTTCCATTTCAGGCGGAAACCGTCTAAAAATTAACCAAAATGCAAAAATTTCGAAGATTTCAGTAATTTAGCATGACTTAATGATGCTAGTACCCGATACATGTGCATTGTATTGTCAAAAAAAGCCCATATTTATGTAACAGAATTATTCTCCTTTCCAATAAATAGCTAAAAATTTACATTTTAACAATTTGGTAAAACTGCTATATTTTGGGGCCAAAAAGGGGTCTTACTGGTCCTACTCCTTTGCAAAGTTTTTTAAATTAAAATTTCTGTCTTATATTTAATTAATTAATTAATTAATTAATTAGATATGATAACCTGAATAATTTTTTAACTCATAAATTTGATTTTGGTTATCATTCTGCAGATTATCACACAACATAAGATTGTTATTAATCAAGAACAGTAAATTTATAGTTTGACTGAATGATATAAAACTCGGGGGCCTCGGTGGCCGAGTGGTCTAAGTAGTTACTACTGTAATCACTAGCCAGTCAACACTGAGGTTGTGAGTTCGAACCCCGCTCGTGCAGGTGCACTTTACTCCAATCTTAATTGACTAGGATTGTCAGTTTTCCTATCGAAGGTCGGTGGTTTTCTCCAGGCTCTCCGGGCACTCCGGCTTCCTCCACCAATAAAAACTGGCCGTCACAAAATAGCCCAAAAGCGGTGCTTAAAAGAGGCGTTAAAACACCAAAAAACAAAATCAAATGATATACAACTCTGTTTATTAAGAAAAATGCAACAAAAAATCAACCAAAGTTACTCATTTTCATGTTTTCTCATAAACATTTAGAAACGATCAACCAATGCTCATATAATATCTTTTAAAAAGATGGTAAAGTAAAATAATCCTGAATTTTGATATGATAAAGATACTGACGTGACATTATATTTGACATTTTCCTGAAAAAAAGGCCAGATTGTATACATAACCATAATCATTTTGCAATAGGATAAACATGATACTGAAAAGATGAAGAATATTTGAACTTTAGCTCCATTATAAATAATCTCATTTCTCCTACTTTGCCATTGAATTTAATAATTCAATTTTAGTGGTTTATTACCTATATTAAAATGTTTTATAAAAGTATTAATTGATTTATCGAAATGTATCTTCATTAGATCAGAAAGGAAAAAATCTGCCAAACTAGGAAATATTAGTTCCACTGTAATAACACTATACAACCTGAACAAAGTAATGATTTAGACAATACATTATCGTATTGTGACATTAGCAAACATTGTTAAATATTTTATTTTGTAATAAGTCTGTGATATATTGTTTTATTTATTTATTACAAAAGCAGAAATAATAAAATTGTGAAAAATGTTTTAAAATGTGTTAATAAAACCATTAATATACAAACAAGCAAAAGCTAATGAAGACAAATAAGATTCATAATATAAAAAGAGGATGTTGTATGATTGCTAATGAGACAACTCTCCACAAGAGACCAAATGATACAGAAATTAACATCTATAGGTCACCGTATAGCCTTCAACAATGAGCAAAGCCCATACCATATAGTCAACTCTCTTTCAAGTATTTTTCAAGTATAACACTCTTTCAAGTATTTTTTTTTTACATCAAAACAGTTTTCAGAAGATATTTGTTTTCAGTTGTGTGTGGCGGTTAATTGTGTATTGCATTTGAAGGAGTATATGGACTACCATCTTTCACAAAAGTCTGGTCAAATTACCCAAATATAATTGTTTTTTAATGTTTCATAGTTTTACATGTTGGGTTTATTTTTATTTTGAATGGGGTCATAGTCTGGTATGTCAGTATCTGACAAAAGTTGGTCACTCTGTCCCACTGTTTTCGCTAATATTTCACTCAATCAGCATGTTTTAAATCTACTGTCATGTAATTTAATTTGGAAATTAACTTGTAAAATTGAGAATGGAAATGGGGAATGTGTCCAAGATTCAACAACCCGACCATAGAACAGACAACAGCAGAAGGTCACCAACAGGTCTTCAATGCAGCGAGAAATTCCCGCACCCGGAGGCGTCCTTCAGCTGGCCCCTAAACAAATATATATACTAGTTCAGTGATAATGAACGCCATACTAAACTCCAAATTGTACACAAGAAACTAAAATTAAAAATAATACAAGACTAACAAAGGCTAGAGGCTCCTGACTTGGGACAGGCGCAAAAATGCGGCGGGGTTAAACATGTTTATGAGATCTTGGTTTGTATAAAACAGTCAACTTTGATAATACCTTTTAATGCATTGCTGAATTGATTCCTGGATATTACATGTAGAATTATTTACATCCTTCAAGGCAGAGATACATATGGGTATTGTTTTTGTCTTGCCTTGAATAAATAACGTTAAATGCAAGACAGAGTTGTGCTGATATTGTGACAAAAGCTGAATTATTTGTATAATAGAAATGAGTAATACGACATCCACATTAGGTATATAGAATTAAATAGGGTTCACATGACATCAGTTATAAACGTTTAGTTTTGGTGATTAGGTGCGTTTCTAAGATACTATAAGTAATGGGTCAACTATATTTGGTGTACGGAATTAGTGTAAGGTGTACATGTCCGTCTGTCATGGTTATCTGACGTTGGCCAGATTTTCATGGAACGAAACATTGGTCAAAGTAAGTTTTGATGATTAGTTCTGTTTCTCAGATACAATCAACTATATCTGATGTTTGCATTGTACAATCAGCTACAAATAAATTGAACTTTAATGACTGCACAAGACTCATTTCTATATGTAAAACCGAAAACTGCACAATTTGTAAAAATTTGACAACAGATGCTAAATTTTCTAGTAATTTAACTAAAATATCTTACTTCTAACTATATTTGGTATGTGCGTACCTTGCAAGGTCCTCGTGTCTGTCAAACAGTCTTCTCTTGACCGCAACCTCATTTCATGGATCAGTGAACAAGGTTAGTTTTCGTGGTCAACCCCATATCTCAGATACTATAAGAAATAGGTCAACTATATTTGGTGTATGGAATGATTGTAAGGTGTACATGTCTAACTGGCAGGTGTCAGATGCACCAGTCATTGTTCATTTGACCTTGACACCATTATTATGGTTCATTTATCAACGATAAGTTTTTGTGATATATCATTACCAATTGCCCAACCATATTTGGTGTGCGGAACGATTGTTTGGATCACATTTGGGTCTGTCAGAGTTCATCTGAATTTTTATGGTTCATCGATTGATATCTATTTTATGTGGTACCTGTTGTAAAACCTTGATCTTAAAAACTGTCCACATAAAATTCAATTATAATCAGTAAAGCAGGCGTGACATTTCTGCTTGTGCATTTTCGTTTTATATTTTCAGTTACCAGTGGTATGGTTACGTATTTCAACTATATTTCATCTGTGGAACACTGAAAGGACAAGAGGCAAATCGTTTAACCCTGAATATGTTTTCTTATTTTCATACAGACACATCTTCATAATTTCAAGATAAAAGACAAATGACTTTTGCATGTCGGTGTTTAATAAGTTGATGTGTTGAATACCACCAATACCAATATCTAGACATAGACCGTTGACCTCAATGTCAAATTCTTTTTTGTTTTCCATACAGACCTTTTCATGACCTATGACTTTCAGGTTAAATTATATATCTTTGACTTGTAAGCTTGTATAGGAACAATGTTTTATCTTTAAAACAAGAGGTCCCCAGAAGCCTGAATCATTCACCTGGCAAATATGTGCAACATTAAGGGATGACTTCAAGTTTACCGTTTGAACCCTTAATTCAATATCTTTCTTGTAAGCAGCAACACACTGTCAAGGAAATCATGATAGGAAACACAAGCCGCGGGATGTCATATCGATTGGGAATATGTACTCCATACTAGTATATAGGCGTTGCTTTTATGATGCTACACAGAAATGAAAAGTTTGCAATGGGAAAATGTATATCATCGCATTTGTTGTAAAGTCCAGTTCTAAAGTAACCTTCATTGTTACTCTAAATGTACAGAGTAATAATATGAAGTAAACACAACTTTTCGAAATTTTCTGTTTTAAATTTTTTCAACCATTTTCATTTGGTCTTCCATCTGTCTGAAAGTATACAAAACGCAGGTCTGGCACACATAATTATAAGCCTGAGATCTTTAATGAGTTTTTACAACCGCTGAGCTGATGCCACTGATGATGGAATACATTTTCCCAAGGGTATCACCATCCCAGTATTTATCACCATTTTGTTGATATGTATTTTTTCTGTAAAATACTGTTTATAAGATGTCAAATTGTCCGAAACACTAAGGGTTTTATATGTAACACATCAAACATTCCAAATTTTCAAGGACTTGACTACTGACTTTATTTATCCTCTTGAATGAAATTTATTCATCTAAATTCTCATAGAATAAGCGAACAGATGCCTAATACTAAATTGAATTTTCAAACAGAAAACACTTCTTATTTTCTTAGTAATGTTTCATAGACTATTGTCTTTGCTCCTTTTTCCTTTGATAATGGTTTTGTCTTTTAAAACAGCTAACATAACTCAAAAGCAGTTTCTGCCTCCGAAGTAGAAGTAGCCTGATCAGTCGTAGTTTGTGCTCTTGTTGTTGTTTGTTCTGCAGTTGTTGAAAGGGCTTTAGAAGTGATTATTTCAGATTAGTTTTGCCTATTTTACAACGATCAATTTGCTTTTATGATAACGTCAGCACCATTGGTTATATAATTCAATTAAATGGCGTAAATTTTTAACACACTACACAAACACAAAGTGTGGTCACATTTGGCATATCGACGACGACAAAATTTAATCATATAGGTTTTGTTCAAATGAGGTAAAACCTTAATGAACAAATAAAATAATTACAATGTAAAATTTTATTTTAAATATGAAACGCACATATTTCTATTTACATATTCAAGGTAATTAATCAATACTGTGGACATCAAATACTATGATTACAAATTAATACAAACACTGGATGTAAATTATAAAAAGCTAATGTCCATAAAACTATACATCAAAAGGACAAAACAAGCTTAACTTGAAATACAAAATCTATTTACTATTCAACAGTACTCACTTAATCTAATACTTTCATGACCAATTGTCAGTTTTATGTATTTGTATCATTTTCAGTCATTTTGCAAAGAAACCCATTTCGTTTTAATACAATTTTAAAATACACAATAAAATTATCCACAAGAAGCATAACACACATTTATATGAATACGAACGAATAAGTGAACAAGATCAGGAACATTTATCCATATGACACCATGACATTAAAACACAATTGCCCCTACTATCTTTAGCGGGGTATCACATGGAGCCGTCTTGAAATAACTTTACAGTTTTTTATTTGTACTCATTTAAATATACTTTTCTGTTTTAAATACATAAACAGTTAGCCCAATTTTCAGTGTATTATTTAATAATAATATGCAAATTTTTCGAGATAAATAAGTTTGCAATATTTAACATTTTTTCAAGGTTATAAATTCTAAAACAATTAACATAATGCCATGCAAGTTAAAATTGTACGATCATTTATTCTTTTCTGTTGGCTTCACTTAGGATGCAATAGTGCAAACGACATTTAAATATATATGAAAAGTTTCTGTCACACATCAGTTCTTTGTATTCTTAGTACAGCATGAATGGATTCTGGAGACGACATCATTCCTATGAATTTTAAACAGAAATTAGCTAATTATCATAACTAAATGTGATTTTATCATTACCCTTTCATTATAATAAGGCATTGACAGAACAATTTGGAGGAACACTAGCTTGAAACTCCCAACACTAGATGAAGACTTAAACTATGGCGCAAAATCGTTATAATTTTACAAATTTAATAAACAAAACAAACTGCTAGGCATCAGTTAATTTCTAGAATACTACTTACTACATATCTTGTCCATATATCGTTGACTTAACTAGAATTAACAACGTAATACCATTCTAAATCTTACATAGACAGAAATAACATGTCTTCATCACAAAATAAAAATGAAACAGACAAAACTCACACATCAACACGATTAAACAACGAAAGTTTTTGCTTCAGCATCATCCACACATTAACATCACCTCTAAATGTCTTTTCTTGTTAATTGCCATTCACGCATATCCCAAATAAAATCACATAACTTTCAGAAATTTCTCTGGCATATAGAAATCAAACAGAATTTTGAAAAAGAAACATTTTTTGCTATTATGATAGCGCAATGTTCCCCAGCTGATTGAAATGAAAGAGTCTTTATTATAAAACATACCGCATAGTAACTTTAGAAGATTTGCATGGTGTTGAGGAATGGTGTAATGATAACAATATGTTCATCAATAAAAATGAAACAAAATATATGATTATTGGAACAAAGCAAAAAGTAATGCCACTAACAGTGAGAGTTGTTTAACTATTAACAATCAAGTGATACAATCTTTCACATGCGAAAGTCTCTTAGGCATTAAAATTGACCCTTCCCTCACATGGACAAACCAAATTGATATGATCTGCTCAAAAATTTTCATCTAGGCTTTATCTACTATTAAAGATTAAGAAATTTCTAAATCTAGACTGCAGAAAATTATTCTATAATGGTTATATCTTACCACTAATTGATTATTGTTGTATAGTGTGGAGTAGTTGTAGCAGTGAGTGTTTAAATATGATATTAAAATTACAAAAGAGAGCTGCTAGAATAATACTAGAAACAGACCCTTTCGCTCCTTCGAGCCCTTATTCAAACACTTAAACTGGATGACAGTTGAACAGAGAATAAAATATCACAAGTTTGTGATGACATTTGAGTGCATCAAAAATGATGCCCCATCATATCTTACTAGCAAGTTTCATTATGTTTCAGACAGAAATCCATGACCCTTGAGAAATGCTGTTCAAGGAAATCTCATACTCCCTAAACCAAAAATAGAATTGTTCAAGAAATCTTTTATGTATTCTGGACCATTCTTGTGGAATAATTTGCCAATACCGTTAAGAAATATTACAAATGTTAATTCTTTCAAATACAAAATAACAGATCATTTATTGAAATCAACCTGTTGAAAAAAATATATTGAATACTGATTATGTCATGATATTTATTTTTTCATAACATATTATCAAGTTGTATTGAACATTATCATCATACTTGACTTTTATACTTATGTATGCCATGCATATGTTTGCATTTTGTTTATGCTTTTCTATGATGAGGGCCTCAGGGAAGATTAGTTATATAGCTAACTGTGTAACCCTCTTAAAATAAAGTATTGTTGTTGTTGTTGTTAACTCTATTCATGTCAGTATGCACTCTGAGATTTCTTAAAAAGTTCCATGAAGCCTAATATCTAACACCATTGCTGCCATATATGACCAAAAGATTTATCATGCATCAACAAGTGACGAGTTACCCCTTGTTGACTTATTTTTAAATCTTGTATTGCTGATTACTTTTGCTACCAAAGTTTCCCCCTTTCTATTACAGTTTTCAAGAAAAATACAAAAAGGAAAGAAAACATATTAAGAATAGTCAGTTGAGGGCAATTACTCCTATCAGAAGCCATCTGACAGTTTTGATCTAAATGCATAGTAGGTAGATTTCAACATTTTGAACATTTTCTCCTCTGTCGGATTTTCTCTATAGCGGTTTTCAAGACATATACGAAACTTGCATTTTACCCCTATGTTATGATTTTAGCATTGTTGGGGATGTTGGTTGGTAGTTGAGTTCATCGGACACATCTGTTAAACTAGATATACCTATGATGATTGTGGCAAGTTTGGTTAAATTGGTTCAAGTAATGCTAGAGTGCAGAAATTGAAAATGTAGACCACATGCAATATTTTTTTTTAAATAAATGTTGAAAATTTTAGATCAGAACTGGTAATGGTCTCTTGTTGCAAGTTTAATCTGTTCCAACGCCATTTTCATCATTATTGGCTATATTGTGGCGGTCAGTTTTTTATTGGCAGAGGAAGTTCGGGTGCCCGGAGAGAACCCCTGACATTTGGCAGGAAAACTGACAATTCTAAGTCAATTAATATTAGAATCAACGCACCTACCACGTGGGAGTTCGGATCACAAACTTAGTGAAGACGGGCTAGTGATACAGCCGATGAACTACTTACACCACTCGGCCATCGAAGACCCTAGTAGTTTCAGAATATGCCAGAGGACAATTACTAACACAGTTCCAAAGGACAACATGAGCTAAAATAGTTAAATAAGGATACTGTTGGTTGATATATTTGTGGATGTTTTAACGGTAGTCAGTATAGTAACAAACCATTGTCTGCTGAGTTTTATCGGTCCCATCTTTTTTCTGCTGCATTTGAACCATTATCTCTAGAATCTGGAAAGACAGTTAAAAGACTCGTACACTAGATTTGTTATCATAGTCTTATTTTTTTGTTTGACCAGCATTGATTATTTTCATATTTATCTTTCTACAGTGATTATCTTTGTGTGAAATGTTATTGTAATTATTCCAAATGATGATATAAGGGAAATTGTGCTTTCAAGATAAATGGTCAAATGGAGATATGGTCGGAAAGCCAATTTTATATATACACCATTGGTATACCCCAGCTTAAAATACAGGTTTTACATTTGTGACGTAATTTGAATATGCATGATGTCAAAGAAAGAGGGACGAAAGATACCAGAGGGACAGTCAAACTCATAGATCGAAAACAAACTGACAACGCCATGGCCAAAAATAAAGACAAACAGACAAATAATAGTACAGATGACACTAATTATGTGATTTTTATTTGCATTCGCACATTCAAGACTTTATCGAAGTACATCCCTAAATCCTACCAATTTAGAGTAATTACATGTATTCTTGAGTTTTTTTGTTTGTTTTTTTGTTTGTTTTTGTTTTGTTATAACGCTAACAACTCGACATGACTTTGTAACCGCACTAATTTAGTAATTGAAACACATAAGCTCACTGTGTAGGGAGAAACTGTTCAAAAGGAAAATGACAGGTTTGAATCGAACGTGTGTCTGCTTATACATAGACTTGAACATGACACAGGTCAACTAATTAGGTAAGGCCTTAAAATCAAACAATAAAATGAAGCAATGCAAAAACACATCACTTTAAGAAAAGTGCTACAAAATGTTTTAACTGAGTTTTACACTACATAATATTTAAAGAAAAGGAACACAATAGTTAACCTTAAACTTCATGTGCCAGTATATACACGATGTCCTTCCACTGGACGAATTCAAAGTTTGGTAAATATGCTGATGACATGTTTCCTAATGAACTTGAAAAAAAACTCATCAAAGAGACAGACTGATAATTTTTAACGTCAGACGCACGTTTCTTCCAACTTAAAAGCATCAGCAGTGCTCGAATCAAAACAGTTGGAAGGCTCAATCAAATGCGTAGTTGAATAGATTATATATCTAGTTGTGCCAAATGCTACTAAGGCATTTCATGTCTGGGGGTAGAAAAACATTAGTATTTCAAATAATTCAACATTTACAAAACATAAAATTTACAGAGCATGAGTATACCAATAACGTTTCATATAAACACAAAAGGGGTGAATACTGGGCTGGTAATACCCCCAGGAACGAAATGAAAACCTGCAGTGGTATCAACCCTGTGGCTCAACATACTCATCAAAGATAAACTTGTAATTTGGCACGCTAGACGCACGTTTGGTCTACATAGAACTCATCATTGCTCGAATCAAAATAATTGGAAAGCCCAATCAAATACAAAGTTAAAGAGCATGAAAAACCGAAAATTCCGAAAATTTATGCCAAATATGAGTTAGAGAGACTTAGATACAGTCAAGTCTACTCCATATCTTGACTCTTTATATCCAGAAAATGACAATGAGGCTTGGTTGAGAGGTAAACTATACTCCAAATGAGATTATATCGATTTTCCCATTGTAAAGTATGCATTATATGTAGCAACCTCCTAGCAGCGCCTACATATGGCGTATATATCTCCCAAACGATATCATATTCCGTGGCATACGTTTGCTTTCATGATTAACGTGGAAAAGGGGTACTGCTTACAAGAAAGCTATTCAAGTAGGATTTCAACTGGTAAACTTAAAGTCATTCCTTCGAAATGTTACGAACACCATCATGATTTGCTTGACCTTTATGGAATATTTATTTCACAGATGAACAAGGAAGCCATTCTTTCGTCCTCTTTTGCTCAATGTTGACATCAACAAATGAGACTAAACATCGGACTTGTACTTACCATGAACAACACGACGGATGCCACATTTGGAGCAGGAAATGCTAACCTTCAAAAGTACCTGATAGAACCTCAAGTTTTTCTATGGGGTTCGTGTTGCTGAATCTCTAGTTTTTAATGTTGTATTGTGTGGACTGTTATTTGACTTTTTTTGTACTTGTTTTTTGCCCTGATTTTGTCGGTCTCTTTTCGACTTACGAGTTTTGATTCTGGGGTTGGTATTTTCCGCCTCTTTATCAAAGATGATCAACAATATATTCAACTTGTCGTATTCACAATCCCGTCGTCATTTCCTCGATTTTGCTATTTCACTGGAGCATCTGATTTCACCCTTAATTTTTGTAGGTGATCGTGTTGCTCAATCTTTAGTTTCTCTGTAGTGATTTGTGCATTTGTTTGTCATTTCGTTCTTTGGGCAATGGTTTTGTCAGCTTTTATTCACTGTAAGTTATTTCTGGCACTTGGTATTTTCTTCTTTTCTATAACAAAATCATCCTGATGTTCAATGTTTAGAACATAGAATTGTTTATATCTATAACTTTAAATAGTAACCTGTGAGTTATGCCATTGTTTTACACATATTTAAGTTCTAGCTTTGAAATGTAAATAAATTTCGTTTTGCATATGTCAATAATACAGCAACCAAATCACACATCTAAAGTTTGTTACCTGTGCAGAGTGCGCTTGTTGTTCGTATTGTGTGTGTTTAACAAATGCATGTAGCTCATCCAGACGCTCATTCATTTCATAGAGTCTACGTATCTGTTCTTCCATTAATTTCCCCTAATAAGAAAATAAAGAGAAACATAAAATATGACTTTTAAAATGCATCCAGAAAGAGCTACGTTAAACGTTTACTAAATAAAGGCAGCACAAAATTGTTTATTGAATTTAAATCATTATTTAAAAGAAATTTTTTGTCATGGCCAATTATTGATTCCTTTGTACTATCAAAAAAGTTATCTTAGATACCTTAAAATACAAAAAGAACATTTTCTTTTCAATGGTACTAATTGTAACGAAATAATCCAATTTAGAAAGAAAACAAATGCTACATATCAAAATCCTTGAAAAAAAATGTTTGCCTGTAAAGGTTTATTGGTTTAAATAATGTAAAGCAGTTGCCCCAATCAGGCAAAGCTGACCTTAGATGGATTTGGCTATTTTCTACGATCCCTTTTTTTGGTTATATAGCTCTTCGACTGTTTTGGTTCTTATACACCACTGGCTTTCAAATATTAGGCTTTGAGCGTTCCTGATGAAGTAAAACCCAGAAAAGCTCTTCGTACGCATGCAGTTTATAACATATTTATGAAAATAAGGAGATGTGGTATGATTGCTAATGAGACACAAGGAAGCTATTAAACCAAGAGTTCCTAATGGTGACGTTGAAATCATCCCTTCGTTAATTTTACGGACGCCATCACGAGTTGGTTGACCGTTATGGAATAACCGTTTCACAGATGATATCGGATATGTTCCTTATGTCGTAACTACAATACCCTTCCCTTTTCACGAATGTGACCTACCGAATTAGACTATTTACCGGATTTGTAATAACATAAGCAACACGACGGGTGCCACATGTGGAGCAGGATCTGCTTTCCCTTCCGGAGCACCTGAGATCACCCCCAGTTTTTGGTGGGGTTCATGTTGCTTAGTCTTCAGTTTTCTATGTTGTGTCATCTGTACTATTATTTGTCTGTTTGTCTTTTTTTTTTGGCCATTTGAGAAAACTAACGGCCTAATTTATAACAAAACAATTAACGAAAACCAAACATGACTGACATGAACCAACGACAACCATTGAACTACAAGCTCCTGACATTGGACATACACTTTAATAATGTGGCGAGGTTAAACATGTTTGTGAGCGCTCAACCCTTCCCCTAACCTGGGACAGCGGTGTAGCAGCACAACATAAGAGCAAACTATAAAAATCAGTTGAAATGCTCAACTCATCAGACCGATACAAAGCAGAAAAACTTCAAGTAAAAACACAGACAGAACGTGGCAGGGTATTTATCCATCCCTCATCCCTAACAACAAAAAAAAACACTAAGTACGGATCTGAGAGTACTCGCAGTTATTGAAAGCTAGTTCAAAGCCTATAACAACTAATAAAACAATTTTAAAAACCGTGTATCTAAGACTAAAATACTAATCAGTTCACATCCAACATCCAATGGATTTAGTGTGAAGACGTCATTAACAGCCAGAAAAAAACATGAACTTGAGCAATGCCAAAATATAGGTATCGACAGATTTAAGTACTGTGAAAATACATATGTGTATTACAATTATATAAAGTGTGGTTTTGATGTACTAATAACAAAATCAATATTTGTACCAATAAAAACAATATTCAAAGATAAGTAATGTTGTTTTCCTTTTTTAACAATCCCAACATTCGATTAGTGCATAATATCAAATAGAAAGATGACGACATTGTCATTTACTCCGTAAAAAGTAAATGACAAAATACCAAACGCCAAGGGAAATTCAAAACTCAAAAGCTCAAACACATCTAACGAATGGAAAACAACTGCCATATTCCTGACTTGGTACAGGCATTTCCTTATGTAGAAAATGGTGGATTAAACCTGGTTTTATAGCTATATAAACCGCCCACTAGTATGACAGTCGCATAAAATTCCATTATATTGACAACGTGTGAGCAAAACAAAGACATAATAGGTAAAAACGTTAAAAATTGGGGTACAGCAGTCAACATTGTAATATAATCTTAATTACTATAAAAACAAATATCTGTTTCAACAAAGAAACACAAAATGGCATATAGACAAAGTACATAAGCAAAAATGAAAGACAAGAATACAAAAGTGACCTTACCACAATAACACAATGGCGGAATGTATAAGTACCGAGCCACGTCATACGTATATAATAAAAACAATGGACTAAACAGTAAAGGTTATAAATATACAAGGACAAAAAAGGGGGAAAACCTTACTACACAGATATTTAGGTGATAAACAACGTCAGTACCTAGAATCATTACTTTAAGACCCCCATGTATTATTTGTGAAGTTGATACGGAATATTTATCAACAAGGTCTTGGTATCTTCCGATGAACTTTTTTAGAAAAAGGACTAGATGTTCTTTGACATAACCTTGGCTCATCAACTTTCTGCTCAGACACTGGTGACGTTTTATAAAGTCTGAGTAGCAGCTACAAGCTCTTGAATACCGAATGAGTTGGAAAATGTATATCCAATATGCAGGTGAAGTTGGTATAAAGTAAAATAAGAAAAATACCGAACTTCGAGGAAAATTCTTAACGGAAAGTCCCTAAGCAAATGGCAAAATCAAAAGCTCAAACACATCAAACAGATGGATAACAACTGTCCTATTCCTGACTTGTTACAGGCATTTTTTTATGTAGAAAATGGTGGATTGAACCTGGTTTTATAGCTAGCTAAACCTCTCACTTGTATGTGTGTTGCTGCTAAGGTGGGGAATTTATAATTTCAAAATTAAAATCGTCTCGCTTGTAATAGATTCTAGTATTGAGATGACCGCTTATGTCAAATTCGAGGTAGAAGTCTAAAAATGAGGCAGAGGAATCCGTGTCTGTTGTTTCTTTGATTTCTAGTTCTGAAGGATTTAGTAAGAACATCATCAACATATATGAATGTGAAATTAAATGATCGGACTTCTTTGATTTTCTTGTTTTTGACAAGTTCTGAAGGATATCCGACTCATATGAAAATAAGAAGAGGTCGACAAGGAGAGGCGCACAGTTCGTTCCCATAAGAATGCCGACAACTTGCAGAAAAAGTCTACCTCCAAATTCAACAAATATGTTGTCATTGAGAAACTCCAGCATATTGATCACTTGTTCCTCTGTGTAGCATGTTTTACCTTTTTGTTCACCATTAACAAAATATGACGTATTTTATCCCAAAGTAATAAATTTATAGCGTATGCTGTCATTTTTTATATTGAAAAGCATTGTGGATTATTTCTATTAGACGATTTTTCAATTTCAAGATACCAAAACCTTGTTGATAAATATTCTGTATAAACTTCACAAATAATACATAATGGGCTTGAAGAATAGATTCTAGGTACTGACGTTGTTGATTATCTTAATTACATGTTATAATGTTCTTTTATTTGTCTTTGTAATTATTTACTTTTACTGTTTAGTCCATTTTTTGGTAATATCCTTTTGGCGTGGCTCGGTACTTATGTATCCCAACAATGTGTTGTTGTGCTGTGGTCATTTTTTGTATTCTTGTCTTTTTTTTTCTTATGTGCTTTGTCTGTATACCAATTTGTTTTTCTTTGTTTTCTACATAAGAAAATGCCTGTACCAAGTCAGGAATATGACAGTTGTTTTCCATTTGTTTGATGTGTTTGAGCTTTTGATTTTGCCATTTGATAAGGGACTTTCCGATTCGAATTTTCCTTGGAATTAGGTATTTTTGTTATTTTACTTTTTCACATGGGGAATGGTGGAATACAGGGTTGAAAAATCAAAAGTTTGATAGAATTAATTTCAGATTAAGTCATTGATAGTTAAAATGTTAAATAATGAAATTTGATACTCTCAATGGATATATTAAATGTCATTGGAATTAAAAAAACAACAGAAATATTCGGTATTCGAAAAAAAATCATATGTATGTAACAGTCAAAATATAAAAATCAAAAACACATGACAATAAAGGCTTGAAAAACAGGTTTAAAGTTGAGCTCGTTTAAGAATGATTTATCTCAGTTTTATTTGCCTGTTATTTTTTTTTAAATTGTCAAAAGAGAACAAAAATCAATAGAAAAAGTTTACCTCATATTAAATAGTCAGAAACCCGTAAAAAGTAAAATAACAAAAATACCTAACTCCAAGGAAAATTCAAAAGTCCGTTATCAAATGGCAAAATCAAAAGCTCAATCATATCAAACGAATGGAAAACAACTGCCATATTCCTGACTTGGTACAAGCATTTCCTCATGTAGAAAATGATGGATTAAACCTGGTTTTATAGCTAGCTAAAGTTCTCACTTGTATGACAGTCGCATAAAATTCCATTATTTTGGCAACAATGCGTGAACAAAACAAACAGTCATAATAGGTGAAAATGTCAAAAATAGGGATACATAAGTCAACATTATGTTTTAATCTAATCACTAATTCCGTGGTTTCCGTTTGTTGTTGTATATCATATTTGTTTTTAATTATTTTTCTTTTGTACTTTAATAAGATCGTTGGTTTTCTAGTTTTCATCGTTTTACAATTTGACACACTTGGGGTCATTTATAGCTTGCTACGCGGTATGGATTTTGCTCATTGTTGAAACCGCACGGTGACCTATATTTGCTAAAATCTACGTCATTTGGTCACTAGTGGATCATTGGGAAGCATAACAAATCTTCTTATTTTTATATTAATTGTACTTTTCGATTATATAAAACTCATTGATCAAAGACATACCGATATTCTAATTTTCCGGAAAATTTAATGTAGTATTAACGAAAAATAATAACCATAAAGTTTTCAAAATCTCTACTTTTGCGACTCATTTGCTCATACTCTTTTGTGCTTTCCTTTTCAGAGATGCTCCTTAATTCAACCTTTTCTCTTCTCATACTTTCAACACGTTCCATCGATCTTTGCTCCGCCAAATGTTGTTCAAGCATCTGTGAAATAGAAAAATTCGTAAGGGTTCCGCGGAACCCAGTGTCTCGCCTACTTTTTCTGTTAATCGCAGGCTCAACAAAAATGAGGAAGTAAATCAATAAAAATATTCCTCTTGATACTATCTTTTGATTGTAAGAAGCTTCTGTCCAAGTTTGGTAAAAATCCAGGATAGTTTATGAATCTAATAAATGTTTAAAAACTTTAACTGCAGACTGAATGTAATGTTAACTGGAAGAAAAAAAAAAATTCCTTCTAGATACTAGCATTTGACCATAAACAAGCTTCTGTCCAAGTTTGGTACAAATCCAAAATAGTATAAGAAAGTTATTAAAATTTTAAAAACTTTAACCACAGAGTGAATGTGTTGTTTCCTGGCAGAAAATCTAAGTCCATTTAAAAGTAAAATACTGAAGAAATGGATTTATTTTTTTACAAAATTTCCTTCTAGATACTAGCTTTTGATCATAAACAAGCTTCTGTCCAAGTTTGGTACAAATCCAAAATAGTATAAGAAAGTTATTAAAATTTTAAAAACTTTAACCACAGAGTGAATGTGTTGTTTCCTGGCAGAAAATCTAAGTCCATTTAAAAGTTAAATAAGGAAAAAATGGATTTTTTTTTATACAAAATTTACTTCTGAATACTATCTTATGATCATAAACAAGCTTCTGTCCAAGTTTGGTAGAAACCCAGGATAGTTTAAGAAAGTTATTAAAATTTTAAAAACTTTAACCACAGAGTGAATGTAATATTTCCCGGCAGAAAAACTAAGTCCATTTATAAGTAAAATACGGAAAAAATGGAATTTTATTTTTACAAAATTTACTTCTGGATACTATCTTATGATCATAAACAAGCTTCTGTCCAAGTTTGGTAGAAATCCAGGATAGTTTAAGAAAGTTATTAAAATTTCAAAAACTTTAACCACAGAGTGAATATTTGTGGACGCCGCCGACGACAACGACGACGACGACGACGACGACGACGACAACGACGACGACGACGACGACGACGCCGACGGAATGTAGGATCGCTATGTCTCGCTTTTTCGACTAAAGTCGAAGGCTCGACAAAAAGCAGTGTTTCTACTTGAAGATTTCCAGGTATGCCGAAACTAATAATCCTGTACTGAGACATCGGTACCAGTGATGCAAAATTGTAAACATCGAATCCAATATTTATGTTAATTTTATAAAAATATCATGTTTCAAAAATTTGGCCAGTATAATTTTTTCAAATAAGATTCTAATATACAGTTTATAAAATACATTGTCTCATGTCTCCGCTTTTCCTATTAATATATACTGAAATGGAAAAAAAAAACGATTGTTTCGAGTTCGAAAAAAAATCATAAGAATAAAAATATATTCATAGTGTTATTAGACAATCAGTTACATTGATCGATTATTTGAAATCCAGACAATGTTATAGACAGAAGTGAAGATAGACAAACGATAAAACGATATACAGGACAGACAAACAGACAAGGAGATATAACGATCAATACACACTAACCACTTATTAAATCTCTTCATGGATATTGGAAGACTTGTGACAAGGAGTGAAATTATTTTACAACTGAAAATTTTAAGCTGATTAACCGATACACACTTATTTTTTAATTCTACCCTTGTCCTTCCACAAATTATGCAAGTTATTTGTATAAAAGTATTTTTAAAATCATTCAATCGTAGATAGAAACAATACCATTTCATTTCTTCTCATATTTCTTTCTTGTTGTTCCTCAAACTTTTGTGTTTGATATTCCAACTGCATCTTAAGTTCGTCTTGATTTGCCATCATTATATTCTGAATTTCCATTTGTTCCTGAAGAACCTTTATAAAGTTGAAAGAACACAAGTTTTCGTGAAAATAACAAATGGTTATGCATCTTCAAAAATAATAATCCATTCAATTAACAGTTTAACTGGATCAGACATAATAAAATTCCTACTTAAATATCGTTTTGTAAAACTGAGATGACTTCAATAGACCACTTTCGAGTTATGTCCTTCACCGGAAAAAGTCGTCAATTGTGCGCGCCTTGATGACGTCATTTACCAGACAGAGGGGATCGCCTGTATCCCTGCACTATTAATGTTCATCAAGCGTCTTAGTGATCGTCATTGTGCAGGATAAACTAGAAATACTGTTTGTTCCGTAGGTACTTAATCACAATTCCCTAATGATAGCAGTGCTGAATGTCAATTATAAGAATTAAATTTGCCGAACATTTCGTGCAATATAGGATCACATTTTTCTAACCACTCCCTCAACATGGGAACGGAAGTGACGATGCCCCTAAACGCACGAATGATATTCACTGAAACCAAAATATTTGACGGAAATGCATCGAACTCGTAAGGTGTCTATTAAAATACTATTTAACATAGAAATAATTTCTTTAAATATTTAACATAAAGAATTTCTTTAAATCAGAAATTTTGCTAAACACCCTACGTTTAAGAGAGAAAATGTTTTGAAGTTTTACAGTATATTTTAAAATGTTAAATTGAAACTCGCTGAAGAAAAAGTTGGATTCATACTGATTTTTCTTAAAAAAATAAGGTAAAAATATTTTTTTTTCTTACCGTTATTGTATCTTCTTTGATAACATCAATGACCCTATCAATGACAGAATACATTGCGCATTAAATGAAATTAAAGCAACGTTTTCATTCACTGACACAATATTACTATGGGGATGTACAAATACTGAACTAAATTAAGGTCTTTCGACATTTACAAGGTTTCATGCCAGTGTTGTGTTCCTTATACAAAACCTGATTCAACGGAGTTATGAGGAAGAACTACTGAAATCGACACTGCATATGATTTACGGTTACCATCACGATCTGATTAGCCGATATATTTGTACCTCAACTCACTAGTAACATGTTTTCGCAGTCTTAGATCTATAGATACCCGAATTGTCGTCTGATTTGTGATTTGATTAGTTATGTCCTTTTTCCGGTTGCGACATTTTGACTAAGTGTGGATTCGCATGGTAGGTAATGCACGCATCACAGGAGACTATTATCATGTTATTAAAGATGACATTGTGACGTCATAATTTCCATTTAAAAAGTATGCATAGTACGAATTCATTTGACGTTCGAAAACATATGATCTGATCATACTTTGATGTGTTGTCTTTATGGATTTATGAGATTTGAACATCGGTAAACTACTGTTTCCGTAATTAATCAAAGAACTTGTTGCATATATATTTAGTTATCATTTGCTTTAGTGTTTCTGCAAAATGTCAATTTAATACATCAATAAGAGAATAAAAGCACGATATTTTATCCATATCATCACATTTGAATAAAACTTTATCAAATTATTACCGTACTCTCTCATTCTCAGTTTTATAATAAATGCAATAAATGCATCTAAAATGGTATAAAAACTTGTCCAATATATTATTACAAATTTGATTTTATTGAACTTAATATACTTTACCCTTTCGATTTTAATGTAGCAAATGCTTCTGTCAACTCTGTAGAATTTAATCTCTGGTCGTAATTTGTGTTGTAACAAAAAACTGAAATAACAAATCAATGTTCAGTAGCTAACCTTTGGTTGACTTTTTTGCTGTTTCCCCAAATGGACTAAATAGGGAAAACTGTAGATTACATGTGTTTTGTGTAAAATAAGTTAATAATGTTGCTTTATAAATTCATCAGGTCCCTTCTTCATGTATTTTTGTATTGTATTTGTTTTTGAGTTTTGATGATTTTAAAACAATTTTAAAAAGATTTTTCGCCGATTTCATATTCTTCCTATACAAATGTACATCTATATTGAAAGAATAAATTCCATTATATTTTAGAACATAATAGAGATAAAGCCTTATCTTATCGATCTTCAGTTCAAGTTAAATTAACATACCACAGCTGTATGAAAAATCTTTTAAAAATATGTGACGTTTACAGTAACTTGACCTAAATGTTTTACGAAATTTTTACGTTAACGTCACTGCAATAATGAACCATATCAAACAAATAGTCAATACTGGATGTACAATAATCAGTCATTGATGTATACATCAAATAGCACATTAACAAAACCAAATTGACTGCACCAGAGGCGCACACTTTTAAGATTTTATAATTATTTATTCAAAATAAAATCAAACCAGTATAAATACAGAAGTTCTAAGAAAAATTTGTAAGGGTTCCGTGGAACCCAGTGTCTCGCCTACTTTTTCTGTTAATCGCAGGCTCAACAAAAATGAGGAAGTAAATCAATAAAAATATTCCTCTTGATACTATCTTTTGATTGTAAGAAGCTTCTGTCCAAGTTTGGTAAAAATCCAGGATAGTTTATGAATCTAATAAATGTTTAAAAACTTTAACTGCAGACTGAATGTAATGTTAACTGGAAGAAAACAAAATTTCCTTCTAGATACTAGCATTTGATCATAAACAAGCTTCTGTCCAAGTTTGGTACAAATCCAAAATAGTATAAGAAAGTTATTAAAATTTTAAAAACTTTAACCACAGAGTGAATGTGTTGTTTCCTGGCAGAAAATCTAAGTCCATTTAAAAGTAAAAAATGGAAAAAATGGATTTATTTTTTTTACAAAATTTCCTTCTAGATACTAGCTTTTGATCATAAACAAGCTTCTGTCCAAGTTTGGTACAAATCCAAAATAGTATAAGAAAGTTATTAAAATTTTAAAAACTTTAACCACAGAGTGAATGTGCTGTTTCCTGGCAGAAAATCTTAGTCCATTTAAAAGTAAAATAAGGAAAAAATGGATTTATTTTTTTACAAAATTTACTTCTGGATACTATCTTATGATCATAAACAAGCTTCTGTCCAAGTTTGGTACAAACCCAGAATAGTTTAAGAAAGTTATTAAAATTTTAAAAACTTTAACCACAGAGTGAACGTAATATTTCCCGGCAGAAAAACTAAGTCCATTTATAAGTAAAATACGGAAAAAATGGAATTTTATTTTTACAAAATTTACTTCTGGATACTATCTTATGATCATAAACAAGCTTCTGTCCACGTTTGGTAGAAATCAAGGATAGTTTAAGAAAGTTATTAAAATTTCAAAAACTTTAACCACAGAGTGAATATTTGTGGACGCCGCCGACGACAACGACGACGACGACGCCGACGACGCCGACGGAATGTAGGATCGCTATGTCTCGCTTTTTCGACTAAAGTCGAAGGCTCGACAATAAAGAGATGTTTACATGATCACAAGACTAGAGAAGACACCTTTCTGTCGTTCTTGGGTCACCAATTATTATAAGCTTTTAAGACAGTAATCTACTTCAATGAATATCATTAATGACTATTTGTACTGCAAGTCTACGCTTTAAATTCGTAGTTTCACACAAACTTCTTTAATAACCATATTTTGTGCTGACGCAGTCAGTTATAATTTCGGTTTGTGACCTATTTTGAAAGGACGCTTAGCATCACTGAAGAGACAATGATTGTCGAAATGCGCATCTGGTGCAGAAAAATTGGTACCGTTTATGTTATTAACTATGGTAACGGCATGCGTGATGTCAAAAATCTTTACTCTGATTGAAAGAAAATTGCGATATTGAACAAAAACATACAAAAAAAAGAAGATAATATTATATGCTACAATAAAAGGAAAACATTACGGACATACAATAAAATTTAAAAATGAAATTATGCAGATAAATAAAAAAATATTCAGGTAAAGAAAATAACATTATCATTCATTAGATCAACCAGGTCAATTAGGCTATTAATAGATCGAGTGCTATAAATATATCTTATCGACTTTGTGTACTTGCAAGTGCGGTCTAAAATTTCCAAGCCGTAATAATAATATCTCAAAGAGTACAAAATATTATACTTGAAATAAAGAATGTCATAATACATATATTGCAAATTTATTTACTTGTCAAAAGCTGAATTTATATAGATCATCTCCCTTTGGCGTCAGTCCCTCCCCGATATACACACCGAAATAGGTTCTATCTCTAATTGTTCAAGTTGTGTTTGACATATAATTATAATTGACATTTATTCATGGTTCTAAAATGTTTCAAAAAGTAAAATAACAAAAACACCGAACTCAAGGAAAATTCAACACAGGAAGTCCCTTATCAAATGACAAAATCAAAAGCTCAAACACATCAAACACATCAAACGAATGGAAAACAACTGTCATATTCCTGACTTGGTACAGGCATTTCCTTATGTAGAAAATGCTGGATTGAACCTGGTTTTATAGCTAGCTAAACCTCTCAATTGTATGACATTTTCAAGTTTTCAAGTCTGTCATTCATTACAGATTGTAACCTACTAATATCTTATGTTTAAGTTTATTTCACAGCTACAGGTACTTCCTTATCACTGAAAAATAACAATATATATATATATATATATATATATATACATTTAGTTAAGTACCATGCGGTACATATTTTAATTCTTTAGAGAAAAGCGAATATACTCAAATCTCAGAATCGTTAGCCTTTTGCCGTCAAATTGTGTGCAATTTTTTTGACTATGACAAAAAAACCTGATAAAGATTCATGGTTTGGTTTAAACTCTATGCTCATATCTGAATGCGTCAGATATCTTGTTTAAAAATAGTACTTGTTTTTAAACATGTATGATAAGGGTTATTGTAAAAGATAAAATTATTCAATGCTCTCAAAAATAATGTTAATTTTATTAAAAATTTGTAAAGGGTTCGTCATAACCTTGTGTCTCGCCTACGATTGCTGTCAGTGTTAAAGTGTAATGTTGATTGTAAAAATTAAGTCCATTGATCAGTAAAATACAGAATTTAAAAACAATCACACTCTTTCTTAAAATGCTATTTCTTGACCTTGTTAATTCGCTTATGTCCAAGTTTCATTACAATCCATGAAGTTTTACACATTGATCATGTTAAAAATTGAATCCCCAAAAACTAAGTCTATCTATCAGTAAAATACTGAAAATTAGATAAAAATATACTTTCAAAATATGTTCCAGACATTATCTTTTAATCATAAAAAAAATCCTTAAATATTCTATTCTAACTAGTCAAAACATTTACTAAATTTTATCATCGGTACAAGGACATTATTCGTAAATATAAATCAACATGCAGACATCTTATACGTTCAGGTATTTCAAATCCAATCTTTTATGGTAATATTCTTTACAAAGCACAAAAATGTCGGCATTCACCTCAAAAGCTAACCAAACATTTAAACAGACTTATTCAGAAGGGATATAGTTACGATACTGTTGTCAGGTCATTGAAGATGGCATATTTTGGTATCAATATTGATTCACTCATAGGGTCTTTGCTTCAGAAATAAACACATTTGTTCTAAAACCAGTTGTTAATAGATATAAGAAGATGTGTAATGAGTGCCAATGAGACAACATGATACGGGTTATGTTCTTCTCGTATATTTTATGATGGTATGATACTAAACCCCTAACGGGAAGGATTGTGCTTGATTTTCATATGATGATGACATAATCTTTCAATCAGTTTAATTGAAGTCTGGAGCTGGCATGTCAGTAACTGCTAGTAGTCCTTTGTTAATTTATGTATCATTGTCGTTTTGCTTAGTTTCTTTGTTACCTATTCTGACATCGAACTCGGACTTCTTTTAAACTAAGTTTTACTGTGCATATTGCTGTGTGTTTGTTTATTCTACATTGGCTAGAGGTATAGGGGGAGGGTTGAGATCTCACAAAATATGTTTAACTCCGCCGCATTTTTGCGCCTGTCCCAAGTCAAAAGCCTCTGGCCTTTGTTAGTCTTGTATGTTGTTTTTTTTTATTTTAGTTCATTTATATGTTTTGGAGTTTAGTATGACGTCCATTTTCACTGAACTAGTACACATTTGTATTTAGGGGCCAGCTGAAGCCCGCCTCCGGGTGCGGGATTTTCTCGCTGTGTTGAAGACCCATTGGTGGTCTTCGGCTGTTTTCTGCTCTTTGGTCGGGTTGTTGTCTCTCTGACATATTTCCCATTTCCATTCTCAATTTTATAAATGTTTGACAAAATAATTAATGTTAACAAACTTTAACCCCCGACTGTATGTACTTATTAAATGCATAAAAACCAATTCTTTTATCAGTAAAATACGGAAAAATTAAGAATAAGTTTTTACTCTGTATACTGTCTTTTGATCATAAAAATATTTCTGTCCAACTTAAGTAAAATTCCATGAAGGATTAACAAAGTTATTGATGACTGAAAAACTTTAATCTGAGACTTAATCTGAATTTAAACTGTAGAAAATCTAAGTTCATTTAATTATTTAATATAACGCTCCTGTCAAAATTTCATCAAATCAAAGGAAGGTTCAAGATAATTATTGACTGAAAATCTTCCATCTCAGACTGTAATTAAATGTTGGACGACTTCGCCCTAAAATCTATGACAAACGGGATGATTTCAACTTACCAATAATCAATTTCCCATTTTTCAGCAGTAACATACCCACTGCTCCGTCGTATGTTGTTTACATATCTCAATTGATACTTTATGCTCGTGCATGTTCACACTATACGGACTTCATATACAGGAGTATGCTCCATACGCAGAAACTGCTATTTATGAGGAGGAAAGATTAAAAATGACACTCCGTAAATTTTATGGACACCATCACGAATTGGTTGATCTATACGATGTGTCTTTGTCTCTACTAACTAACGACATTTTTACCACGTCTTAGATTGTGGTTTACCATCTACGTCGTCTGTCTGCTAAGAACCGAACGTGACCTATTCCCGAATATGACTGTTTTGCCAAGTGTGAATTCGCATTGCTATACAACGTGTCTCGGTATTTATACATTAAACATTCATGTATTTAGTAATGATGTTTCTTTTATAAGTACGATTAGATAATGTGTTATGTCTTATCGTTTATGATTTGAATTCTGTATTTTCGGTACATTTCACACCTGTCATATTTGTCAGTATAGTCGAGTTAATTTTCAATTTCCATGGATAAAGTATGGTGTTAGTCCAAATAATTATGACGTCGTCACAGCATTGATTTAAAATAGTCTTTCAAGACCGTCATAATCATGATAATTATTTGGACTAGTATTGTGAAAATAACTGTAACGCTTTGGATCTCGTTCCATATAATTGTATGAATTTCAAGATTACCTGTGACAATTATACGTCATTTATGTATTTCTGTTTGCTGAGTGTTCTTGCGTTTGTTTGTACTGTATTGATATCACGTAGTGTTGTCATTTTAGAGGGTTTTTTTTTAACATTGCCATATTAGCGGGAGGTTTGTCTAGCCATAACACCAGGTTCAACCCACCATTTTTTCTTAAAATGTCCTATTCCAAGTCAGGAATATGGCAATTTTTATCAAATATACCGTTTCTATGTATGTTGACGTTTGTTTTTGTTGCAGTTCAGTGTTTCTGTTGTTCCGTTGTTTTCCTCTTATAGTTGATGTGTTTCCCTCGGTTTTAGTTTGTTACTCGGATTTGTTTTCTCTTAATCGATTTATGACTTTTGAACAGCGGTATACTACTGTTGCCTTTCTTTACGATGCCGAGTACGTCACCGACGACGGAATCTAGGATCGCTATGTTTAGCTTTCGCGACATATGTCGTAGGCTCGATAAAAATGGATCTTTCCTTATGTAAACACATTAAGAAAATAAGAAAATAACGAAAATAAATGACCGCGAAGACGGTTAAGTGGACTAACAATAAGTTGGTTTACAGTATTTAAATTTGTTAAGTGATTAATGTTGTTGTACAGTAACGTATAATTCAATTAATAACATATCAAATTAATTTCTGTGTCACGAATTCCCCATTTACATACCTCGAACAAACATTGGACTGGTATTCAATTTGTTAGCCTTTTGGACATTATTTGCTTCTTCATTCGAGCAGCACTTTGACCGATTACAAATACACCAAATCAACCAGTGTACCAGGCATACAGGTAAAGCAATGAGTTGTAAATGTATAGGGAAAATTGTCTTCAAGCTATATTCTTCGAGGAAATCTTTTTGTAGTAACGACCAATGAAACTTAGATTGAACTTGCACTTGTTGGAAAGTATCACTACAAAGAATTCAAGTAATTAGATTTTTTCAAAAATATTGAACTTAACGAAATAATACAACATGACAATACATGAATAGTTAAAATTTTTAAAACAACTAACAGATTGGTGATGATTGCATCACTTTTATTGTAGAGTAACGTATAATTCATCAAAATGTCAAAAGTATTCAGATCATTAGACTTAGACTAACATTATTTTATGAAGTTGGATATAAATAAATCAATCAAACGTTATTAATACGATGTATGTATTGTTTGGTTTTCACAACATGATGGTATTTAATAAAAACATGATGAAGGATATTGTTGTGCACATAAAAACCAAATTTAGATGAATAAAATTGAGAATGGAAATGGGGAATGTGTCAAAGAGACAACAACCCGACCATAGAGCAGACAACAACCGAAGGCCACCAATGGGTCTTGTTGTTTTATTTGTTAAAACAAAGCAAAAATGATAAGACGCAAATTAACCAAACTTACAATATCTTCTTCTTATTTACAGTATATAACAATACATTTTTTATTTAGAAATCAAATCACCAAAGTTTATTTTTTCAGAAATCACGTTTTTTTTTGCACACAGCAAACCATACGTTTCTAATGTTGACATTAAACGGACTTTGTAAGCAAAGATGTGCTATTAACACAAATACTTCTCCACCAGGGTTACGAGGGAAATCAAAGGAAATTGACACTACGCAAATGTTAAGGTCACCCTCACAATTAAGTTGACCGGTACGATGGGTTAGTGTCTCGGTTCACAAGAGACGTATTTGACTCTAAAATCTGAAGACAGCATTGATTGGTTGATTGGTTGGTGTTCAGCACTTTTGTGCTCTTTTTTAAGACGACAGAATAGTTTGATCTGTTTATTTACTGCCAGTGATTGTTTCCTTTTCCCATTTGTAATTAAAATAAACTGTTATCACAGAGATATGTCTCGCCTTTTTGTAATTTTGATAATGCAAATGTTGAAATTAAAACTGCAATACTTTAACATGTAAGTAATGCAAATATTCAAAGTCGATGAACCATGACTGAAGGTACATGGCTATAAACAATCTCCATGGAATGAGATGTGCCAATGCTAATACAACTGCATACCAAATACCATTGACTTATTATAAGTCGTTCCCTTTAAACAAACCTAAACAAAAACATTAACTTGTAAACTATGTAAAAGTTTCAAAGTCAATGAACCATGATCAGGGGTGGGGCTATATAATCTCCATGGACACGATACTTGCAAATGCCAATAAATTTGCATACCAAATATCAATGACTTAACATTAGCAGTTCATCTTAAACTGATCTAATCACAAACTAATACATGTAAACTAAGCAAAAGTTTCAAAGTAAATAGACCATGACTGAGGAGGCGGGGCCAAATATTCTCCATGGAAATGAGATGTGCTAATGCTTATACAACTGAACACCAATTAACATTGGCCTACCACTAATGGTTCCCCTTGAACTGACCTAATCACAAACTAATGCATTTAAACTTAGCAAAATGTTCAAAGTCTATAGACCATGACTAAGGAGGCGGAGCCAAATAATCTCCATGGAAATGAGATTTGTCCATGCTTATACAACTGCATACCAAATATCATTGACCTACCACTAGTGGTTCCCCATAAATTGACCTAATCACAAACTAATACATGTTAACTATGAAAAGTTTCAAAGTCAATAGACCTTGACTGAGGGGGCAGAGCCAAATAATCTCCATGGTAATGAGATGTGCCAATGCTAATACAACTGCATACCAAATATCATTGACCTACCACTAGTGGTTCACCATGAACTAGACCTAATCACAAACTAATACACTGTTGACGCCGCCGCCGCCGACGACGACGACGACGACGCCGGAAACAGCATTCCTATGTCTCGCTTTTTGACTCTGTCAAGGCGAGACAAAAACCGCATGAATTGCAAAGCCAGTAAATCAATTGGGTTTAAAATGATTTTTTCGGGTTTTCTCTAGGTTACATATTCAAAGGTAATTTATGTCATTTATATGTTTATTTTGAAGATTGTGTATTGTTCTTTGAATATTTATCTCTGAAACGATATACATTTTTGGCTTCAATAATATTCTAGGTGTATTTACCTCGAACTGTGCTTTGAAAATATATGCCGTTCACCTCAATTTCTAAATTGTATACCTGTAAATAGCTATCAACAAGTTCAACAACAAAGTAACAGCAATCAAACTATATATTGCTTTTAGATACGGTGCTATATGCAAGCCAATTGTTGCAGGACATCTACTCAACTCTCCACTTGAATATATCGTTTTGTTGAAAGTACAGTCAGGTTCAGTTACTGAAATTATACAGGGTTAAGAAATTAGAACTAGTTATTGATAACCTTATATTTTCAAGCCTGCAAATTCTTATAAAAGTACTCTCGTAATGGAGATCATTGAGTCAGACCTTATATAATTTTTCGGCGACTTTCTATGAATCTACTGTTCATTAAATCATTCAATTATTTGAAACACTTAGCCTTTTTAACCAAAGTAATGAATGACCTATCAGATTTGCACAATTTATCGGAATTCTGTCGATGGTCTTCAACTCGTAATTGATTTGGCTTTCCGAGTGATTTGGTTCGAACTCTATGTAGACGAAACGCGATGGCACACTCAATTAAAAGCCTAGTACCTTTGGTAAAATTTTATATTCATTTCATTATCAAATAGTTTTCCAAAAGAAAATCCTTGGTCCTTATTCTTTTTGTGCAGACTACTACATGAAATTGTTTCGAAGGTACTGCTTTAAAAATTGGTTAAAATTGAACATTTCCAATATTCATTTCGCGTTAAGTTTTCAAATTTCGCTTATAATTAATTCAAGTAAATACGCTTAGGGGAGGGTTGAAATCTCACAGAACATGTTTAATCCCCTCGCGTTTATGCGCCTGTCCAAAATCAGGAACATCTAGCCTTTGTTAGTCTTGTGTGTTCTTTTTTTAATTTTGGTTCATTTATATGTTTCGAAGTTTAGTGTGGTGTCTATTTCGCTGAGTTAGGATACATTTTGTTTAGGGTCAAGCTTAGGCCCGCTTCCGGTTGCGGTTTTTTTTTCGCTGCTTTGAATACCCATTAGTGGCCTTGGGCTGTTTTTTCTGCTCTTTGATCGGGTTGTTGTCTCTTTGACAAATTCCCCTTTTCCACTGTCAATTCTAACGGGGTTGTACTTACATGCATCACTGTCGACATTGTTTTCTCCAAACAGTGTCCAGTAACCATTTTGCATCACTTTTTCTATTTCTGACCAACTGAAGTCACTATTTGGGTACAGCAGCGAGTGAAATGATACATTGTAACTAATCATGATCACTGTCATAATTACCATGAAACCGAACGTGTCTTTGAACTAAAATGAAATAATTTGATCAAACATGAGATATAGTAAAAATATATTATACTCCTTCCCTTTTGATATATATTTTACCTATACAAATACGAAATAACGTAAACAATTTTAAGAAGGCATTTTTTCTTCATTTTTATCAACTCATTTATCTTCGAATCAAAATAGATACACGAAGCTTACAATTTAATATCTTTAACTTCATCCCATGTCCTTTTTTATTTCTTATGTACTTGAGTTCATCTTCCAATCATAGGAGTTTTCACTTTAAAAACAGCATAAAACTGTGGGTACCTATATTGACTATACTGATACATGTAAACATCAAACTATACCCTTAAAATAATTTCACAAGATATTTGTATAAACGATATAAGTTGTCCATTCTTTTAAATGAAACACCTATCAGCTGGAATATGTCTTTCCAATATATAAGTAGAGAATGTGGAAAACATGTGTAAAAGGTATAAAAGTTAAATGTTTTACACTATTGCATGTGGAGTAGGATTTAGTTTGGACATTCATCTAACAGATTTTTTCAAATGATTAATATTCAAATCTAATCCACACCTCATTTAGAGCAAGTCGATCATAGCAACTTTAGATCGCGGTTTTCATTGCTGATACAATAGATTTTAAATGTATGGAAGCAGTTTCGTGAAGTATTCGATAGACCCCAAAAAACGACGTTTTTTGCAGGTTATTTTGTGACTGGTGGGGCGTTTCAGACTATATGGGGTCCATTTTGCGTTATATAGCAAGATAATAATAATTACACATTTTTGAAACATTTAATATCTATCAGAAAAAGACAGAAAACTGAAAATATGCTTTTCAAAAAGTTAAAACATTTATTGACAGAAAAATAATTGAGGAAATGAAATTACTCTACACTTATTTCACTAATCTTTTTTTGTTTCAAAATGTAAGCGAAATTTGGGCAATCTGGTTTTAAACAGGGCTAATCCTGTATGTTTTTGTATATGACATAGAGCACATTATAGACTTTATTTTTGCAAAGTATAAAGTATTTCTCTCTCATTAATTCCAACTGTTTAACTGTTCGCAATATTTCACACCTACCATTTTCCTAATCATGACAAGCTTAGGTCCCACAAATTCTGACCAACTAAACATATTTAGTACGCGAATGCATAGAAAGATAAAAATCAGAACTAGCAATATCTGAGAAGCGGCTAGACAGTATTTATCTGCACCAAATTTTAATAAAACTGCTGTTGTGAATCCAAGAATTAAAATCCAATCCAGTTTATTCCAACAATCGCTTCTATATTTCTTAAATCGTTTTCTAATGACTGAAACAAGTGCCTGAAAAATCAATAAACCGCCAGATTAAACGATATTTTTAACACCCAAGTCATGACTTAACAAATAAAATTCGGCATTCATTTTGGATATATATATAATTGTCAAATCGGAAATTCGAAGACTAATCAGCGAGTCATTTATACAACGACAGTTGTGACTAGTAGATCAGGATATGCTACCCCTTCTTGAGTTCATTTCGGACTGTTTAATGTAGATAAAGCTTTTGTTTCTACCATAGTGTTTTTCGGACAATTGCTTGCCATGTTTTCCTAGACCAATAAGTTGTTTACCCTTTTACTGTATTTTTTTCTATGGCTCCTTGGCATTTGTTAAGGGACCAGCTGAAGCCCGCCTTCGGGTGCGGGATTATCTCGCTGTGTTGAAGACCCATTGGTGGCCTTGGGCTGTTTTCTGTTCTTTGGCCGGGTTGTTGTCTCTTTGACAAATTCTCCATTACATTCTCAATTTTATTTGATTTATATATTTTTTAATGTGTATTGTTTTTGTTTAACGTCTTTTCCGTTAGTCCTGTATGAACCACTATTCCAGGTAAATTGGAATGATTTAAAACGTAAAAGCAACAAATACATTCGTAATGTGTATATGACCTAATATCACAAGGAATATATCTTTCATATGTCTCAATACATCGAAAAGGGAAAACAATTCTTAAATATAAATAAAGAGAAAAACTTGACACAAATGTAATTCAAATACAGTTACAACTATACAAATCAATTTGTTTATGCAACAATACAATACACCAAATTTACGTTTCGAGAAAAGGGTTTCAAAAATCATATAGCTCAAGTTCAAGAAAAGATATAAAGGACGTGCATATTGAAACAAATTTTTCTATATCTGTTAAAATGCCTTTACCTGTTTTGTTTCATCAAGGAAAAAGCTAATCATCCAGCCAATGATAAAATAATCTGTATATGATATAGTCTCGCTCAGATTGAACACCAACATGTATGAAAAAGCCATTAACAGTGCTAAGTAACTTATCTGAAAAAGTAAGGACTTCTTGTATTATTTTATAAGTGTTTAAAAATGAAATGAATTGTACGAAGTAGGGATTCGAAAAAAAATTGTATCTGTAGTACACAAGAGATAGCCATATGAATGCAACGAAATATCCAATACATGAAAGGCACAGTGCGGTGAGTTTCATGTTGTCCATCTTGACATTGTTATTTTTCTTTTTTTATTTGCTATAAATTATGATCAAGTGGTGACATATGAAAACATTTGCTGAGAGAATCATTATCGTATTTTTTTAAATTATTTCATTTTACATCATGTCCATTGGACAAAACATATGTATACACCTTTTTTACAATACAAATGTGTATGTCGATAATTAAAATAATATGTTCCATACCAGTTGTAAAAAGACCTTCATTAGTGGTAGATTATATTTCTTATAAAACCTGCAATTGAAGGAAATGAGTTTAATGTTATTTCTCCACAACATTTATTGTAAATAAAATGTAAATAACGCTTAGATATTTTGATCACAAATGAAAACAGGGGTAAACCGTCAGGAGAAATATTACATTGGTTCTTGTTGTTCCATGTTGACAATAGAATCAGTTAACTGTAAACTATACACAACAAGTTACTGTTTGAAGACTTAAATCTTTCTTTCATATAAAATCTGTTAAAATTCGTGTTTGGCATGTGTCGGTGTCTTAATTCGCTAGCGACATGTTTTCGCGGTCTTAGATCCATCGATATCAGTAATATCGTCTCTGATCGGTAATTTAAAAAATAGTGTCCTATTCCAGAATGTGACATTTTTATTTTATTCAATTTGCATGATGGGTGTTGCATGTATAGCAGGATACGATGATCCTGTCGACGCTCACGTATTCGATATAGCGGAACCATTAACAACTGTCATACAAATGGGAGGTTTAGCACAACATTTTATTCGGAAAATGTCTGTACCAAGTTAGGAGTATGACAGTAGTTTCCACTCGATCCGATCTTAGTTTTATTTAGTCAGATCGTATCGACTTCTCCTTTTTTAGTTTACCTTGGAGTTCGGTATTTTTGTTAATACTTTTTTTCTAGCTCTTTTGGAAGGTCATGTGATTCCCTTGGTACCTGTTTGTTACCTTGATTTGTCTCTTCCTAATCAATTTGCGAGATTTAAACATCGGTAAGCTACCGAGGCCTTAATTTACTGCTATTATATAAGAATAGAAATATATAAAAACAATTGTTTCATGTTTAAATTACATCATTTAATTTTACAGGCAAACAAATAGAGAGAGAAGATACCAAAGAACAATCAAAAACCATTATTTAAATAAAACAATGTGAACTCAGGCGCTCCGGAAAGGTGAACAGTTCCTGCTGCCCTATAAGTATTCGTCGTGTTACTCATTTCAAGTCAAATCGCAAATAAAAAGTACTAAACTATAAACATGATAAATATACGAGGAAGGAGCTTATTTTTATATGCATTTTAAGTTAGTCTGAAAATATAATTCTTTTGTACACTCTTCTATAAAAGGGAAGAAAATAACTAGGGAACAATAAAAAAAAACATGTAAGGTATAATTGGCAAGATTGTGACATACATTTTGTAATATCTATATGCTCAAATATAAGAATATAGTAAAAAAATCATTTAAGTCATCCGTAACGTATAATGTTATCAGGATTATATTTGAAACGCCAGACGCAGGTAAACAAAATACATAATGCAATGATGCAATAGGTAAAAAGATACAAAGGAGATATACAAAACAGCCCAAGTCAAAGACACCATATCCGAAAGTTAAAAGATATAAAGACAAAAAAAAGGACTTCACAGAAAACTTTAGAAAGAGCAACTCAAACAATTAAAATCCAGGCGATGAACTCTGGTGCTACGGAAGGGCTAGAAGATAAATGCATGTATTCTGATATCCGTGGCAATACTTATGTTCAAATAAGATAGAAGTAGTAAGTGATACGACTGATCACTAAAGCGAATTAGTAGATGTCATGTTAAGCATAAGAAACAACCTTAGTTAAAAATTCTTATCACAAAATTTGAAAATTAAACTTACATGACGTTAGGAAAGTTGTTCCGAACGTCTCATTCATAAAAGATGACAAAAGTTTTGTGCTGAAGGGAATTCGATATTAATGACTGGTCTTTGGTGACATTTGAAGGTGATCGAGAGATTGGCATTGTTTATACATCTGACTGTTGTTTGACAGTAATTTGACCTCTAGATTTCATTTAGTTTTTATTCATGGAAATGAATACAATGAGATGTAATACAAAATATTATACAATAATATGATAAAAAATCGACCCGTTTTCCTTAAAATTTGGTATGAAGTTTACCATGAGAAATATTATCCGTTTAATCCGTTTTTTAAATATCTTACCATTGAAGTGGTCGGGTTTCCATGGATACCATCAATACAGGTAATATAAATAGGTGCATGAAGGCCAATACAATGAAACAACCAATCTACAAGTAATGTAAAAGTTCATTATGTTCGAGTTTGAATCATACTTGTATAACTATTAGTACAGTTTTATCTTCCAATCATATTTCAGTGACAGCCACAACGACAAATATATAGTTATGTACCTGTCAATTCATAGATATAAGAAGATGTGGTATGAGTGCCAATGAGACAACTCTATTTACTTTTTTTAATAAAAACTATGATTGTTTTCTATCTAATGATTATTGAGTGTACTATTATTCCAATTTAGACTCTAATTATTTCTTACAAAAACAGAAAATTAAATAAAAATTGAAATCATAGTTAAAAATTCTTATCACAAAATTTGAATATTAAACTTACCTGACGGAAGGAAAGTTGTTCTTCCCCATACCACATTTTATTCAGAACTTTGATGACAGTTTCATTATCGAGATACGTTTTGTTTTCCGTTTTGATAGCGTCCTCTAAGTACCCATGATTTAGTAACAGTCTACCTGAGTGATTAACAGGATACCCAAGTTCTAATTCTACATCTTCATTGTGTTTATTATTTGTTCCATTGGTTTTTAATTCTTCCAGTTCACTTTCAGCATCGTATATGCATTGCGTGATCTTGATAGCACGTTGAGTAAAGGCACTGGAATTATATGATACTTAAATCTCCATGATATAAGTTATTGGTGCAGCAATTTAATAATTTTATGTCTGTGAGTGACTTGCATGTCCATTATATGCAATCTATATAGTATATACATGGTAAATTTAATAAGTTGGTTTTCATGACATATAATGATTCTAACATCAATCAATTTTATTTCTTCTAAATATTGCTTCTATATATGGAAATAACATTATGTTTACTATCACTAAAAACTTACCCATGATTACTTATCTATGAAATGTGGTCAAGGTCAGGTGAACCTTGTATGACAGACATGTAGACCAGTCAAGAATCCCATATATTGATTGATTGATTGTTGGGGTTTCAGTACTATTGCCTATCTCGTGGTGGCAAGTTTTTATTGGTGAAGGAAGCCGGAGTGCGTGGAGAGAACCACCGACCTTCGGGGATCCCAGATTACAAATATAGTTATCTCATTACTCACAGTCTATGGAAAGTGCGAATCGAGGAAACCGTTTCTTATGTGGAGTCGCGATATTTTCTAATATGAAATTTTTATATATAGACAATCCATGAGGGAAAAGATGATTTTTGCGATAAAAAAAATTTTAGTATTAAAATATATAAATACATGCAGACCGAAATTAATTCACGCGACAAACAGAATAGTTTTATGTTTTACCATTAATCAATAAAGTGTGAAATCGATGAATTTCAGCCTTTAAATTTACCAGTTAAACAAGCACAAATGTAATATTTCTTGATGGACATATAAACTGTTAACCTATCATTTAAATTTGAACAAAAATTAAGCCTTAAAATATGATCGATATCAAAGTAATAGCAAAAGTATATGTCCTTGTAAAAATGTAGTGCTACGTTTTTCTTTTGTAAATAAATAATTGAATGCTTTTTATTTAATTGTAGATGCGACATTTTTTTAATGTAGTTTCGGTATGTTTTAATTGTAACTATACGTTTCATGTTATATGAGGTAGTAATTTAACCCCACTGATCACTGTCAAAATGAATTTTTGAGACATCTTTCGAAATTCTTTATTGTTCTTCAAAAATATTTGTATTAGATAAATATAACATGGCAGAAGTTTTATATTTGTTCCGTTGATTGATAGCGTTTGATTTTGTCAGTTTTTATGGATTTCCCCTTTTTGAATTTGCCCTGGGTTTCTGTTTTTTGTTATACCTTTTTATATGTGAACAATAAAATCAATTCATATTGAATAAACCGACCCGAATTTTCGTTCAAATTGGTGGTATTGACATAACATCTATCAAATTTCTATATGAACACGTAAAAAAATGCATTTCCGATATCCTTACTACAATTAAACTGTATAAATGGTGTTTAAATTCTAAACACAATTATAAATACATTGTACATTGTTTGCGAACTTTTTTTAACATGTTTAATTTCGTGACATGTTTTGATTGTAGAAAGTATTTAGAATTGTGGTTAGGATCATGTTTAACTTAGAAATTAGTGTTAAAGTCTAAATAAAGGCAATAGTAGTATACCGATGTTCAATAGTCATAAATCGATTTAACTGAAACAAATCCGGGTCACAAACCAAAACTGAGGGAAACACATCAACTATAAGAGGAAAACAACGAAACAACAGAAACACTGAACTACTACAAAAACAAACGCCAACATACATAGCAACGGACTATTTGATAACAACTGCTATATTCCTGACTTGGTACAGGACATTTTAAGACAAAATGGTGGGTTGAACCTGGTTTTATGGCTAGCCAAACCTCCCGCTTATATGGAAATGTTATAAATACCGTTAAAATGACAACATTACGTGACAGGAATACAGTACAAATAAATGCAAGAACACTCAGGACAAAGAAATACATAAATAAATAATATAATAGTACATTTCAACATGTAAACCACAAAATAACAACGAACACCTAAGATTAATTTACGACAGTGTTTATATTCAAGACATGGGTACATTTAATGTGGTTAGATAAAACAAAATATTCTAAACACGAGTTTTCAGGCATGTCAAATAGAAGATCGCTGGAAAATAAAACTTACTTAAAGTAATGGAAAAGAAAAACGATTACTAGTTAACAACTTTTACTATCCACATTTTAACCTATCGAATGCAGCCTTTTAAATCGTCATACATAATTCGATAACATTGCAATAACATTACATCAAATATAGATTTTCCAGATATAAGAGGGCGAAAAAATGTTAGAATAGATATTTCTTGTCTCGGCTCTACGAAGAATAGTGCTGTTTCCGGTGGCGTCGGCGGCGTCAACATTTTTTTTAGATTTGTGATAAGATGAGTTTTTTAAAACGGGGACTACTAACGATAAATCAATAGGTATTTGGTATGCATTTGTATAAGCATTGGCATATTGTTATGGAGATCAAACGGCCTCGCCTCCTGAACGATGGTTCATTGACTTAAAGTTATTGATTAGGTCAGTTTAAGGAGAATCATTAACAATAGGTCAATGATATTTGATAAATGCAATTGTAACAGCATTATCATATCTCATTTCCAGAGATTATTTGGCCCTGCAACTTCAGTCATGTTTCATTTTACTTTGAATGGTTTGCATAATAAATGCATGATAAAGTATTTATCTTAATTTCAACAACTGCATTTAACTATTAAAAGAGAGGCAAAAGATACAAAAGGGACGTTCAAATTCGTAAGTCGAAAATAAACTGACAACGCCATGGTTTAGAAAGAAAAAGACCAACAGAAAAATAGACAAACAACAGTACACAAACACAACATATAAAACTAAAAACTGAGAACCACGAACCCTACCATAACTGGGGGTGATCTCAGGTGCTTTGGAAGGGTAAGCAGATCCTGCTCCACATGTGACACCCGTCGTGTTGCTCATGTTAGTACAAACCCGGTGATAAGTCTAATTCGGTAGGTCACATTCGGGAAAAGGGGACGGGATTGTAGTTACGACAATTAGAACATATCCGTTGTCAACTGTGAAATATTTTGCATGTACCATCGAACCTGTAATGAATAATTGTCGATGTTTCTACTTTGTTTGGATGTTTTGTGCCATTTTATCGTATTTTTTTCATATGAAAAAAAGTATCGCATTTCTATTTGAAAAATGTCGCATTTGAAAAGTTTTTCATAATAAAAGCATACCGCTTTTCTATTACAAAAACGTCGCAATCATATAAGACAAAATAGCCTTATTATCCTTATACAAGTGATTATGGCGTAGAAAGCTATCGAACAAGTTCAATGACCATTCCACTGTCTTTGGTACATCATTGTCAAAGTATTTGGACCCCTCAAGATTATAGATCGTGCAATTAGGTTTAATTTAATGATTATGCATATTGACTTGTATAAATACAGCACACTTGGGATAGAATGTTCAAAATACATGGCAAGTTGTATATACGTTTGTCCTGTTAAATACGTCCATGTTTTCAGCAGAATAAACAAGTACTTTCAGATAAATATTCACTTATTCCTACAAATGTCAAAAGTCCTCCGAGATTCCCCACAATGCATCTCATTTACAAAAGAAAATATCGCTACTCCACATAAGAAACGGATTTGTCGATTCGCACTTTCCATAGACTGACCCATAATAAGTGATACACACCAATTATTTTTAGTTTAGACGTACTTCGATGCAAAACTTCATTAAAACAATATTGTACCAACATTGACGTCAATGGCAATACGTAGCGTTAAATAAAAGTGTCGAACCACCAGTATCACTCCATTTGGAATTCGTGCGATTTTATGTGTTGTTTTTTTTTAATCTTTGTTTGAACATTTCAAATAGATTTACGAAATTTCAACATCGGTGGACTACTGTTACCCCTAATTTTGTGTTTAAGATCAATAATACGTATTTGACGAACAAGAAACACCCTTTGTGAATAATTTTCTATTTTGAAATCGATTGTGTTTGTTTGAAATTTATTAAACACATCAAGAAAATCGCAACTCGAATCGTAGATATGAAACTACAGTTTACTGCTGCAACAGGAGAAAACATATTGTGTCTCGTGTCACTGTTTACACATGTTTTCTTACTTGTTCAATCTTTGCAATGTTTCTTTTTGCACAGGTGTTGACTTCCAATTGCTCTCAGCATCCTGTAGAATAGTGCTTCCAATCAGGATAGGCTGAATGTGAATCTAACGTTCATATAAAAATATAAATAATACAAAATATTTAAATAATGCTTCTACTCAATGAATATCAATCAGGAACAAATCCAATTAACTATTTAACTAGAACATTATTCTTTGGAAATTTAAAAAGGAAAGTTTTAACATTTAGTATGTTAAAAGGAAGATATGTGTGGTTTAAACATTAATCATCTTACAAACCGATTGACAGTTATACTACTTGTATATTTTTTATAATAATGAGACTTACATATCCAGTTTCTACTAGTTGTTTTGCCCCTGAAAAATATTGCTTTTGGAGCAAGGCGTAGAAAATTAGTCCATATAATTCAGGATTAGAAACAGCCAAAAAGGTTTCCTTTTCTGAAATACGAATAACAAAGTAAATTAGACTTGGCTATAATTAAAATGTTCACATAGATCGATATACAAATAACTTAATTATGTACTGTCCATTGAAAAGTGTGTTTTACATAAGATTAAAAAACCAAAACTATAAATTCCCTCAATTGATGGAACTTTAACAATAGTGTATGGTGCATGTAAATTTTAAGTTCATTAATCATAGAATTGTACTGAAACGAAAATTGCCACTGCCTCAGGCGAATATTCCCTTCATTTTGATGCTGTTCAAACTTTGGTCTCCAGCGTTCCGGATGATGGTAGGCAATTTTCTACAGAAGCATGTGTCGTCTGTTTAGAAATTGGTATTATTTGTTAAGAATCATAAATCTACAAAACTATTTATATTTTATTCATAGAATCAGATTTGCCACTTCAAAACGCCTAATAAACATTGTTATTATGTGAAAACAAAGTTTACCTCAACCTCAGATCGACTTGATAAGCCTTTTAGATGACATTGAAACAGATGTACTTGGATATTGAAATTAAATTTCAGAGTGTAAAGGACCAAACTTTGGAATTGAAAGTTGAAATAAACTTTCAAATAAGTGACAGTTAAGATGAAATGCCTACTTCAAACAAGATATACAAAAATTGTTGGCTTAGTACTAGTATCTGAGATCTGATGTCGGACTTAATACCAGTTATGAAGTTTAAAAGCTTTATCGTAAATAGAGGAAACTTTCTTTTTATACCGCATGGCGAGTATCTCCAGGATGCCGACGTCCAAAAAAAGGATGTATGTCTTTTTTATCTTTTATTTAGAACTAACTACCACGCACATATGCATACAGACTCGGACGCGAACGTGGACTGCGAGAGTACTCTATTTGTTCCCGTTTTCTAAATTGGTTGAGAACGAACTAAAAAAGCGTCGAATCTATTTACTATACCTTCATAAGACGTTTCAAGTAATGTGTGTAAAGCAACTGATTCACCATTTAACTCTGGTATTCCTCAGTTATCTTTCCTAGAAGGTTTCTTTATTGTAGTCGCTATGAAAGAAATAAAATTCAAAGTCATTACAATGCATTGAAATTTGACTTTATATAATCGAATAAATATGTTAATGCACGTGTTTGTCATCCTGCTTTACAATTCCAGCGGGTTTTTTATACTCTGTCTGTATATTGCTTTGATATATAATTGTTTGTTGTTATACTCATGTCATTTGCATATTATAAATAGGGTTTTATTGGTAATTTATACCGATATTTGTAATATATAGGCGTTTTATCATTATTTCAACTACCTTTTGCGATGTTGGCATAAGACTACTTAGTCTGTTTTGGTCAAGCCCATTGAATAAAATACAATAACAACATATTCAGGAACCACACTATTTATCTGATTTCGTCAGTATTTTCACAAAATCAGAATTGGACGGAAGAATAAAAAGTTGTATTTCATTTCAGCTTCAATTTAATGCCAAGAACATAATTATTATCAAAACAAAATTTGGACTTTCGAAGGGGGGCAATGAAAAACAAAAATAGATCGAAGTTAAACAGAAAACAGACCGAGAACAAAGAGACAACCAATAGTCCACGTAACATTACACAGGAAATATTCTATTGAATGAATGAATGAATGAATGAATGAATGAATGAATATTAATTGCATCAGTAAAAATGTTGCCGTAGAAAAATAACAAAGTATATAGATTTGTACATATAATGCAATTATGACAGAAAACAGAGAACAAACCAAGATTTGAAGAGATAATAATGTACAGTGGCGGATCCAGGGGGGTTGGGTGGGGGTTGGAAACCCCCCCCCTTTTTTTTTGACGATCAATGCATTTGAATGGGGACATATAGTTGGAACCCCCCCCCCCCCCCCCACACACACACTTTATCCTGGGTTAGGAACCCCCTTTTATAAATGGCTGGATCCGCCCCTGTAATAAAATAGCATTTACCTTTAGGTGGGATATATGCCTTGCCACTCAACTTCTCTAAGTCTTTCCATATACCATTTTCAAATTCCGTTGTCAGTTCCTAATAATTCAATATACACCAATGTAAACAACCAAGGTTTATAAGTGAAGATTATTTCAGGTTAATCCGTCAGAATCACCAAACAATCAATATAACGTTTTAATTATACTCGGGTAATTACAAGTGCATGCTTTGTAAAAGTTATCTGAAATCAACTTGTCCGCATGAACTTGGTCTTGTTTCAGTAGACCTGACCTGTCTGCTGGAAAATATGAACATTTAAGCATTCATTCTTTGGCATCAAAGTTTCATTGAAATACCTTCCGTTTCTTTGTCGGTTTATTTCAAGGAAAATTACACCAGGGTTTTTGGTTTTGAAAACAACTTCGACAAGTTGAACTACCCCCACCCCCCAAGAAAAGACGACTATATAAAACAACTGTCAACAAAACAGTGAACAATGAAATAATGGGTATGTTGAATTTCGAAATACTAAGGTTTTTCTAGCCCAGGAATAGATTACCTTAGCTGTATTTGGCAAAACCTTTCAGAATTGTGGGTACTTAATGTCCTCAACTTCGTACTTTATTTGGCTTTTTAAAAAAGATTTTATTCGAGAGTCACTGATGAGACCTTTGAAGACGAAACGAACGTCTGTTGAACTCATTGTAATCCAGGTATCTATGATGAGTTTAATTAATACGTTTATAGTCTGCTGGGAATATTTCAATAAGGATATACACGACACGCAACTGCTGGCTCGTTCTGTTGAAACATTGTCGTTGTGGATTTTTTTTTTAAGACAGCACCGCCAGAAAATACCAGTTCCTTATTTACATAAGGCTATTGTACCGTACCACAGATGTCTTTTATCAGCTCGAGTCTCAAAGTACTCCATCTCTCATAGACAACTATGAAGAAGTCAGGTGTTGGTGGTTCTTGGTTGGTGGGTTCTGTTGTATTGTTGACATTTTTTTGGTAATTTCTGTTATCGATTTTATGTATTATTTACGAATATGTACATAAATTTCTCTCGACGTTTTTGTCTTGAATTCATAGGAATTTTAAATATCAATTATCCTATATATTATTAGAAATCAAAGGAAAGAGTGTTACTGAAATGCAGTCGTTCTGTTGGAATCTCAATCTACTGAATTTACCAATTCGTTAATAATACATAAACCGATAACAGTGTGCATTCGGGTCACAAAATATTGCATGTATTAAACAAACCCCATGTATCCAGTGCTGTGTAACTTACAACACCAGTTTTTTATGTTCCTGTCTATGGCATACTCATAGATATTACAAGATCAACTTTTCCTCTGGTATTTTAAATAGAGGCTTCAACCAACCTGGACTCATGTAGTTTAGAACATGTTGCCCATGTTTGGTAGATTGTCTTATGTTATAAGTGACTCCGGTATTGTCGTCATATCTCTCTCCCTGCTGATATGATCCCATGAATCAGAACTTACCTTTTCATAAATGTATTCTATCGAACGATGGTCGAACGATCTAGTTACAATTTCTTTCGGGATTTGCCATTTGCCAATTTTCAAAAGATACATTGATAATGCGTTCCAAAATATTTCTGTATCATCTCCCTAAAAAGATTGAAAAAGATTTTATTTTCAAATCAAAATATAACTTGCAGAAAACGCATTTAAAAAGGCGTAAATATGTGTAGATTAATTTATGAAAAACAAATTATCACAGATTTGTGTTTTTTATTTTCTTTAGTCGCTTACTTGTTGGATTTTTTTCCTAGTGTCTGTCTCAATCTGTTGTAGTTTTGGTAGTTTGGGCTTGTCTGTTTCATTTGATCAACAATGTTTTGAATATATACCTCTTGGTTGCAATCGTTTAAAATTTCTGTATTGCATAAACAACAAAACTTCCAATAGAGTATTCCTTCCTGTCAGATGAATTTATTGGTTTATTGGTTTTTCAGATGTAGCTTTTATTCTTTTCAGTATCAATACCCACGATGAAAGTTGTTCATTGTCATATATAGGTACATTTACTTACTGATTTTTACTGTAATACTGATTGTATAGGAAGTTATATATCCAAACTACTGCAACTGCAGTACGGATTTCTTCCCGATTGCTGTGCTCATACATTAAAATCTGTTGACGTTAACGTTGTATGCTATTTTCCACCTTGATATTTGTTAACGGAAAGAATTTTTCATTGATGCAGTGTGTTACTTTTCCTATATCGTATCTGGGTTTTTTTTATTGAAAAGAAACAGAAGCCAATTGAGGATAGATATGCTATGTCTGAAATGCAAACATATTATTTTTTGTAGCGTTTCCAGTCATGAAGTGTAATGCTTATAAATGGTGTATCTTACATATATCTCATCCTCTTCTGTCATTAAAACTGAAAATAAAACAACAGTGAGTATCTTCTTTTTATAACGGAGTGTTCATATTCTGAAATGCCGAAACTATTTAAAGTACATTCACTGATATTCGTCTCAATATTGTTTTCATTTATCGCAAAAATAATAATCAATTTTCATTGTGTATAAAAACTCCTACGACAAATGTTGTATTTTACAAAAGAGAAAAACTCCTACGTGACAAATGTTGTATTTTACAAAAGAGAATAATTCATACGTCATGGTGGTAAGTAAATTATTTTTGAAGTGTTGCGAAGGGTGTTTAAATCTGTTAAATAACAGAACAAAATGTATATATATATATCAATGAATACGTAGTTTTGATTGCACGAGATTGACTGGAACCCATTCTCCATGCAAATAATACTCCCAAAAATTCATTTGTTTCATTTATCATATACCTCCGATGAGCAGGTTACAAATCAAGAGGTCCAAATCCATTTTGCCTTGGATTTCGGAAATAGATGATATTTCTTCGTGATCATTAATCTCAAGTACAGAATGTTGTTTCCTTGCATTCCAAGGAGTGTTCAGATCTATTATATGTTCATTATATTCGTCTGTCAGCACGTACACATTCGAATTGTTCTTCTGCAACAAAAGAAATTCTTATATCGTTTTGATAGAATTCCCGGATTTATGACACGGAAACACATTTATATATAACATAAAAGTATAATATGCTATAAGATCAATATACCGTTTTAATCTCCTAAATCTTAAACAAAGTAACACTTTCAAATTTATGCGTTCGCAGCATTTTTCTGGATTTACCTTTACTAGGAACGTTCCAATCAAAACATTTTCAAGGATATATAAATGCTTCAAAAAGTTACACATAAACCTTTGTAAATAAACCACATTTTGAAGCTCAACTTTCAAATGTATAAAAGCAGGTGACTGTCATCCTTATGTTATTCCTTCTAATCGGAAGTAATAATATTCAAAACTGATGAATATTCGCGAGTTGTATTTAAATGACTTTAAAAGGTCAAGGAACAGTAAATGGGCTAGGTATGTGCTAAAATTTTACATACAACCTTGGCTCGTTGAACTATAACTGAAAATCGAAAAAATAATGCATTTATCTCTTTTATGATCTGAAATTTTACTGATTGAATTCTTTCTTGTTACCTTGAATTGAACAACTGGAATCTTCAACTTTCTAGCATTTTCCCGCACGTTTTTTGTTTGTTCTCCAATGCATAATGAAACAATCACTGGCAGAACTTTCTCTCCTATGACAGCTAAAATGACATTAATGTAACTTAAATAATTATTATCTTGCCACATTGTTGTAAACATTTAGTTTTGTCTAGATTTTTTTCTGATGTTACGGAAAAAAATGGCAACAATCTTGTTGGAAATCTGTTTTGTTTCTAGATAATAAAGAAGCTTCTGTCTAGGTTTCACTAAATTCCATGATGGAGGCTTGACAAAGCTATTTATGTTTAAACCACTGAATGAACCCAAATGTTGACGACGCCATCGACGAAATGTAGGGTTGCCATCATAATGATTTTGGGCTTTTTTAGAATTAGGTGTTACTAGCAGATCTTTTATTGTACTTGTTCAGTTTATTTACAAATAATTTAAACTGCTTCCAGATCAGTATCTATCTGTCTTGGATTCGTCGCAGGCAGGCGGGATTGGTTGATTGATTTGTATTTAACGCCACATTCAGAACTATTGTGCTAAAATTCGCGGCGGTCAGTTTTTATTGGTGGAGGAAGCCGGAGTGCCCGGAGAGAAACACTGACCTTCGGTAAGAACACTGACAATCCTAGTCAATTAAGATTGGAGACGAGCGTACTTGCAACGAGCGGTGTTTCGAACTCTAAACCTCAGCGTTGACAGGCTAGTGATACAATAGTTCGACTACTTAGACCACTCGGCCACCGAGGCCCCTAGCATGCGTCACAGGCGGGAAAACTACATACTGCGTTTAAACTTATCAACATGAGATTATTCCTTTTTTATGGCTACAAACATTTTATAGTCTTTATCATGTAGTAGTTCTGGACATTACATTGTCGAAACGTTTTTAGTAAAGATAATGAAGCTATAATAGAAAGTCCATACCTTCAGTCATTCTCTTGAAGTAACTGATTTCACTCTCGTCTTTTTCTGTATTCCCTCTTTGAAATATCGAGCATCCTTTTTGTACTAGTTTCTAGCAATAAATCAAGCATAAATCTGATGTCCTTCTTGATTTAAACTTTCACTACCTACATGTATTTAAGTATTGGCTTTACATGTAAACTGATGGTTATTTTTGCTAAAGCTACCAGTGCTATTCTGGGTTTATGCTCAAAAAGAACAAGTAGCTCGTAGCCAAACAGATGTAAAATAGAAGATTAGAAATTCAAACGATACAACGGCGTGAAAGACACAGAGTATGGATAATCTAAAGTAACTTTATGTCAATTTGTGATTGTCCCCACTCTTCGATTTTCTTTGTTTCTCTTTGCATTTAAAATTTTTACTTTTTTTAACATTTCAATTTATTTTACCTCCTTTTGCGAGTTCTTTCTTTTATCCATGCAAAAATACAATAACTGTAGTTTATATATGCTGTCCCTCTACTTTACTATGTGCAAAATAAAAAATGCCTTTAGTGCCCGAGTAGAAACATTTTATTGTACCTGTATAGATTCATCTGACGTATGTCCGTTGATGCAAACAGAACTAGTTTTGTCTCCGAGAAATACCAGTTTCTGCTCTATAATATGACATGGCAACTTCTTCTTTTCTGCATAAAAATACTCTTGACTTTTGTTAATGTATCAAAACCAATCACACTTTTACAAAATATTGTTAAAAAAAGTTCTGAAAGCCTCTGGAACGGGATTATGGCTGAGAAACAGGTATAAAATTATAAACATCGTATGGTAATCAGAAGTTGTATATAAATGTCACAGAAACATGGGTCCAAATCCCTCATATATCACTTTTATCACAATTGCTGCTTTCTATATTGCCTTAGAGTTATTTGCACAACTGTTTGAAGTTTTTGGTTTTCAATGCTCTCCAACTTCGAAAGTGATTTGGCTTTCCAACTGTTTTGATTTGAGCACCACTACAGTCGTGTATATTTTTCGACTTTTTTTCATTACTTGAATTTTACCTGTAAATCATTTGCAAAATAGCATTTTTCTTGTATTAAAAGGATTATAACATATTACATCTTACTTGAAAACTGTCGTATTTCATCAATCAATAAGTCACTGGTCGGATCTTCGGTTACAAACATGAGATATAACTTTGGTTTGTAGGTCATTGTTTTCAATTGTGGAATATCATTTCCTAGATTTATCTCAATCTGTAAAACATCATTAAGATGACCATGCAGTTGGCAAAGTTGGGTTTTATAAAAAATAAGATGTGGTATGATTGTCAATGAGACAACTCTCCACAATAGACCAAATGACACAGAAATTAACAACTATAGGTCACCGTACGGCCTTCAACAATGAGCAAAACCCATACCGCATAGTCAGATGTAAAAGGCCCCGAAATGACAAATGTAAAACAATTCAAACGAGAAAACTAACGGCCTAATTTATGTTCAAAATAATGAACGAAAAACAAATATGTAACACAGCAACAAACGATAACCACTGAATTGCAGGTTCCTCACTTGGGACAGGCACATACAGAATGTGGCGGGGTTAAACTAGTTTGAAGGCGCCAACCCTCCCCTAACCTGGGACAGTGGTGTAACAGCACAACATATGAACAAACTATAAAAATCAGTTGAAAAAGGCTCAAGTCATCAGATGGATAAAAATAGAAATACATCTAACAAAGTGGACGTAGACGGGTATTTGTACATCCCAACAACAAAAAGACGCTAAGTACAGATCTGAGAGTACTCGCAGTTACTGACAGCTAGTTCAAAGCCAAAAACAACTAATAAAAAAATCATGCATCTAATGCCTTTTTTCCAAATAATTCCACCATTTGATAGCAAAAACACGTTTACTATATTGACTGGTAAATTGTTATGTAAAGATAAGTTATTGATAAAGATGAAATATTAGTAAAAATTCATTATCGTCTTTTCTATTTTCAAAACATAATGATTGTCATTCGTCAATGGTATAATGATTGTTACATTGTTGCTGCTTATTGGCACAAACATGCTCTTATATGTCCTATGATAAAGGAGAAGCTTTGATAAGTGTCTATATTTTTCTTCTACATTTATATAAAGTTTCAAGATTTGTAAGAGGTATCTGAAATGATCAAACAAAAGCACGTAAGCATATAATTAGACCCAGAGTTCCCGAAATCTATTTTTCCCAGGTGGTTATTAAAGAAAATCTACTGGTCCTCACAATTATTTCTATTGTAAAATACCAAAATTGAGTCTGTCCTTGGCAAAATTAGGTGGTCAAAACCTTTGATCCACCACTTTCCGAGAATTCTGAACAGACCATTGTATTATATTTTTTGAACTAGTGTGAATACTAATGCATCATCGTACAGCATGGACCTAATTGAGCTATCCTTTTCTTATCATTTTATACCTTTTGTGATGTGCCTGTAGCATATTTCACTTCTGCTTCTAGTAAACTCCATCGTTTATCTGTTAAAGTATATATTTTTTATATATCAAATTATTTATATCTGATGTTAAGACATAGAAGTCATGATGAACTTAGCTAAATTTACTTTTTTTTTATAATAAAAGGGAGATAGCTCAAATGTCAAACAATGTGAATAATATAAAATGTTGTACTAACATACCCCATATTGGGGCTTAAGTGGAATAAAATGTCTTATGTCTTATGTCTTATGTCTTATGTCTTATGTCTTACATTAATCAGTTAAATAAATACAGTAAAATTTCAAAGCGTAGGTTTATACAAATTTCAAAGTATAGGTTTATACATTGTCATATTAACCATATATTGTAGATAAGGAATTATCTTTTATGAAGGTGTATATGATACATGTAGTAAACAAATATATGCAATAAGTAGATGTGTTTTATGTACGGGATATTTTTACACTTTCATATTTTGAGCGACCTACAATAAGCCAGACATCTCTAGGTAAACCATACAGTTGAATAAATTCTTGCATAGAACAGATTAGCTACAAAACTGTTCTATTTTTTGTAAGAAAGTCATTGTGAGGATTAGATACAAATATACCATATTCAGCGAATTACGATATCTATACACACCATTCAGTGAAAATACGGTCTTTAACCACTACTTTCAGTGAAATCTGATATTGCTTAACTTATAATAAATTTTTTTAACTAGTGAAAAGTTACTAGAACAATTATCTGAATACAGTGGTAATTTTGACATCTCAAATGAATTTTTTAATATTTGACCATTTTGGATCAAGTATTTGTAATTTTTTTTAAAAGTTAAGGACAGACAAAAGACGAATAACGATATAAAACGTATCAAAACTAATATTATATATATCACATGTATGAATGTAGTATTTTTCTTTCCTATATTATACAGGTTGCGAAAGCATTTTTAAAATATGTGACTGAAATATAGTACGATTACCTTGTACCCAAGATTTTGATAAAAGTGGCCCAGTATTACTTATTACAAAACTGTAAATGTAAATATAAGTAGATGTGATATACTTTATTGATAAAACAATAAAACTAAACTAAAGAGTAAAAACCTTAAGGGGTCAAAATGTAAGTCTGTTCATATAAAGAGAACTTTTGAAAACCATATAGAAGGGATAGATTATACTGATTATTATTATAGGGTTTTAACTTTTGTATAAGCAACATTCAAAAGTCATTTCACTTATCTTTCTTAAACATACGCTATTGCCTTGATCCATATCATCTGTTCTTTCCGAATCCATCATTCAATCATTTAAGTAAATGCAATGTCTGCAAAAGAGTATTGAAAAATAAAAAAAAAAAAATGAAAATAAAACCATGCATTCAATAATTTGAATTGCAGCTATCGAATCTCGATACATGAAAATCGGGGAAGGTGATACATAGGTATTACTTTTCCAACTCCTCCTATGTTTTAAGTGAAAACAACTTCCAAGCAAGGAACTTCGTTATCAGTTGTTGTATGTCTAAACTTAATGGGTTTTGTTTGTTTTTTTCATTATTTGGGTGTTGATAAACGTAACATTATTTAAATAATATAGCAAAATGATAACAATAAATGACAAAGATACCAAGGAGGCAATACAAACCTATCAAAGGAAACAAACGACAACAACATGGCCAAAAAGAACTAGAGGCTTCCATGACCTTGTATTTTCTCTTGCTGGTCTTTTAAGATGGATAAATTTCTGCATATCAAATACATGTATAGTTTTCAAGAATATATAAAAAAAAATAAGGTTAAATTGTGAATAAGGTACAACAACTCCTATACCGATATAGGGTATGTTAACCTATTTGTAGATCTTATAAAAAAATATCGTAAAGGGTTCCGTGAAACCCAGTGTCACTTCTGCGATTGCTGCTGTCAGTGAAAACGTGCAATGTTGACTGTAAAATGTGAGTCCATTTATCAGTAAAATACAAAATTTAAACTAAAAATCAAACTTTTTCTTTAGCTACTATTTCTTGATCTTGAAGATAAGCTTCTGTCCAAGTTTCAACAATCCATGAAGGTTTTCAAATTTAACATGTCAAAAAAGTTTAATCCACGACTGTAAGTAAATGTTAACTGCAAAAAAACTAAGTCCATCTATCAGTAAAATACTGAAAAATGAAAGAAATATATTTTCATAATTTTGCTTTAGACATTATCTCATGATTATAAAAACCTTCTGCCAAAGTTTCATAAAATTATATGATCGTTTTACCATGGAAGTATTATATTGACAATATGATACTTCAAAAAGATTTGATGTGTAACAAACTTTAAGCCCAGACTGTATCTACCTGTTAACTGCAAAAAAAAACTAATTAGTAAAATACGCAAAGATGTCAACAAAAAAATATTATTTTGCTCTGGATAATGACTTTTTTTATAATCCTAAAATCTTCTGTCCAACTTTTGTAAGATTCAATGAAGGTTTGACGCAAAGTTATTGATGACTGACGTGACAAATTTAACTTTGGACTGCATTTTAATATAAAAACGTAAACTGTAAAAAAAAACTAAGTCCGTTTAACAGTAAACTAGGGGAAAATGAAAACAAACATTTTCAAAATTTTGCACTGGATACTGTCTTTTTGTCATAAAAAAGCTTCTGTCCAAATTCCATTAAGGTTTGACTAATTTATTGATGTCTAAAAACAAAATTAACCACAGACTTAACCTAAATGTTGACCCCGCCGGCGAAGATGGAATATATGATCGCTTTGTCGATTTTATTTTGCTAATCATTTTTGTTATTACATTTTCTCTCAATCCACTTAAGTGTCTGCAAAAATAGATAAAAAACGTTAGTCAAGGTAAATAATTTCAACAAGAAGTTGACTTACGATTTCGGCCATGTTAACTTATTTGTTTAGATTTTTATTTTACTGATCATTTTTGCTTTTACATTTTCTTTCTATCTTCTGTAGTTTATTTAAAAAAAAATGCAGAAATGGATAAACATCGTCATTAAAAGCAATAATTCCTTTCAGGAGTTGATTATTGATTTTGACTATGTTGACTTTTTCGTAGACAGGTTTGTCCTGTAGAAGAAAAAAAATGTGCTTAATTTCTCTCTTTCTATCATAATTTCCACACAAAACGCAAAATTGGGTGAAATCGAAATACAATGGCTTAACTCCAACAAAGTGTTGATGATGTCAATTGAGTCATTTGAAATCTTGGTACAATCTTTGAAATGTCGACTTTGCAAAAATTTCATAGACATTGGACCATAATTGTGGGGGCGGGACAATTAAATCTTCATGGAAATGAAATTTACTTTTGATAATGCTACTGCACGAACATCGTTGACTTTCTACTAGTGGTTCCTCTTAAACGTTTTGCTCCTATTTGTTCTGTCCATTTTGCTTGGCAGGTGAGATCTTTGGACATGTTTTAAACATATACATAAGAATGATTGTGAACAAATTTTATCAGTTCAACTTTGACCTAAAGTTTCAGAGGGAAAGCTTTTTGGTAAAAATTAACGGACAACGAACGTCAAGTGATGAGAATAACTCACACTGGTCCTCCGTGCAAGAGGAGTTAAAAAAACCAAACGAACAATCAAACTGCGGCAGAGAAAAATATGGGGGTATTTGAGCAACATAAATCCAACTAAACACTAGAGTGTGAACTCAGAAAGGATAAGCGATTCGTTTTGGTAAATAGCTTCTCGTGTTTGAGGTATATATACACCAAAGGCTTTCATCT